AGGGTGGTCAAATGGTGGTCAGATCAAAAGAAAATCGGAACGGTCATACAAAAACGTAATTACTTTTCCAGACTTGTAAAAAACATGTCTACCCCGCATACCTCACGTACCAACGCACCAAGTCGCCCTGTCGCCAATTAAAAAACACGAACCTACCGAGACTTTGTTTCGTCTCAAACCTGATTTAACGGTGGTTGAAAGAAAATTCCAACCCTTAAATATATTTTGTTTTCGCTGACCCTCGCTATAAGCGAATAGTTACAACCAATGTCCTTACTCAGCGTAATTACAGCACCAGCTGTTACGTGATGGCTTCCCACTCTAGTAACCGAGCGGGGAAAAATCAATGAAAGTGGTAACAGGTGTTCCCACACTTAACGCTGGCTTCGCATTAATTACCATACCCCCCCGGTGGGATCGCTTCGCGAACCCACATAAATCATCATGACCCGTCAACCGCTCGGGGAAAAAAGCCATTAATCATCTGGGCCAGCGGCTGCGATCGATATAATACCCATTAAAAACCGCCCAGCGCCTGGAAAGTTCACGGGCGGCTCGATACGTAACAGATGTTACATGTCTGGTTAAAGGCTGGTATACAAAGACTGTTCTAGTACATGATAGTGTTAGTCTTTTATTTAAAACATACATACGTTCAAACAAACCAACAAATTAAACAACAAGTAAACAAACAAAGTAAACAATTTAAAATCAAACAAATAATCAAATTACGTAACTCGTTAATAAAAATTAATTAAAATTACAACATTAAATTCAAACTCATTAAAATCCAATTACGTAACTAGGTCAATAAAAAATTACACAATATAAACAAAGTAATTAAAATCACATTACGTAACTAGTCAATAAAAATTAATTAAAAAGTAAACAAATAATCAAATTACGTAACTCTTGAATAAAAATTAATTAAAAATTTAAAAAACTCATTAAAACTCATTAAAAAATGTATAAAAATTACGTAACTAGGTCAATGATGACGTCACAAGGTCAATAATTACGTCATAATATCGCTGATTACGTCACAATGTCAACGGAGATTACGTCACACCTCCACCTCCGCCAACCCCAGTTGGCGTAGTATTTTACTATATGTCATTGCGCCACCCGCGCATCCTGCTCCACCACCCTGCGGCAGCTGGTGGAGTATTTTACTATATGTCATTGCGCCACCCGCGCATCCTGCTCCCGAGTATTTTACTATATGTCTTTGCGCATCCCCACCAGCTCCTCCGCCAAGAATTCGCTCCAAAAGGGACCTAATATACTACTGTAGACTGCCACTGTCTGCTACACAACGGTGCCTACACCAGGCACCACATAGAGACACCAGTGTTAGACAACGGTGCCTACACCAAGCCCCACATAGAGACACCAGTGTTAGACAGCGGTGCCTACACCAAGCCCCACATAGAGACACCAGTGTTAGACAACGGTGCCTACACCAGGCCCCACAGACACCAGTGTTAGATCACTGAGATGGCGGGTAGTGCCAAAATCACGGATCAGATTCATCTGAAAAGGACAGCTATATTTAAACTTTTGTGTGCGAAGAATGCCCCAAAACCGCACGATTAAAAAATCATCACGATGTAAATTTGTATGGAGATGTGTAAGAAATATTTTCCTCTAAGAAATATTTCCCTCTATTTTAACACTGACGTTCGTCTATTGCTTGTTGTGTCTTGTAATGTAAACTCAATGGGCGGTTTTTTTTTTAATTTGGTTTATTTTGTACACTCTGATAAATCACATGCTATAAGTGTATTTCAACTTGGTTAACCGACTTGCGATATTTCCTTCGACTTGTATTTAGTTATATGATTTAAAGAAATGATGGCATCTAACGAAACTATGAACAACTGCCGGTTAATGAGATCGTAATTGGAGCACAAATACATTTAAGTTTGGGTCTACAGATTCTAGAGCGGTAGGGGCTTATGTGGTAGAGGACTGTTCTGCTTCGAATTAAAAGTATAGTAAGCACTGGGTACACTCAAGGAACGGCATGGTCTAGCGCTAGACTGATAACCGGAAAATCTCGAGTTCGAATCCTGGTTCAAGTCAATGGAACGTCCCTGAGTCCACCCAGCTGTAATGGGTATCTAACTCTCGTTAGGGAAAGTAAAGACGGCTGGGCATAGTGCTGACCACACTTTCCCTTCATATGCCGAGGTCAAGAAACATGAACTCTACTTCATCTGCCCAGTGCATCGCTAGGTCTAAAGCGGAATCTTTACTTTTGTATTGGATGTACTTAATTTTCGCGAGTAGCTGATATAAGTCAGGGAATGTAAAAATAAATTTGCCTTGAAGCTTGTTGTTGAAACGGTTGTTCATTAAATCGAAAAGAACATTTGTTTTTTTAGGATGATTATACGGAATATTACATTTACAATGTACCTGGACACGCCCATATATCACCCGCCCCGCCCCCTTTCCTACCCACACACACCTGTCTAAACAAGGGACACCAGATCGGGTCACGTGGTACACTGACCAGTGGCTGAGTCCAGCCGGGCGTGACGTCGTCCACCCTACACCCCATGTAGGAATCTACAAATGTACCTTTAGGTCATCAAAACCACACCCCCATGTAGGAATCAGCACGTCATCAAAACCACACCCCCATGTAGGAATCAGCACGTCATCAAAACCACACCCCATGTAGGAATCAGCACGTCATCAAACCTACACCCCATGTAGGAATCAGCACGTCATCAAACCTACACCCCATGTAGGAATCAGCACGCCATCAAAACCACACCCCCATGTAGGAATCAGCACGTCATCAAAACCACACCCCATGTAGGAATCAGCACGTCATCAAACCTACACCCCATGTAGGAATCAACACGTCATCAAACCTACACCCCATGTAGGAATCAACAAATGTACCTTTAGGTCATCAAAACCACACCCCATGTAGGAATCAGCACGCCATCAAAACCACACCCCATGTAGGAATCAGCACGTCATCAAAACCACACCCCATGTAGGAATCAGCACGTCATCAAACCTACACCTCATGTAGGAATCAACACGTCATCAAACCTACACCCCATGTAGGAATCAACACGTCATCAAACCTACACCTCATGTAGGAATCAACACGTCATCAAACCTACACCCCATGTAGGAATCAACAAATGTACCTTTAGGTCATCAAAACCACACCCCCATGTAGGAATCAGCACGTCATCAAAACCACACCCCATGTAGGAATCAGCACGTCATCAAACCTACACCCCATGTAGGAATCAACACGTCATCAAACCTACACCCCATGTAGGAATCAACAAATGTACCTTTAGGTCATCAAAACCACACCCCATGTAGGAATCAGCACGCCATCAAAACCACACCCCATGTAGGAATCAGCACGTCATCAAACCTACACCCCATGTAGGAATCAACACGTCATCAAACCTACACCTCATGTAGGAATCAACACGTCATCAAACCTACACCTCATGTAGGAATCTACAAATGTATCTTTAGGTCATCAAAACCACACCCCCATGTAGGAATCAGCACGTCATCAAATCTCCACCCCCATGTAGGAATCAACAACTGTACATCACAACGTGTGTTTGTCAAGATTTGCTCGGGTTCTGAGACCTGTCCACGTGAACACCGAGTTTACCTCAATGTCTGGCAAATATGTCGCCATTTCTTGCCCTTCTAAAGGTGAATGATAATCTACTGCAGTGACGCTCCAGTGATTTCGCTGCACAGTTTCGCCAGGTCACTCATTCGTTAAGTGCTGAGGTAATGGCTTAATCGCGTTCACCTGGTTTAAAATATATGGGACTTGGATGCTAGATTTTTAACAGTCGTATCATTGACCGTCATCAATGGAGTCACACAGGACGGAAGTAGAGAGTTCCTCGGAATTGTTTAAGAATTTGTTTTTGGTGCTATTTAAATCTTTAGGAGATGATAAAAATTAGATTGTGTATAAAGCGTATCGCTTGTATCAGTTTCTAATGCAATAAACAATTGAAGAACGGTAAATATATATTAATTAGTTTTTTTAACATTAACTTACTTGTTGTCACGTCAAAAAAAAAATGGAACGAAAGATTTGTATATGAATTACTGATTATGTGTATTAAATAAAATGGAGGGGGGGGGGGTCGGACGTTGTTAAAACTATATAATTTCTTTATATAAGGGGGCACAGCGGGACGAGATGCCTAGATGGAATACCCGTGTACAATATAATTCCGTTTTTATCAACATTCTTTATTAGTTATTTTAGCATAACTTACAATAATAAAAATATGTATTATTATTTATTTAATTCCAATTCTGTTGACAAAATATTTGTAAAAAAATAATTGAAATACGTAGGTAAAAATTAAATAGTAAACATTTATTTATCTTGTTAAGTTTTAAAATCATAATTAGAAGTAAATACAGATTTAAATTTAAAAGTGCGATAACTTCCCCTGAATTGTCTTAAATCCTATAATGAATAATGTAACATTAAGTCTATTAAAAGATCACAAAACTGGCTGTGTGTGTGTGTTTTTTTTGTTCTTGTTGACATTTGTTTTTGGTTGTGTTTTGTGATTATTTTATTTTGTATTTTTATGTTTAATGTGTTGTTTTGTATTGTGTGGTTTTTTCTGTCCTTTCTCTATTTTTTTTCCTTAAAAGAGTAGGCTACTTAATACTTATTTTTTATAACTCCTCATTGAATAGTGACGTACAACATATTATATATATATATATATATATATATATATATATATATATATATATATATATATATATATATATATATATATATATATATATATATATACCTTTATGGTGCTTTTGTCGAACCGCCACTCCTAACGCGAAAACTGGCATACGTCCCTGATTTACCTCTACATCTTCCTACTAATAAAACCTCTACTACCACCAAATTCTACATTTTTCTACTGTCCATTACCACTTAACCCTTCACTTTCCCTCATCTACTCATCTAGCAAAACATCCAAGTGATGCTTGACCACATAACCAGACCAGAGAAAGACTTCACAGAAGTTCGCATCGACGATGAAAAAGAAGAAGTCAAAGCTGTCAAGAGAATCACTCACAAAGATGACAACAAAGATGACAAAATAGATGATGTGACATTTGCCAACAGAGATGCAAGAACTGTCGCCAAAGTGGACCCGACAAAAAGCCATAACAAATTTTATAGAATCTTTTACAAATACGCTAAAAGGGCGTCTTTTAACGGAATGGTTTTTATCTTGAAGTCCCAGAATCCAATAGTCAAAGCTTTATGGACACTTCTAGTCTTAGCAGCGGCTGGTGCCTCCATTTTCCATCTTTTCTAGTAAGTGCCAATTTATTTCATCAGTTGTGTTATTTAGAAAACCTTTTCTAGTAAGTGCCAATTTATTTCATAAGTTTAGAAAAACCTTTTCTAGTAAGTGTCCGATTTCATCAGTTGTGTTTTTTAGAAAACCGGTTTAGTAAGTGGCAGATTTCATCAGTTATATTGTAATCAGTACCCTGAAGACTTCCGCATTAGTTATCCCTAACGTGAAGCAGGTACCAAACAGACCTGAGTAGTCTCAGAGACGTTCAATTAACTCGAGTCCGGGATTAGTACTCGAGACTTTCGGGTTAGCAGTTGTGTGCTCTACCATTCAAACCCGCCATTCCATCGTCTGGCAATACATGGACGTAGATACCGCCATGTTGACCAACAGATGCCTGCTGTACTACTGATACTTTATCTTAAAATAAACACGATTGATTGCTTATTGAAAAAAGGTCATGTAGATATGAATTTTTAAAATGTCGTTTTCAATCTATTAGGGTGACGCGTTTAGAGTTAGTTTCCATGTATATTCAGGAAAATGTAGTATTTACGAATTGGAAGACACACATATATTATTTTAATCATGGTATAGATAAGATTTCCCGTCATTATTTTCAAATGTTTTTATGAACATTTCCTTTTGTTTCTAGTTTGTTCTCCAACTTCTACGAGTTCCAGAAATATTCCAAGGTCAACTTAAAGTTCAGCAGCCTGCAGTTTCCAGCCGTTACTGTGTGTAACGTCAACATGATGAGGTTCTCTAAGGTAAGCCAACATTTTTCTCAGGTAACACCAACAGGTAACGTTTCTAGCCGTGACTAATTGTGGCGTCAACATGATGAGGTTCTCTAAGGTAAGCTGACATTTTTCTCAGGTAACATCTCCAACTGAATTCAGTTTCCTACTGTGACTGCGTGTTCTCTAAGGTAAGTTTTGTCGCGGGTAACAATGGTATCAGATAACAGGGTCTATTTAGCAACTTAAACGGGTAACATGGTCATGCTTTCATTTTATTAGATTTTTCGACGTAATTTAGCAATCTAGACTCGCTTGACTAAATCCTCTTTCCTCCATAACCTGCCATTTTGTCAGGTCACAGGCTGTTAACTTTGCAGCCTCCCAAGACATCCCTGTTGTCTTCAGTTCTTTAAGAAGACCCAGACTAGGTCTGTGTTGGACGCCCTCTCTCTTTACCTTCCCTGTGGGCTCCACTCACGCGCCTGTCTTGTCACATTAGAGTTTACTATCGCAGCGTGTCCCACCCAGCGCCACTTTCTCCTTCTTATTTGTACTGTTTCAGACTACTGCCTTGCCCTTCTCCATAATGGGCACTTTGTCCTGCCACCTCAATTTTACAATCTGTTAAGACATTTGTTAATGAAAGAGATTTAGTAATATGCAGAGGCGTAGCGACCTTTCCCCCCGCCCCGAGGACAAACTTTTAATTTGGCGCCCCCCTCGGGAACAACCTTTCAATTTTCAATTTGCACCCCCACCCCCTCAAACTTTCAATTTGCACCCCCCCCCCCCAATATATTTTTTATATTTATAATGCGAAACTGCAGCTAAAATTAGATTTTAATTTGTTTTTCCAACCCATTTTGGCGCCCCCTAGGGTCGGCGCTCGAGGACATATGTACCCCCAGCCTCCCCCCCCCCTCTCTACGCCTCTGGTAATATGTTTAATTTAAAATAACAAGAATGATTAATCTGGTTGTCTGCAGCTATCTTCTTTTAAACAAAAATATTAATGTCGACTTTAAAACTAAGAGAGCTTTATGACATGAATGAAAATGCAGTATTGTGAAATCTTCAGTTTGAAGGAGAGGGGTCAAAATGGATAGAACACTAACATCAGATATGGGTCATTTTTAACTAAAAACTCAAGTAGTACATAATAATCACACATTAAAATAGATAATATTTTATTTATAGACAGTTCATCACTAGATGCCTAGTTTTAAGACAGTTTTGTGTTCACAGATAGCCAACGCGTCGAAAGCCGTCAAAAATTTGTTCGCACAAGACAACGATTATACTGCAACAACAACAGACGAACCAGATCTGAAAGACTCAGGGCTTCTCAAGTGGGTGGCTGAGAGGGAACAAGCCCTTTGTACGGTAAAAACGAATGCTCATAGTTATTTTTTTAATAAGTTATAATTTTTGCATTGTTTTCTAATTTAAAGTTTTCTATTTAGGTTTTAAAGAAATGTCTTAATATAAGCCTATATACGTTTTTTACTAACTTGTGCCCTTTTTTAAAGTAAAATTGTTGGTACTTATCAATTAGCTAACATTCGATCAACTGCTAATACCAATGTCGAAAAACTTTGTCAAAGTATTTATATCACGGTAATTATGTAATAAAAATGTTGACGAGGCTTTTTCATAACGACCTTGACATTTACATGACATTTTTTCATGTAACTGGCTTTTTCGTCTGCGACTTTATTCATGTGTAATTTTTTCCACTTATGACCTCGGTGTGTGTTACCTTTTTCACGTGTTACTGTGTGTGTCTCACCTCTGTGTGTCACCTTTTATCACATGTTACCTTTTTTACGTGACGTGTTATCTTTTTACTTGTTACTTTTGTATGTGTCACTATTTCGTGTTACCTCTGTGTTTGTCACCTCTGTGTGTCACCTGTGTGTCACCTTGTTCACGTGTCACCTCTCCGTGTGTCACCAGTACTGCAAGTATTGCTGGGACCAGGGCGAGGGTCAAAACTCCTCCCTGTACGAGTTTGACGACTACTTCACCTACGTGTACAACAAACAACCTCTGTAAGTAACTCTACTTCACCTACGTCTACAACAAGCAGCCATTGTAAGTAACTCTACTTCCCCTACGTGTACAACAAGCAACCTCTGTAAGTAACTCTACTTCACCTACGTCTACAATAAGCAACCACTGTAAGTAGCTCTACTTCACCTACGTCTACAATAAGCAACCACTGTAAGTAGCTCTACTTCACCTACGTCTACAATAAGCAACCACTGTAAGTAACTCTACTTCACCTACGTCTACAACAAACAACCTCTGTAAGTAGCTCTACTTCACCTACGTCTATAACAAGCGACCTCTGTACCTCTGTAAGTAGCTCTACTTCACCTACGTGTACAACAAGCGACCTCTGTACCTCTGTAAGTAACTCTACTTCACCTACGTGTACAACAAACAACCCCTGTAAGTAGCTTTACTTCACCTACGTGTACAACATACTGTAGCCACTTTAAGTTGCATCATTCCTGCGAAGTCCTCGCTTGGTAGTATTTGGGACGATGGGGGGGGGGGGTCCATCAAAGGCGTAGCGACCCTTCCCGGCGCCCGGGGACAAACTTTTCGATTTGCACCCCCCCCCCCCCTCTCATACTTTCGATTTTTTCACCCCCTCAACTTTCAATTTACTTTTCCAACCCATTTTGGCGCCCCCTAAGGTCGGCGCCCGGGGACATATGTCGTCGTCCCCCGCCCCCCCCCCCTCGCTACGCTACTGGGGTCCATACATGACACCAGTCTATTACAGCCAAGCTTTACCCAACCACACCTTAATATCCCATGTTGGACGGCAGAGTCGAGTGCTAGAGCGCTCGAATGCTTACCCGAAAGTTTTGAGTTCAGATCTCTAACTGGAGTCTGTAGAGCATTCCTGAGTCCGACTACGCTATATTGGGTACGTGACTAAGCATAGTAAGACCACACAGCCACGCCTTTTTTCCGTGGTTTAGACGCATTTTTCGTGGTCTGCGGATCGTCAATTCCAAAAAAAAAGACATTGATTAATTTGATACAATCCGACCCACATATGAATTAATAATTTCATTAAGTTTAATATATGATCCTTAATGAGATTTGTGTTAATGATGTGTTTAATTGTGTCACCTCAGACAGGTTAGACGAGATCTGGGTCACCAACTGAGTGGTCTCCTCAGGATGTGCTCGTTTGCAGGGAGATCGTGTGGCTACACGTGAGTACAACACGGGTACAGTGCCAGCGCTAGGTTATTTAGTGCCCTAGGCAAAACGTATAAAAAACGCGCCCCCCCCCCCTTAATATATATATATATATATATATATATATATATATATATATATATATATATATATATATATATATATATATTAGAAAGCTGTCTCACTAAATTTTAAATTAAACATTATTTGTTTTCTATATCAATTGTGTGACACCAAAATAAAAAAGGCAAATTGACTGGTAAAAAGCGTGGTATTTGGGGCACGCCTCCAATATTACGAATTCAATCTATTATAGTGAGCATAGTCCTGACCACATTATCCCTTCATATGCCGACGAGGTCCCTGAAACAGATGAACTCTACTTCATTTGCCACGTGGCTCTTGGGCACGAACGGGCAAAAGATGATGATGATGAATCGTGTATACGCGATTATTCAGTTCAGAAAAAAAAGTCCAGCTTATATTATAAACGAGCCGGCCCGCGGCATAACATACGCCGCTATTTAGTTGTTTCTAATTTTCAATAATTCATAATTTGTGAATTCGACAGTACCAACGCTGACACTGAAAATATTTCTTTAAAACACTATAAGTAGCTCGTTAAGGACCATAACCCCCCCCCCCCTTCCTTCCCTCCCCCCCTCCCCCCCCTCCCCCCCCCCCCCCTCCCCCCCTCCCCCCCCCCCCCCCCTACGTTTAAAATCGTTGGCTCTGCTTGTAAACATTTAGAGTGAACACAGCTCACTAAAACCATGTAGGGGTGGGGAGGTAGGGAAAGCGTTTGCAGCTTGTTTTCTAACGGCTCGAAGAAGAGAATTATATATATAGATGTTGAAGTAAGTGCTCACGTCACTTAACGCTGCGTTAATCAAGCGTAACACTGGTCTAGTGGCGTATCTAGTGCCAGCCTTGACTTTTTTAAACGACCGTTAGTTTTTAATGTGAACTATTTGAATAACGAAACAAATATTTATGTTTGTGGGCTAAGCCTTCATGTCCATAGCTAGATAAATAAAAGTAGTTACCTTTTCAAACCTAACGGTCTATAGGGTAAGTGAAGTAGAGTTCACTTGTTTCTATAAACTCGGCATATGAAGAGAGAGTGTGGTCAGCACTGTGCCTTTAAGCGGTTTCAAGTACAGATAAATATAAATCCAGAAACATTAAGAACGGAACATTATATATGAGATATAAAAATTACAAAGGACCAACTAAACAAGTATTTAGTAATCCAGTCGCCCTATCCAAGGCCAATAAATCTTCGTCATGTATCTCGATCCTTTGCCTTTCTCTTGGCTGTCCACAATTAAAGAGAAGCAAAATAATGTTAAATTTGTTATTGCCCTGCATTAGTCCCAAAATGTTATTTCCAAATAGAGCCCCTACCTTGTCCACCCATGATACTAGATGACGAGGTAAACTAGTTCTGTTTGCGTCCTTCAATACAAGCTCCATAGCCCATTCTTCCACCATGATAATTATTCATAGCCAGCGCTTGTTCCCGTGTTTCAGGGCCTTCAAGCAAATTGTATCACCGCAGTACGGGAACTGCTACACCATAGAAAATCCAGATTTTATTTCCAGGAAAAGTGGGGCAGCCAGCGGTAGGTACAATATTAGCATCAGTGGCGTCACAATGTGCAGGCGGGGGTTGCGTATGGCACCGGGTAACACCATTTATGGGGTGACACCATGACACAAAAAATCGTAAAATTAACTGTCAAAACATCTTTTTCCAGTTAAATCAATACAATTTTAAGGGGAAAGGGTTGAATTAAACCGAAAAGGCAATATTATAGGAGGGGGTGGGGGGATGGCACCCAAAGTTACCAACCACATCGATACGACAAAGTGACGCCACTGTTTAGCAAAAACATGAAGTTACTATTACTTAATCTTAACATAATTACTTATATATATGACTAAAGCTTTTAATCGTATATTAAATGGTTTATATTTTCTGAATTTTGTTTTACTTACGTTCAATGCTCGGGTAATGTATAGGTCTCTAAGTGGTAACTGGCTGTTTGTTGTTGTTGTTGCTGTTGTTGTTGTATCGAACAATATTTCCCAAAAAACTCCGTACAATCTGCTTACAACCATGTTGTGTATCACACGATGCCAGGCCTGGAGCTGATCCTGTCCCTAGAGACAGAAGACTACAGTCCTGTGACCACGTCCAGTAGAGGTGCCAGAGTTATCATCCACGAGCCGCAGACGATACCATTTCAGGACGAGAACGACATAGCAATCAGTCCAGGCATGCACACGATGATCGGTCTCAGACAGGTAAGACACGGGTCTCAGACAGGTAAGACACGGGTCTCAACGCTAAGTCGTTATATCCAGTTCTGTGTCACTGTCTCGGTGCTAAATCGTGCGTTATGTCAAAGACAGGTAAAACACGTGTCTCAACGCTAAATCTTTCGTTATGTTTAATGGGGTGTCTCATCATTCCAAACATTATTTGTCATAAACGTTTCTTGTCGCACAAAAATCCTTCCAAGACTTTGCTATCACTCGTTAAAATAAGAAACAAAATGAATTCAGCCTTACGATATTGTGGTTTGTTTACTTTCGTGCTAGAGAAAATGGATGCTGTGATTGTCAGTATCAGATAAATTAATGTTGTGATTGTCGTTATAAAACATACGTTGGTTACATCCCTTTTGATCTCAATGGAAGATTTATTGATTATTGTTGTTTACCAGATAGAACGCAGAGAAAACAAGTAATAAAAACAGGGAGAGAGAGGTGGGGGGGGGGGGGGTGGTGGTCACGGTAACCGAGGTTTGAGAGGATGTAGGAACAGACTGGAGGGAAATTTAAAGTGGAGAAAATAAACGGAAACAGTAAAATGTGATTTTAAAAATTAGGAGAAATGAACAATATGAGGCGCTGGTCCCTGTGTTCTAAAACATGATGATGTGTCGGTGTATGTGGTTTATAACGGTCTGTGTATGTGCTTTACAACGGTCTGTGTGTTTTCAGGTGAAGATCAACCGTATGGGGGCGCCCTACGCCCCGTGTGAGCCTGGGGAGGAGTTTTTACGGAACAATGGCTACAAGTATACCCGAAATGTGAGTTTCGTATTTGATCAACTGTATTATATTTCTTGGACCACCTGTAATAAGCCACCTGCATTAGACCACCTGCATTAGTTCACCTGGTTTACCTGTAACCCTGCCCTCTGCCCCCAGCTGTGCCAGAAGATGTGTGAAGACCAACACATCCGAACCACCTGTCGCTGCTATGAGTATGAGGTGGACTTCAACACGACCAGGAAAGAAAACCTCCAAGATCACGTGGGACAGTGCGAGAACAAATCAGGTCAGCTATTTATATCCCTATCAGTATCATATGTATACCGGCCAACCATTTCATTAATAGAACGTGACATATGTACGTCGTACAATTATTGTATGTACACACTAGACATACCCACATAGTGTACTTCAGTATGTGGGTATTTCTAATGTAATATCTAAAAAAATTTTTTATTTTATAACTTTTATTTTAAAGCTTTTGTATATGGTTATAATAGTCATTGGACAAAATTAATGTAAAACGTATCAAACATCAGTAATATATGCCGGGGATATACTGAGACCAACTAATGGCCCAACTGTGCTCAGCCATGTAGCTAAATAGTTTTTTATATTATAGGTTTTTGTGTTGGTCATTATTTGTGCCATCAGGTCAGAAGTGTGGCAGGGATGAAGTTGGAAATATGGTCGTCCCAGGAGTGGATGCTCTTGTTGTGACAGTGTGGCCCATTTGTTTTCATTCATATATTTCTGATAACTGACTGGACAAAGTTTCCATACATCTTCTAGTGACAACAATTTACCATCTTTCTTGAAAACATTAAAATACAGTACAGGAACTTGATAACTCTCACTGTACAGCACATGATACTCATATGTGTGAGTCTCGTATTCCCTGTGCAATGGCATGCGGCTGCTATCTGACTCATCTGAAATTTCTTCTTCTTCTTCTTCGTTCTTAATTATTAGTGTTGAAGGGGATCGAGACTTTGTTCAAATTTATGAGCCATGAGCTTTTTGCCGACTCGACCACGCCCCCAACACAATTAAGCGTTACGTGTCAACTGATTATGCGCCATTGAGGCCATTGACTCCGATTTCAGCCTGCTTTTCTTTTTGGATTTGCTTCCATAGCCTTTGTCCAACCAAGAACAAACTACAAGGCAGCAGTTGTTTAATTTTGGAGTTGTCTCTCCTAGAAGAGTGGCTGTCCCCAGCTAACGAGCCTCATCTGCCCGGGGGTTCGAACTCGAGACTTTTCGGTTAAGCAACCATTAGCTTTACCGACTCGACCACGCCGACCCCATCTGAAATTTCCATTTCAACAAGTGTTTCCATGTTTTGTTCACAAGGATCAGATGCTGAGCATTTAGTCAGTCTTTCTAAAGGAACATTTTTTTTTGTGGAGATTTGATATTTCGCTAGACCCAGAAGCATCTGATGGTGAAATTACATTGCATTTCTTGTGCATGAAAACTGTATTATTGATCCCGCTTTCCATGTGCCATTTGTCATCGATTTTGTTTGATATATCGACAAAAGTTTCAACTACTCGCGAGAACTCTTCCTGAGTAATAGAACCAGCAGCCATCAGTATGAGATGGACCTACTCAGCGTGACCTATGGTCGGGCCAGTTTATGCTATACTACATTTTTTATTTTTTTTTAAGTTTTATAAATTTTAATATTACGTAGGCCAATACAAACGCCTATACCTTATTTTAAAGATTATTTTCTTGTTCAGTACTGTCTTCAAAAACATAGACCACATTTCCTTCATTTAGTTCTTCAAGCTTAGTTTCCCAAATGAGGTCCTGTCCATGTGAAGAAAACTTTATCGAAACAACACTCGACCTACCGTCCTCATTTCCTTACATCTTCCGAAAAAATAAAACGCAGACACTGTCTCTTCTCTCTGCATTATTAAGGTAACTAAAATATTTGTTTTAAACACCGATCAGTAACTTGCGATCTCTAAAAGACAATTATCTAACTCTTCTTAGTCCGTGGTCGACCCTTACGCAAGAAACATGCAGTCTTGAACAATACTTCGCTGATGTCTTCTAGTTTACAAATGGCTAGAATTTAATCTTGTTATCTCCCATCTTAGTCTTGAATTTAGTAATTTTCTAATAAAATGTTTATGATATTTAATACTATACTTAATTAGATTTAAATAGATTTAAAAATTAGATATTCTTGCTTTGTCATCGGAGACGAATGTATCTGAAAAGTTGTTTTTTTTCAATTGTTTTTCAGAACGTATTTGTCTTTATCAAGTTCGCTGTCGGCTGGAGTCAGACGAAACAACGTGTAACTGTAAAAGTCCTTGTAGGTGAGTAAACGGCACGCACATGCGCACATGTAAGAGTACTTGTAGGTGAGTGAAAGACAGGCACATGCGCACATGTAAGAGTACTTGTAGGTGAGTGAAAGACAGGCACATGCGCACATGTAATAGTACTTGCAGGTGAGTGAAAGACACGCACATACGCACATGTAAGAGTACTTGTAAGTGAGTGAACGATATACAGGTGTGAGCTAGTATTTGCAGGTTAGTTATCGACATGCACTTTTAACAGACGTTGACTTGACTTAGTCCTCTTTGCTCCTTATGGAACATAGGGCCTCCACCATTTCCATCCATTTCTTCCTATCCCCGGCTATTAATTTTGTCATCTCCCAAGACATCCCTGTTGGCTTCAGTTCTTCAAGAAGACTCCGCCTCCAGGTCTGTCTTGGGCGCCCCCTCTTCCGCTTTCCCTGGGGGTTCCACTCAAGCGCTTGGCGTGTAACATTTGGGTGAGCCTTTCGTAGCGTGTGACCCACCCAGCGCCACTTCCTCCTTCTTATTTGCACTGTCATAGGCTCTTCAACAGACGTTACAGGTAAGTATACAGCATATTGGCAAGTTAAGACATGAATGTATAAAAGTGTCCTTGCGGGGAATTCAACAAATGGCCGGTAAGTTAAGATTAACATGTGTTAGTTAGTCCTTAATGGTACGTATGTTGAAGCCAGGCCCTGTATAAAAGTTGTCTTGCGAAATTCTTTTTTTTTTTTTTTTTTTTTTTGGCGTTTTTTATTTTTTACAATTTTCGTCATCTGGAAATCGTTGGTTTTGAGTTTAACTTGATTATGCAGATAAGCGACTTAATTAAACACTGTATTTTCCAGACCAGTCCTTGTAAGATTAGTACATCCATGCTTATCCAGAGAATTATATTAAAATAGGCCTACACAATTAACGCATATAAAAAATATGTGAGGCATACTTTGTAAATATTTTTTTTACAAGTGTTACATTTTTTTTCCTTTCAGTGAAATCGGCTACGAACAAACCATCTCCACATTGCGGTGGCCGACGGACACTTTCCTTGTAAGTACAATTAAAATGACGTCACCATTAAGTACAATAATCTTTCGTTCGAGCTTGGATATCAGTATTTCAGAAGAAGTAGAGTTCACCTGTTTCTGTAACCGCGGCACATAAAGGGATAGTGTGGTCAGCTCTTTGGTCAGCTACTTTTCCAAAAGTGTGTAACCTTCAGTGTTAGATCGAAGCAGAGAGGTCGTGCGCTCTACTACCCCTACCACGCCGCCATACAGTATTTATTAGGGCAAGCAATGCTAGAATAATTCCACTCACTCACATGTCCTGTAAGATGCTCCAAAAGTAACCCAAATGATAAGTTTTGCCTGACTTGGTTACGTCTTTTCCGGGTGTTTTACATTACCTACCCAATGCTGTAGTGTAGTGTAGAAAAGTAGCTAACTAAAGCTAACTTAAGTTAACTGAACATTTACTAGCATTAGTGAACATGAAGGTTAGGTTGTTAGCATTAAGCTGCCTAATTTGAAGTTAATGTCTGTCATTACATGTAATGCCTGCCATTATATGTAATTCATGCAATTACATTTTCTGCCTGTCATTACATTGCTTACCGGACATTATATTTCCTACCTGTCATAACCCGTGTTGCCGGTCATTACATTTTATGCCTGTCATTTCCTTCCTGTCAATACACTTCATGCTTGTCATTACATTTCCTTCCTGTCATTACCTGTGTAGCCTGTCATCCCCAGGAGTACATCAAACCTGAGATCTGCAGGGTAAACCCACCAGCTGTTTGTAATGATACTAATGCCACTAATGCTGAGATACGGTAGGTTTGATTGTTGATTGGTAGGTTTAGTTGGTAAGTTTAATTCTTTCTAATTGGTAGGTTTGTTTGGTAGGTTTGGTTTGTTAGTTGGTTTAGTTAATAGTTTTAGTTGATAGGTTTGATTGGTAGGTTTAACTAGTAGGTTTAGATAAGAGGTTTAGTTGGGAATTTAGGAAACAGGCCGACACCCAAAAGGCCGACATGGACAAAAGACCGACGAGGACAAAAGGCCAACACATAAAAGGCAGAGCGAACATAAAGCTGATAGACTATAAAGCCGACATAAAAAAGGCCGACATCCAAAATGGGTTTGGGCTGTTTTATTTTATTTATTTTATTTATGTTTTTTTCTGATTTTATGGGAAGGTGTATACACCAATCCTTAAAAAAATAAAAACAGCAGATAAATTAATCCTTCTTTTTTTTTTTAAATAAAAAATACTTTTTATCGTCAAAGTATTTCACAACTTGTTCCGATAAATGAAAAATAAATTACAAGAGAGACTTTGTTAATTAAAACAACAGTCGTGGTATGTCTTTTATAAACATATTTTCCTCTCACTATCGAGTTCCATTTGAATAGAGCGTTTACTGTGTTGATTCATTGTTGACTTTCTCTCCTTATTTCAGACAAGAGTTGGTCAAGCTTAGCGTCTACTTCGAGGACCTGAATTATGAAGAGCTGACAGACCAGCCTAATTATGAGGTGGGTCCAAACTAGAGGCATGGGGAGGGAGGAGGGGGCTAGTGAGAGCAACGGTGTCCTGTACCTAAATGTTTTCAGTTAGATCACATTATCAGCTAACACTGAAAATAAAGTTTGTTGGTCATTACCTTGATAATAAAGTGAAAAGTTGGCGCTCGTTTATGCTCTCGCCGTCCACCCCTCCCCCTCCCACAGAGCAGTGTTTCTTCCAGACTTTTTTTCTCTCCTGTGGTGGATGGGGAAGGGGCTGTTAAAAGTATGTTTTCTATATAAATTACATTTCGTTCTCGGGGAGGGGGGGGGGGGGGGGGTTAGACTGGAAAAAAAACCTCTGCCCTTGAAAACCTAACTATGCCCAAGTTTAAACTCCACCATTGTAACGTAGACTCAACTATTACTTATCTTTTAAGTTTTCGTCAAACTGAAATAATTTTTTTTAAAACTTACACTAATGCTAAAAAATTGATTTAATAAAGCAATGCACATACCGTTATTTTAATTATTAAAAATTGTTACAAATCCAACTAATTCAACGTTTCATAAATAAAAAGATTGGCTTTGAAAAAAAATAATCTTTTGTTTTTCTTTTTCAGTTTTCAAATTTTCTTTCCGACATCGGCGGGTCTATAGGCCTCTGGACCGGCCTGTCTGTCATTAGTCTATTTGAAATAGTTCATCTGGTCCTGGAAATTGTGCGTTACATTGCATGTCGAAAATGGCGGAAACAGGAGCCTCAACCCGCATTGGATGGGCATTCGTGACGTTGGTGTTTAGCCTCGAACCCAAATTCAAAGTTTACAATCAGACCGGTGGCTGATCTCTCGTCTGCTCTTGTTGTTTGCAAGAGATTTTCAGATGTTTTGATGGAGAAAAAAAATCTCTTTTAACAAGTCCGTTTCTAGATATTATTCCATCGATTGAAAAGTTTCGTGTCCTTTTTTCATGAAACTACCCGATGATTTTAGTATGAACGCATCGTTTTTTAAGCCAAGCCTAGTCTAGGTGTTAAGGTTTAGACTAAATGTCTTTCTTTGTTGACCGATGATATACAGACTGTTATATAACATTCAAATGAACTTCAATTTGTTAGATAATTTTGAAAGAAATTGGTAAAACGACAATCACTTGGATATCCATTTGAAAAGGTTGAAATGATATTCATTTCGATAATATTGACATGATATTCAGTTTGAAAATTTGGAAATGGATTTATAGCACGAAAATATTGAAATGATGTAAAAATTGGATCTGATATACCGTTTGAAAATATTGAATTTGAAAACGTCTGCTGTTTGATTTTATTGTTAGTGACATAAAATTAAGAAAATGTTGATATGATTCACAGAATGCTGATATAATAGGGTATATGTTAAAAGGAAATGTTGAAATGATTCACAATATGTTGATATAATAGGCTATATGTTGAAAGAAAATGTTGAAAAGTTGTTTTAAATTGTTGATGTAAATACCAAAGTGTAAATACAAACGGTGAGCGACATTTTAATATTTTAATATTAGAACAAATAAAATTTTACTCACTAAAATCTGCTTGTTATGTGCTTGGTAAAAGTTGGGTCAGGGTGTGTTGTCAATGTCAATGTGTCAAAATTTGGGTCAGGGTGTGTTGTCAATGTCAGGGTGTCAAAATTTGGGTCAAGGTGTGTTGTCAATGTCACGGTGTCAAAATTTGGGTCAAGGTGTGTTGTCAATTTCAGGGTGTCAAAATTTGGGTCAAGGTGTGTTGTCAATTTCCGGGTGTCAAAGTTTGGGTCAAGGTGTGTTGTCAATTTTAAGGTGTCAAAATTTGGGTCAAGGTGTGTTGTCAATGTCACGGTGTCAAAATTTGGGTCAAGGTGTGTTGTCTATGTCAAGTTGCTTGTTGTAACATTTCACCCTGACATTAGGGGAAAGGAGACCAGAGCAGTTTGCAAGAAAAGCATTGCGAGTGTTCCTGTTTGTATGATTTGGAAAAGAAAACATCTGCATATCACTGAATTAAGAAGTACGGACTAGGATAAGAGCTTTGATTTACTGACTAAAACCGGAGCTTATTTTCCTTTTCTTCGTTCTTAATTGCAATGTCGGCTAGTGTTTCCTCAAACACAATTAATTAAGTATTACGTGACTATATCAAAGTCCGTTTACATACAGTTTAACATGATTGAGCTTAGTTTAGCTCAAATATGACGAGACAGCCAGTTGCAAACTTGGAGCACACATATAACGACGTCACTTTGGAGCACACATATAACGACGTCACTGTGGAGCACACATATAACGACATCACTGAGTTCTATGATAAACAGCTGCATCTCTTGTGATCATCATCATCATTATCAACCCTTAAGCCACAGTTGACCTTATAAATCTCCGCCATCCATCTCTGACCTATGCCGCTCTGATTAGTTCTTAGACGGGCAGCCCCGTCCTATCCTTGATGTCCTCCATCCAGCCCAGTCTTATCCTTGATGTCCTCCATCCAGCCCCGTCCTATCCTTGATGTCCTCCATCCAGCCCCGTCCTATCCTTGATGTCCTCCATCCAGCCCCGTCCTATCCTTGATGTCCTCCATCCAGCCCCGTCCTATCCTTGATGTCCTCCATCCAGCCCAGTCTTATCCTTGATGTCCTCCATCCAGCCCCGTCCTATCCTTGATGTCCTCCATCCAGCCCCGTCCTATCCTTGATGTCCTCCATCCAGCCCCGTCCTATCCTTGATGTCCTCCATCCAGCCCCGTCCTATCCTTGATGTCCTCCATCCAGCCCCGTCCTATCCTTGATGTCCTCCATCCAGCCCCGTCCTATCCTTGATGTCCTCCTTGATGTCCTCCATCCAGCCCCGTCCTATCCTTGATATCGTCCTTGATGTCCTCCATCCAGCCCCGTCCTATCCTTGATGTCCTCCATCCAGCGACGTCTTTGCCTTGATGTCCTCCATCCAGCCCCGTCCTATCCTTGATGTCCTCCATCCAGCCCCGTCCTATCCTTGATGTCCTCCATCCAGCCCCGTCCTATCCTTGATGTCCTCCATCCAGCGACGTCTTTGCCTTGATGTCCTCCATCCAGCCCCGTCCTATCCTTGATGTCCTCCATCCAGCCCCGTCCTATCCTTGATGTCCTCCATCCAGCCCCGTCCTATCCTTGATGTCCTCCTTGATGTCCTCCATCCAGCGCCGTCCTATCCTTGGTGTCCTCCATCCAGCGCCATCTTTGCCTCCCCTTCATCTCCCTCCAGGCACAGAGCCTTGCTTTAATTATTATTTTGGATAGGCCGTTTGATCTTGTGACATGCCCATACCAGCTAAATTTTCTTGTTTGGACTGTGTTCAGTAGAATCTCTAAGGGACCTATCGTACATGATCACAAATTGTATATAAAGTAGGCCTAAATCGTTATAAGTTTAAAAAATATACAACAACCCAACATTACAGTAAATCTTGCCGCAAGGTATGTTACAAGCTTCAGTGGGAAAAAAATCGCACTTCTGTTTACTTATTTTATTGATTAGTGTGCTCTTTATCGAAGAGAACAAAAAAGTGCATACTGCACCCCATATATATTATTTACTCGATTGCAGGGTGGGACATTTCGATACATTTTACTCTACAATTAAATTAGCACCGTCATATGTTTTGAATAATCATTTTGAATACAACGAATGTGATTTGGTTGTATCGATATGAACAATGGCGTTTCTGTGTCTCTTCTCTGAATAACATCTTTGTATTTTATACATCGCAAAGATTTTAGTCAAAGCAGTAACCCTACAAACAGAGTTTCTTTCAGGCATCTCTTCAGTGGGAGGGAAGAAAAAAAAGCCAGAAAAACACTGCCTACAAATAAACAATGTGCTGCTCTAATACGCTAAACACTGGCCTTACATTTAGGGGAAACTATTTCGATTAAGGGGGGGGGGGGGGTTCCAGATTACTATTTGTAAAGGGAAATAACTAGTATTCGTACTATACTATTCATTTCACCATATCTCAAACAACGTGTGTATTATAGCTAGTACGTGTGAAATTGTTAACATGATTATTGATTATCGATTTTTTTGTTTCTTCCTTGTATATAATTATTTTAGGTCCTGCTAAACTTTATACAAATCTACATTTAGATATTATTGTAATATGAACATTTTCATTAAACAAAAAATTAAGACTATATAATATAGTCAGCTTTAAAGCAGTAGATCTAAACTTTAATTCTATAGACTATTTAGAAACAGGAAAGCTCAAAACCTTTATTAGGTTAAAAATTGTGAAAACAATCCTAAACAAAAATCTTTGTTGTATTTGAACCACTGGTATCTGACGTGTAGAAAACATTTTATTTTTATTTTAGAATAAAAACTTAAAACGTACAGATGGCTTCTATCATTGAATATTTTTAATACTAATCAGTGCAATTATTCATCTGCTAATTATCTAGACTAATTTAGTATTGTTCTGAAACGTGCTGATTATAAACAGTGAATTCAGACAACGAAGACGTGAGTCCGGTTGTGGGATAATTAAATTTTTTTTTAAAAAAGACGATGACACAGGAAATTTAGTTTTTGCAAACATTTGGAGCCTTACAACACTGTAAGCGTCTAGGGTGAGAGGCACCTTGTGACCGTGTGAGGGTTGACCGCTAGGAAATGGCGAATGACACGGAGACACGATGGGTTCGCGGGGACAAAGCTGCAGGGCTGACGCAAACTCTAGAAGAAAACCGTACGTCACCGCAAGTAAACGACCGCGCACAAAACCCTTTCCTCGACTCCTGTTTCAACCAAGAGGTCGTCACCTTGTTCCAGGTCATGACATGTATCGTCAACCCTACCGTCGCCAGCGTCGGGTTGCTAGGCAACGTTTTCAGCCTCCTGATCCTGGTCAAGAACGGGCTGAGAAAATCTTCCAACGTATTTCTCCTGGCTCTGGCATTATCGGACTCTATGTACCTGCTGGGTAACGTCAGTGTCCTGTACCTCTTGATGGCGCTGGGGCCGTCCAAATCTGGGGGCGTGGCTTACGGCTGGATGTTCCAGGAGCAGGTCTCTTACGTCTGCTTCCTGCTGGACAGAACCGTCCTAGTCATTTCGTCGTGGGGGAGCTACGTGTCTACCACCATACCCGTAGCCATCATGGTCGACCGCTTCATCGCAGTCGTCTTTCCTCTGCAGTTTAAAAACGTGATGACATGCAACAGGGCAGTGATTGTAGTGGTCGTTATGTTTGTTGTCTGGTTACCATGGTGTTTGATCGCCAATACCACCGTGGTATTTCAGTATTCAATCTTGAGCGAGGATCAATATTTCGGATTCTACATCCGATCTGATTTTTTCATCGATAACATCGATATTATCTACCTCTTTTACACACTCGTCTTAAACTTCATCAGCTGCATAATACCAGTGTCGTTCACCATCGTCGGCAGTTTCATCATCGGCGTTAAAGTCAAAATCACCATGCACAAACGGCGAAAAATATCAACTTCTAGGACGGCCGGACAGTCTCGAGTGACTCGAACCCTAATGACGGTCTCGCTGACCTTTGCAGCCGCCAACATCGCGTACTTTGTCGTCTCCTACGTGTACACGGAAGAGCTCATGAGCGGAACGGAAATGACGCACGTGGTTGAAGAGTTCCAGAATTTACTTCTTCTTCTCTGTAGTTCAAGCAACTTTTTTATCTACATCGTTTTAAATCCCAAATTTAGAAATGATTTTGTAAAAATTATTGTTTGGAAATTGTAACGCACATGCAGTTTTAAGGAGCTAATTGTAAATTTGTTTAATAGAGTATATTCATATTGTTTATGAGGGTTAGCGTGGTCGGGTTGGTAACAGAGTTTCTTCCAGGCATCTCTTCGGGGGGTGGGGGGGGGGGGGGGGGGGTACCGCCCCCCGAAGAAAGTCTACCGCCCCCCCCCCCCCGAACGAAATGGAATTTATATAGAAAATATATACTTTTGACAGTATCCGCCCCCCGGAAATTATTGTCCGCCGCCCCCGAAAATTTCAAGTGCACCCCCGGAGAAAAAAGTCTGGAAGAAACACTGGTTGGTAAAGCTCATGGTTGCTAAACTGAAAAGTCCCGAGGCTCGATATGTGTGGACAGCAACTCATCTTGGAGAGAAAACTCCAAAATTAAATAACTGCTACCTTGTAGTTTGTTCTTGGGTGGGCAAATGCTTTGGAAGCAAATTAAAAAACAAAACAGGCGGAAGTGAAATCGGGCTTAACAGCATATATGGCACATAACAAGTTGACTTAATACTTTATTGTGTTGTAGGAAGTATATTACCGATAGCGTATGAAAAGTAGGAATTCTAAAAGCATTCTAGGCACTGCATGTTATTTTCATCTCCACATACGAAATATCTGTATTGTTATATACTAAAGATAGTATTTGTATAAAATTCATTTAAATTGCGAAATGTCCACTTTTGAAATGACTTTTGATCCACTAAACACAAATTTAATAATGTATTTGCAGGTTAGTCGACTGACTACATCATTAATGACTAAATGCATTAAAACGATAAGATCACATACTTGTTCTATATAGTTCTTATGTTAAAATAAAAAATTTCCAAATAGCGGTTGAAATCTCGTTATGTTGTTTACAACTACACTGTAACACTAAGGTAGACAATACAAGTTTCTAATTATAATTAAAATATATTTTCATTGGGAACAGGGCATTTCCCCCCTGTCAATTACCCCCCGGATATTTCCCCCCCCCCCGACATTACCCCCCAGAGTAATTACCCCCCCTGTCAATTACCCCCCTGTCAATTACCCCCCGCCCAGTAGGACATTACCCCCCCCCCCCCCTGGACAGGGTTAGAGTTAGGGTTAGGGTTAGGGTTAGGGTTAGGGCTAGGTTTAGGGTTAGGTTTAGGGCTAGGGCTAGGGCTAGGGCTAGGGCTAGGGCTAGGGCTAGGGCTAGGGCTAGGGCTAGGGCTAGGGCTAGGGCTAGGGCTAGGGCTAGGGCTAGGGCTAGGTCTAGGGCTAGGGCTAGGGCTAGGGCTAGGGCTAGGGCTAGGGCTAGGGCTAGTGTTAGGGCTAGTGTTAGGGTTAAGGTTAGGGTTAGGGTTAGGGTTAGGGTTAGGGTTAGAGCTAGTTTTAGGGTTAGGGTTGTGTCTAGCTTTGGTTTTGGTTTTGTGTGAAGTTTTAGGCTAAGGTGGATGCTTAGGTTTTGGTCTTTTTCTTACGGTTTGGATTAAAGTAGTATATAGGTATAAAATTCTAGTTAGAGTTAGGATTTTAACTTGAGAGGGGGGGGGGGGGTAATTCCCCGGGGGGGGGGGGGGGGGGTAATTGACAGGGGGGTAATTGACAGGGGGGGGGGGGGGTAATTGCTCCGGGGGGTAAATACGGGGGGGGGGGGGGAAATGTCCGGGGGGGAAATATCCAGGGGGGTAATGTCCTGTAGCCATTTTCATTATCTAATTGCACGTAGACAAACGATTTTGAGACGTAATATTAGTCAAGTCAGCTGGAGCTGCCTGGATGAGTGTAATTGCGTGGCCGAGTGTCAGGGCACACTAACACCAACACGAAGATCTCGAGTTGGTATCTGGTTTTAACTAGGGAAAGTAGAGGTGGCTGGGAAAGTGATGTCACGTCAGCTAAATCCTACCAGATCAGCGAAACAGATATACTCTAATTCATGGTCCCTGTGATTGCCTGTGAACCATTATATCTGAGTGGGAATGTTGATTATTGACCCAACATTTATTGGCATTTTATTGATGGTTAATTGTGTTGTACTCATGGCGATATAAACTGGTTATTTTTTTTTCCAACCTTGTTATTACAGGAAACTTTCTCCTATCAAGTAGTTGAATATTTCCTGTACGCACTTAAATTGAGTAGAGTTAGAATTAGCTCCAGATAATATTCTCCATACACTTTTTCTTATTTTGTTTTGTCTTTTTAAAATGAATTCGTCATAAATCTAATACATTAAGCTTTAAAGTATTGGCGTTTTGTCATTTAATAACATATGACATGACATTTGTCAACTATTATCAGGTCGTTTGCAATAGAATATGGGGGGATCTCGTTTTTCACGTATGGTTATAAAACATTTTATTTTTCTGAAAATTAAACTACTTCAATATATATTGTTTAATTTTTTTAAACGTATCTTTTCCGGCCCGACATATTCTCACTCATACCTTTGAGCTTGTCTTAGCCTTTCTAACTATCGTGTTGTTTGCACTATCGTACCAGCAGCTTTAAGACTTGTGTTTTACAACATAGAGTCTATATCCAGATAACTAGACTAGATTGTTTAAACATATCTTTTCAATACTTGTAATCTCAAAAACAACTACTACCTTGTAGTTGAAAGAATTGTTTTTGTACGTGTAATGCCGAACTGTGTTTTTTTTTTAGGGGGTAGGGGTTATTCTTGAAAAGGTGTTTTGTGAGTCCTGACTGGCTATTGTGGGCCAAGTAGATAGAGTTGTGAATGGAAGTGTAATATAACGTTAAATAGTGTCGACGAAAGTGGTTTGAAGCTTGCACAATAATCGTGCTGTATAATGTGTGCATCATGTTTTCCCGTTTTTGCCCAAAACATAACGGGGCAGTTGAGAAGTGGAATTCATCTCAATTCTGTTTCAATTACCTTTCCCGCGATGGTCATATCTAGATCTACATTTAATTAAACATTTACCGATAAAAGCGTGCATTTTTTGATTTGTCCAATGAAAATTCAATTTTATTTTTTCTTATTTCAAATTGTGCATGTTACTCAATATGCCTAATTTAATTATCCTAATACTTGTGCAATAAGTAGGTTAGGGGGTCATCCATAAATGACGTCACGCTTTTTTAAACACATCGTCACAAAAAGCCAGACCCACCCCCCTAAAATGACGTCACACCTCAGCCTACAACCCCCCCCCCCCCTCAAAATTGCAGTTGAATTTTTTTAAAACATCGATATTTTTTTCCAAAATCTTGCCTGAACTGTCAAAATAGAGTTTTTTAATCAATTCATATTGCAATTTATTAAAAAAGTTTTCTAAAACGCGAAATAACGTCTAATATTCGTTTTTCTAACATTGCTTTTTTAAAATGCAAAAGTGTGACGTCGCACCATCTGAATCCCTTCCCCCCCGCCTCCCCCTCATCACACACCGTCACAAAATTACGGGCCCCTGCCCCCCCTCCCCCCTACGAGTGTGACGTCATTTATGAACGACCCCTTATCGTATTATATAACATCGTGACTGAAATCTTTGACTTAAAACCTAGTTACTATAAATACCGATTATCATATGACAGCAACGATCATGTGACACGAAATTGAAACTTACTAGTCTCCCCTTTTCCAAGAAATGTAGTCCGCTGTTTATTTACTTTTAGTTTTACACTTTTAGGCTACTTCAATCTAGCTAAGCTAGATTCTAGAATAGATCTAGAAATCTAGATCTAGATTGAAAAGTTCGACTCTTTCTATAAAGGTAACGTTAAGTAGAATAATACAATTATATTACTTTCAATTACTTTTTTTGTAATGGACTTGTAACTCTAGTAAAGATTTCTAGCTAGAAAATTTCTAAAGAGTTTCTATTAGTTTCTATTACTAGTTTCTAACTAAGTCACTAAGTTAACTTTCTATCACACAGACAGCTGCTAACTTTACTAGATCTAGATTTAACTAACTAGATCTAGATCTAACTTAAGGGGAGAATTTTTATAACGGTGTCCGATAATGGAATCTTCTTTAAAAAAAGTGGTGTTGTTACTTGTTAGATTACTGGTAGTTAACAAAATACACACATGGCTGGCTAATGTCAATGCTAACCCTGTACCTAACCCATAACCCTGGTCCTACCATACACCTAACCCTAATTATTAATTACCAATATATATCTCACCATAAAATTAGTCGAGATTACAATACTACTAATAACCCAACACACCTATTTTATGGAAGAGTCTATTATCGGACACCGGTATCTATAATCATTTAGCCCAATTAATCAATTATTTGTGTTAGGCCTAAATAAAATTAAGCTTGCTATTTATTATTTAAAGCTCAAGACAGATGATATTTTGAGTCAACCCATTGTATGATTGTTTCCCTAGCAGAACAAACCCTCCCGTGGAGCACAGGGACGCAACCACATTGATCCTTTATATCCTTTATCAAAGAATTCATTTTGTATAGCATTTTTACTTTCGATGCTGTATATTTACAGAAATGGAGAATAAAGAGGTGCCAGAAAATAACAGCAATAACGCTGTGCAGAAAAAGAAAAGGCAAAGGAGAAGAAAGAAGAAAGGAAATGGTGCTGATGAAGACCCATCCAAACTCCAAAATAATAATGATAACAAGGATAATTTAAATAACAGTAAAAAAACAAAAAGCAGAAGGAAACGTGATGATAGATACTATGGCAGGTTCAATTGTGGAAAGTGCCGTCGAAACTGGGATAGTGCTCATGTTTACACCATTGGTGGAACTAAGAAAGTGAGAATGTAGATATTTTAATGCTTCTCAGTTTTGGTAAGGCTGGAGGGAGATAACTTTTTGACATTTATGTTTGACAAAAATCTCAGGGGTTGTCTGCATGGTCGGGTTGGTAAAGCTCATAGTTGCTAAACTGAAAAGTCCTAAGTTTGAACTCCCGCGCAGATGAGGCTCTATAGTTGGGGACAGCAAACCAACTATGAGGGAAAGCTCCAAAATCAAACAACTGCTGCCTTGTAGTTTGTTCTTGTTTGAACAATGGCCATGGAAGCAAATCCAAAAAGAAAAGCAGACTGAAATCCGTGTCATTGGCCTAAATGACAAGTTGACACGTAATACTTACTTGTGTTGGAGGAAATCTCTACCAACATTACAATTAAGAGTAAAGTAGAAGAAGGAAGACAAAAATCTTTTTTAATAGCTAGATCAACTTCTGTTGCCAGTATACTAAGGTATTACTGACAGATTGTACTGTCTAAAGGACTTGCGTGATTTCTAGTTTAAACAGAGAAACAACAACAGGTAGGGTCAGATTAAGTTCTAGCATGAGAAAGCAGTTAAGCTTTGGAGTAAACGGTTGCCAAACTGCTAGTTCATTTCCCTGGACTGTAATTGGTATAAATTCAACCAAGCTCTGATGCCATGAAGGTATCTAGTTAGTAAATGTGGCTCAGGCATTAAACTGAACACACTTTCTCATCTCATACCAAAGTCACAGAGACAGGTGAACTCTTTTATATGACCTAAGACTGTCAGGTTTGAAAGAGTAACTTCACTTCCTTTTTCTGTTAAGAAACAGGGCTAGGTATCAATAGTGGTGAATTCTATGTTTCAATTCAATTTGTGTTGGTTGTTTTTTATTCTAAGGCTATACTTAAAACTCCTATACACTAAAACCGATATTTTATATCAAAGACAATTTCTATTTATTGTTCGTATTTGAAGTGTTTTAAAAAATTAAAACACAATATTTTAAACTTTTCCTGACAGGTGAAATACAAACAGTGCTGTAAAGTTTGTAGAGAAACGTGGGTCTTCCCCTACCATATAGAGTTGCTCATGTGCAGTCAGTGCAATTCCCGCCCCTGCCGATGCACTTGTGAGGAATGTGGCAAGTTAAAACATAAAAGATACATTATAAAAAAGACAGACAACCCAGATGAGCCTGAAGTTGAAATTGGTACAGTTTATATTTATGTTTTTATTAAATTGCATCCCCTACAGTTTAAAGAAGGTGTTAAAACTGCATTCTTTAAAGAATGTGTTAAAAATACAACCTGATTGTCTAATCAAAATATTTAGATAAATAAATTTATGTCTGTCTTTTTATGCCTTTTGCATAACTACACCATTCATCCAATCACTATGAAACTTTGTGAAAATGTTGTGTACACGCCCACAAAAGTTTCTGTCAGTGTGTGGATGGGCACCTTGAGTTTCCCCACAACTAACTTAGTCTTCCAGTATTCATCTAAACCAGAGTGCCAGGGCATCTCCATGAGCACTATTTTTAAAGAGCGCCCTACATTAGGGTTATCGTGGGCTACAATTGATTGAAACAGAACCAGGGTCGGCTCCCATCCCCCCTGCGGTACTGTAAACAGTGAGCCCTACAAGTGCCCAGTGATGTGTCTGACAACTGGGCAATCCCCAAGTGGTGTTCTACATTACTGTTGCCAAGGGTGATCACCTGACACTGTTTTCATACACCGTGGAGTGTCTGGGCAGTAGTGTGGTCAAACTAATATAAAAGTGTGTCTTTAAATTGAAATAAATTTAAAAATCCACCTTACAAAACCTACCTTAGGGAGAGTTAACTTATCCTACACTTTTATATGGGAAATGATAACGTTCTATGTTAGCAACCTTGGTATGATCAGTTTCAAAAACTGTTTCCCTTGATTAAATAACCATTTGCTCTACAACCAATCTGTTTTTCAAAGAAATTAAAAGAATAATGATTCATTTTGATTTCAGTTGATCCAAACTTCAAATACTGCAGATGTGAGGGAGGGAAAGATATCCAGATAGGTGCTAATATTGATGTTAAAAAGAACCACATTGCAGATTTATGCCAAAAGTGCTTAAAGGGCAGGCCTTGTGGTCGAAGAATGGAAAATAATAGTGAAGAAAATGAGCAATAATATTAATAATAAGGCCTATATCATTGTATACCAAAACTCTGTAAAACATTCATTTGTATTTCAAACTATTGGTACCTGTGTAATTTAACATTTTATAAGAAAATATAACCAAACATATTATAGACCTATAATCAGATTTTACATTTGTTATAGTTATGGCGGTATAATCTTGTTTTTTATTTTTTAAAAACCAAACTTTTTTATCATTGCTTCAGTCTTTCATGAGTAATTATTTTGTTTGTGTATGCTCTTCTTTTAACTAATCAAATACAATTGTTTACACTTCTTTTTTTTACCTTTTAATAACCACTGTGATAATGTCCTCATTATTTATATCTCTTAATGTTTTAAGTGTTTGATATATATATATATATATATATATATATATATATATATATATATATATATATATATATATATATATATATATATATATATATATATATATATAAAGAGATACCCAATGCCTTGGTGAAAAATGGTAGACTATTATTTTGCATTTCTTGAAATTATAAATCTATGCATGTAACATGCTGTGATGCTTTTGAAAATTTAAAAATCTGTTCTGCCCAATTTTCAGCTTTAATCCATCAATTGCAGTGATTGTAAAATCACCGTGTGATCCTATGTACAATCATGGTTTCTATTTACATCAATTGAAATTAATTATTTATTGTTTTTCCTAGTCAGTTTTTCTTTTGAATGCATCATATTGTAAGAAACGGGAAGCATAACCTAAAAATGTACGTGCAATTTCACATTTGATTGTTAATGCGGGTAATCTATCTATTTTTGAAAGAAAAAAATATGAATTTTGTCTGATATGAAGCTAAATGAACTATTTATTAAAGATTTCCTTATGTACCCAACATGTTGACTTATTCTCATTTTTTGTTTTGTGCTGTTCTTCCTGGTTGGGTAAAGAAGTTTACATGTCAACTGATAAAATTTCCTGTAGGTTTTCAAGACAGTATAACATGGGCATTTGGTTACTAGAAGCAACTGGGCAATACAAATCCTGGCAATTGTTTTGTGTAACATCCATGATCCATAGAAGTTGAGTGATGATTTTATAATAAGGGGTGGGTGGTTAATTCCAGTCAGGGGCGTAGCGAGGGGGGGGGGCGGGGGGTGCGGACCGCACCGGGTGACACCATTTAGGGGGGGTGACACCAAGGCAAAAAATAGCAAAATATATAGAGAAAAACTTGAGGGGGGGGGGGGGGGTGTACAAATCGAAAGTTTGAGGGGGGGGGGTGCAAATCAAAAACTTGAAGGGGGGGTGCAAATCGAAAACTTGAAAGTTTGTCCCCGGGAAGGGTCGCAACGCCTCTGGGGGGGGGGGGGGGGGGTGACACCCGACCTCGCTACGCCACTGATTCCAGTAGTGTATAGAATAGGTACAGGTCATGATTGTGTCATGTTATTGTGATATATGATAGAATGTGCAAAGCCCATGCAAGGTCTGTTGACAATCAGAAATCATCAGATGTAGAGAAAAATTTTAACAGTAGGTTAATTAATGAAGTAAATAGGAGGGGTGGTTCCCCATTAAGTGTGACGTCACAGTTAAGCATTAAAAAAAGTATTCATTGTTGGCAGTTATTTTAAAGTTAAAAAGGTTGTATGTGGACTATGATACAAATGTATCAATATACTTCTTCTGAGCTCAGTTAAAAAATTAAGTATAATTCATGTTTAACGGTTTGTGGGAGGGGGTTAAAGTATGATGTCATTTTAGGGGTTTTACATCTTGTGACAGTGGTCAGGGAATGGGAATACCGTCATTTATGGACAACTTCTATTCTAATTTCTAATTGTATTAAACAAACATTGACATTAAATTGACTCGAAAAAAATAAACGGGATTGTCTTCCATTAAAATTAAATGGTTAAAAAAATTGTTCAATTAAAAAAAAATCAAACTTTTTAACTTGCTTTGTTGTGGCTGTCGACTATAACCCTCCCCATTTATGGCTTATTGGAATGAAATTAAAATTAAGTATTTACCATATGAGTCATAGATCGACTATTGCTATATTATTACAAAGAATATGACAGATTATCCTTATTCCACAACTAGATTCTCTTTAGTTTTCTATAAGAAAAAAAAAATCAAGCGCTCGGTTGTCATCTGAAAAATGTATGAAGATATAACATTGGCATTTATACCAAGGCATTTATTTCTATATTAGCCTATATCTAGACTATATGCCTGCTAGCCTATATTCAATAGCGTCACTAGGCGAGGTGTCATCAGTGCGGTAACTGAGGATGTCTTCCCCCCCCTCCCCTTCTCCCTTACAACAAATTTGCATTTTCGGTTTAGTATCATTCGGTGTGGACAGTATCGCACCCTGTGTCCGTTCAAAACACTTAACTTTGGGGAATTTTGGGGCATTAAAACTAGTGTTTTGAACGGACACAAATTTTAAAAATTCATAAAAAATTAGTTTGAAGATAAGCACTTAAAATTTTTAGCTGATTGCCCCAAAATATGGAAGAAGATTATGAATTGATTGTTTATTGGGCTTAAAATGTAATATTTTGTGAATGGTGGAAAACCTACGAAGGGGTTAATTTTTCAAGATGGCCGCCGTTTTCATAGTTACCAAGATTTTTTCAAAAATTTTTTTTAGTGGAAAAGCATATGCGGATGTATCTTAATAAAGCTGTAAAGAAATAACTGTTTTCTAACGAGTATTAAAAAAGTTTTTTTTTACCGGAGCCTTCCCCCTTAACAGTGTCCGCCCATCCGGAAATTTTAGTTCCCCCCCCCACCCCGGAGAGCATAACGAAATACTTATAGGCCTATCGGCTTATATTACAGGTGCTTTATGCCTACATTCGTTTAGGCCTATTGCTTAATTAGTGTTTAGCTTAAATTGCAACATTACATTCATAATTATGCTTATTTTATTATGAATTTAAAATAAGATAAAAATTAGATTTACAGGCCTAGATCTCGATTTATAAATAGATCTAGAATCTATATATAAATCTATATATGCGATGGCAATTTTTTTAGATCAAGAATTTCAACTAGAAATCTTATAAATCTAAATAGCAATATCATATTATAATTCAAATATAATTATTTATTAAAACTTTTGATATTATCCAATAGAAATAAAATAACGCGAATTAGATTGATAATTAGTCTAGACTTCAATTAATCAGAGTAATTAGTGGCCTAGCCTAAACCAAAACTATATCGTAAGGTCTAGCCTAGTAGCTTAGTTACGGAAACTAACGAGAATTCATTCTCTCTAGCCATTGGCAGAATAATCGTACGACTGTTGGATGACCCTATTCCCGATATAGTTCCAGTTTGCGATTGGCGGAGTTTCCGTGCTGCATTGTAACAGCGCTTTATTCATCTAGCCTATGCTCTCTGAATAAAAGAAAAGCTTCAGCTTATTAACATAGATCTAGATCTAGCACTAACTGAGACCGGCAACCGCAATAGATCTAGCAGAGAATCAAGCTTTATTGGTAAATATTAAAATACACAGAAATGACTATAATATTACTTAAATTAGACAATTTAAATCATCGGCCTAAGCAGGCCCAGATTGTTGTTTATCTGAACAACTAACATAACTAATAAAAAATTTAAAAAAAAAATCTTGCTTAAGTCTTGTAAGTGAAGATATTTTAAATTTTCAGACTAATGACTAAAAAAGTAATGCCCAAGGAAACATTTCAAGTCTTGCTAGACTGTTAGACTAGATCTAGAGTAGATCTAGATTCTACTTAAATTCTATGCAGATCTAGGCCTAGTTTAGTCAAGTGAACTATAGAGTGGCATACTTTTTTGTTAAAGGGTTAACCGGCTGAATGATGTCATTGTGGTTGAACCTCTGCTGGTGAGTCAGGGGAGTTACTCCATGGACCTAATATTGGGTCCCCCACCCCAACCCCATTTCCTTGCACTGATCACCGAAGCATGACGTTAGGATGTTATGCCTATTTAAATATAGTTGGATATTTTGGATAGTATTATAGCCTAATATTTTAATAGAATAGTTTTAAAAATGCATGAATTAAGACCTTAAGATTAAGATTCTAGTTAGTAGTTAGGCTCCAGAGTCTAACTATTATATTTTCAATTGAATACAGTTATGTTATGCAACATAACTGGCAATTTGAAATCTTTTATTCAAGGCCTATGGCCTATGGGATGGGATCAGTTTATTATGTAGATTCAGGTTTTATTGGTTCTTGGAGTAAAATATAGTACATAAAGGGCACGTATTTATAATACATTTATAAGGCCTATATATGTAAAATATTCTTTCAATTGCTTATACATATATATGTTTGAGCCTGTTACCTTTTTCCAACTAACACAAATCTAATTACATTTACATTTCAGTAGCTATATACAGAGATATTGCCTACATGATGCCTGGACCAGCAACTTCAGTACGTCAAGGTTGGCCTCAAGATGTAGGCATCATTGCATTGGAAATCTATTTTCCATCCCAGTTTGTTGACCAGACCCAGTTAGAAGCCTTTGATGGTGTGTCAGCAGGAAAGTACACAGTGGGGCTGGGTCAGGGGAAAATGGGGTTCTGCTCCGACAGAGAAGACATCAACTCTTTGTGTCTCACTGTGGTTCACAGACTGATGGAGAGGAATGGCATTGATTATAGGGACATTGGGAGGCTGGAGGTGGGGACTGAGACAATAATTGACAAATCCAAGAGCACAAAGTCTGTATTGATGCAGCTGTTTGAAGATAGTGGGAACACTGATATTGAGGGAGTGGACACGACCAATGCCTGTTATGGTGGTACTGCTGCTCTTTTTAATGCTGTCAACTGGATTGAATCAAGTGCTTGGGATGGTAATATTTTTTTTTATATTGACCTTTTTCATAGATTTGTGCTTCAGACAAATTTTACTTTAAAAATCTTTTGAACAGTTGAGGGTGATCATTTTTATGTAATATATTATTACTTATAAATGCTTACCACCATCAGAAAAGTCAGGTGTTATTCTGCCTTTCCATTTTGATGTAGTTTTTTTCCCTGGTAAATTGAAGAATAAATAAGCAAAAATAGTACATTAGAAAAATTAACAAATCAGACAAAAAAAAAAGAGCAGTGAAAATGCAATTATTTCCCTTGGGTGTTTTTTTTTGTTCGTTACCTTTCTGCATATTGATTTAGTGAAATAACAGCTTAATGGGGTTAGAAAGGGGGGAGGGAGTTAAAAAGGGAAGCAGAAATTAAATAGTTAATTGATGTAGGTTCTAACAGAGCACTGCAGTAGTATAAAAGTAAAAATTAGGTAATAGGGCTTGTAAGTCTCTTTACTTCGATTACTTAAAATTTGAAATCTAGTTAGCCAGTGTCAGGTGAATTCTCAAAGATCATTATCAGTTTTTACAATTTTAAATAACCTAACAATAGTGTAAGTAACTTTTATTTCTTTTTTTACCGATTTAATAAACATATTTACAATTGGTTTGAAAAATACTAGCTGGCTAGTATGATAAGAAGTTGGTGACCTACTTACAAGCCCTATTGTTAAAATTCTCATATTAATCAACTTTTTGCTTGCCAATTCATGATACTAGTCATAATGCTGTATTGCCTTATATGCGTTTTTACATGAATTGAAACATTAAAATTGTACAGCTTGTTTGTGTATGATGTACAGGTCGATATGCCCTGGTTGTTGCTGGTGACATAGCAGTTTATGCTACTGGAAATGCAAGGTGTACTGGAGGTGCCGGAGCTGTGGCAATGTTAGTTGGACCTGATGCACCATTAATCCTTGATAGAGGTAATGTTTGGCGGATTTAATTTAAATATCATAACACTAAGGGGTAGGTTATTGCTAGAGACTATTTAGCAAACAATAAACTTATTTAGCGATAAGCCATTATGTCACTTTTTAATAATTTGGTAGAATTTTTAACTCTTTAAATTAATTATAAATCAATGTTTTAATTGAATTACTTTTTCGTTTTCAGGTGTGCGTAGTTCACACATGCAGCATGCTTATGACTTTTATAAACCTGACATGGCTTCTGAGTACCCTACTGTTGATGGAAAACTGAGCATCCAGTGTTACCTACATGCACTCGACAAATGCTATGAGCGTTATACTGCGAAAGCTGTTAAAGCTGGAATTAGAAGTAAGTATCAACACTCATAGCCTAAGTACTATCTCAAAAAACATGTCAGTATAATCTGTAAAAGAGTGGCTTACCCAATTTTCGTTTATAATTTTATATGCAATTTTAAGTAAATGCAAATTGTTTGGAGTACATTCACTTTTTGTTTCAACATTCACAGTTATACTATGCTCAAAAGTAACTCTAATTCCTTTTTGTCAAATGCTTAAGAATGTCAGATAAATTTTTATTAGTTAGAAGACAGTTAAGTAAGTCTTAAAAAGTGTCTCTCATTAATATATAAATTATTTTTTTCAATCCAGATGGTAACAGTACACTTGATGTTGGTAGTGCCTTTTTGTTTCATTCACCATACTGTAAATTAGTTCAAAAGTCTTTTGCCAGACTACTTCTCAATGACTTTTTGAGAGATGAGAGTCCTGATTATAGTGGGCGATATGCTGGCTTAGAAGCTCTACGGTAAATATGTACTGAAACTAGTCATCAGTTAAACTTGAAAGAACGTTGTGTGAAAGATGTTTTTTTTATTAGTTACATACGCAAAGCTGAGACCATTCAGCATAAAAATGTGACTGCAATGCTATAAATAACATTTTTAAATTTATTTTTAGGGATGTGAAACTAGAAAACACATACTTTGATAGGACGGTTGAAAATGCAGTGATGACTGCAAGTAGCAAACTTTTTGATGAGAAAACCAAACGAGCTTTACTAGTTGCAAACCAGGTTGGCAACATGTACACACCATCCTTGTATGGAGGACTGGCTAGTTTTATTAGCGGGTGAGTTACTTGTATCTATCTTGTTTGTTCAGCCTATTTTAACAAAAACACTAGTATTTGACAATTACATTGTTGACAGTTTAAAATTTGTATATCTTAAAATCAAATACTATTTATTATAAATTTTATTGTCCTCTGACTTTTTGAAGTTTCTGAAGTTAAGATAAGTATATCTACTTTCAGGGAAACTATTGAGTCAATAGCTGGGAAAAGGATCATTTTGTTTTCATACGGATCTGGTTTAGCTTCATCAATGTTTTCCATGCATTTTACCGACAATAAAACTGCAGGCGGTGCTCTGGAGCGTCTTGTGAATAGTTTGTCAGATCTGAAATTGAGACTGGATAGTCGGCAATGTGTTGCCCCAGCAGACTTTGATAGCAACATGAAACTCAGAGAACAGACTCATCATTTGGGTAGGGCATGGTGTTTTTAAAATAATTTAGGTATAGTGTTTTATGGTTTATTAACCTGTCTTTTAAACAAAAACTTTAAAAAATTGAATACATTTTTGTTTTGACTTTTCAAATGGCTGAAAATACAAATGCATCTATTTATTTTTAGCACCTTACAATCCTGTTGGGCCAATATCAGTTCTATTTCCTGGTACCTGGTATCTGACAGAGGTTGACAGTATGCATAGAAGGAAGTATCAGCGACGGCCATTAATACTAGGAGACCAAGGAGAAGTATGTATGGCAGAGGTAAGGACTAATATCATGGTGTCCTCTGTAAACATTTAAACCACAAGAAAGGGTGGGGGCTTTAAGTGGTATTAATGAAAACATTTTCCAATCCAGATGTTAGTTATTTTTTAAGGTTTATTGAACAACAAAAACCCTTTTCTCTGATAATAATCATTAAAAATGGCAAGTTGAAAACAGTACTAAACGAATATCTGTGAAAGTCATTTGTAATTACTAGTGCTAAAAAAGTTTAATATCTTTGAATTTAAATGAATTCAAAATCATTAAAATTAGTGGTGCAAATGAATTGTTTACCTATTGAAATTAAAGAGATCATAACAAGTTCCCTGTTCAAAGGAACATCTTAAATTAATAAAATGGTTGTATTTATTTTTAGGTGAAGCACATAGCCCATCATGTTTCAAGTAATGCTCATCTAGAGGTCCAACCAAGTTAAGCTGTACAATATTCAGTGTTGTATGTTGTCCATTTTAGTTTTTATACAATCATATTTGGAGTTGTCTTGTTATATTCAATTGTTTACACCAATTTCTTTGTCTAAGCATAAAAGTTTTTTTTATAAAATTTTAGTGCATTTTATGTGTTATTCTATTTTTAAGCAGTCCTTAATTAATTTTCTGTTGGTGGATATATATTTATCTGCTTCTAACAGAAGTGTTTAGTCTAACAATTTCTAAATGGGCCAACCTTATTTTTCTGGGCAAAATACTACAAAATTTCAGGCATAATTTGTTTATAACAAGAGTATTTTTAAAAACTGGATCACTTCCTAAACTTTGTATACCACTGCTCAGTTGTAATTATTTTCAGGGTATGGTAACAAAAGATAAACTAATTGAAATGATTGTTAACAATCAGGTACTTTTTTTTTTTAGTGTGGCTAGGCTATATTGCTGTTTAGTAAATGCTCATTTTTAAGGATTTTAATTTCAAAATGGCCATTTAAATGTTTTGTGATACCCACCAATTTGTTTAGAAAATAATTTATTTTTATTTTTGTATATTTCATATTTTTAGTACAGTAAGCAATTGTGCAATTTTAAAATCTCCCCTTTAAAGACCACTGACTTTGTTATGCATTGAACGAAATGTGCAATGCACAAGGTGTAGATAATATATTTTTAATTATTAAACATTTTTTACATTTAAACAGCATTTATCAAGTATTTAAACATTATTCACACTGTATTTATTTGAAAATTCCATTTTTCTTTTATGGGTGTTATTGGGAATTCGACAAAAAACAGTTGAATATGATTGGATATCCAATAACAACTATTAGAACATTTGACAGTGGGATCTAAGAACCACATGCTTTTGGCTATTCCCTTTAGTCTTGAAAGATGCACTACCTGTTTCCAATTATTTGCTTCTCTCCTAAAAGATAAACAATATAGCTTTTGCTATATTGCTCTTTGCCAAAGCATATACTATACACATGGTGAAGCTTTTTCATAGAATTAAACAGTATTAAAGTGATTTTTTAAACTATAATTATCCATACACTAATATTGATGAATGGAATTCCGAGAATGTAATGCATTGCTAAGATATGTAGTAATAAAGCTGTATATCTTGAGCAGAGAATGGGGATGCAATTAGCACACTTCACCACCCAATCATTGTGGGACCAAATTGACATAATTTTTAGCTTTGATTTTAAGGGCTTGGGTAGATACTTCTTTCTAATAAAAAAAATATGGCTGGAAAAAGCTTTGTGATATGTATGCATAATTTTTTTCTAACGAGCATTTCTTGCCTGATTGAATTTATTTTTTTAACAAACATCAACAAACGTAGAAGTTATTGCTTCTGGACATGGGTAATTTCTAGTAAACGTTTTATTTTGTATAAGGTTGTATGTTCATTTCTGTGCAATGTGTAAGCTGTTAATGTATTTTTAAAATATATTTTAACTAGTTCATGTTCTCTATTCTCAATTTTGAGTAAAGAAAGATGTTTTAGCATTGTATTTCTAATACCTATACCTAATTTCAATACCTAGTCAACACACACATTTTTATGACTAATTTTCTATGATAATAAAAACTACTATAAATTGAATATTGCATAAAATTTTAATAAGAATAAGATCCATCAATATATTTCAACATCTATCAAAACACTTAGATCTACTACTTGTGTGGCCTCTAGAGGCTAAATGTAAAATAAACATCCAAACTCTAGTACAGGTGGCCAAAAGATATTCAAATACATGTTCCAGTTTCAGGGAATATAATTTGCAAAACTCTCCAAATTAAGTTTTAATTTGTCTGGTGAAATGATATGTAAATATATACATTGAAGAAAAATCACAGTCAAAGTGATAATCAGTTTTAAAACTACAGAGTCACTGCTGCAGAAAAAATAAAACAATTTTCTATTTTAACAGAAAATTAGGTCTTCCAACAAAATTAGGTACCAAAAGAATTTAAGTCAATTCTAGGTAGAGTAAGATAGAAAGTATATTTTAATTACAAGTATCATTGGTGTTACACAAACTTCTAGTCTAATATGTTTTAAAATTTTAAAAATTGTTTTAAAATCTAGATTTAAAAAGAGAACAAGCATAAAAATAATAAAAAAATATTGGTACTTTTGAAAATCAGTACTTCACATTGAGCAATATAAATTTTTATATAAACCAGTGGGGGGTAATAATGGCAGTATTTGGACATTATTTATGATTGATTATGCAGATTTACTCTCACATTTGTCAATATATGGATGGAGATATTCAGTTCTCTGCAAAAGCTTTTATTTATAAAACAATGCTGTGTACAATAACATTAATAAGCTGGTCTGTACTGAATTAAGCTTGGTCAAAATTTATGCTGAACATACTCAAACTTACAACAGCACATACAAATGTTTTTCAGCACTTAACTAAATAAAGATTTGGAGATCGTGTTTACACTTGCGACATGTATACTATGCATGTCTAGAAAAAAGCAACTTTGCAATACGTGAGTAGGCCTCACTATCATGTTCTGATAAAATTAACTTAAGGCATGGTTAGTATACCATGTAATAAGTGTAAACACAGTGTAATGCTTAAAAAGATGAGTCTAATGAATAATAATACAGGAAGTTCAAAGAGGATAGATCAGCCACACTCAGTCATTGGCAAGGCATTTTGGTACCACTTGGATGTTTGCTAGACACTCCATGTGATTGTATTCAAAAGCTTTGACATTTTTTTTTTGTTATACTCGATTCTTAGAACTGTCTCATTAACAAAACTGAAGGCAAAAAGATTGTTATATGTGTAAGGACATTGTTTTACACCAGGAATGATTTAATATGAAAACAAAGATGAGTCAGGAGTAGGTCTAGTTCCTACCATCACTGACCTTAATGCTAGAACATGTATTACTTACACTATAGTAAACACTGACATAGTTGCTACAATCATTAGCATTGAAAAAGTTCTAAAACATTTATCATACTACTTGCACAATACTACAATTAAATACATCTAAGAAACATTGAGTTACTGCATAATTTAAAGAGCAGATAGTTACATTTTTCAAAATATTGTAAAATAAAAAGGGAAAGTAGGCAACTGCAGAAAGCACAGAATTTTGCATATAGGTAAATACATTGTATAAGTAGAGTTTTTCGTTCAAATAGGGGAAACAGAAAAAAAAAACTTGAGCAATATTAATAATAACTAAAAAAAATTTGAAAAATTTTACGTTGCCATTTGATTCATACATAACTGGCCCAGGCATTAGAAAATCTCAGGTTTATTTTTTTTTTTTTTCATTATATTACATTTTTTTTTCAAGTACACAGGTAAATTTCTAATTGTAAAAGATACTGCTGTGCTTTACAATAAAAAAAAAACAACTCCCACACAACTGGGTATAAGTTTCACCTGAATATCCTGCTAATGAATATTATAATTCGGATAGTAATTATGTGACAGCTGCTAGCAATTTTACAAGACCACTTCCCAACATAACCTAGATAAAAATGGATATGATATCACAATGCATTTCATCACCTTGTTGCTAAAATAAACTTCTAAAGTAACATTAGAATTATGGATAAACACTTCAGTTGTAGCCATATGCCAAAAATGTTTTGGACAGTAAAACTATTGGAGGAGTGTCTTGAAAAGGTGTTATATTTTTTTGCAACTGACTTTATATTGCTCATATCATTGAAATGAATGTTAATGGCACTTTTTTTAAATTGAAAAAAAACTTAATCACCAGTTAAAAACATTCTTTAAAAAATAATGGATATTATTGTTGAGGCTATCTAAATCTATTTTAATTTTGCTTCAGAAAAAGTTGATACACATAACAAAATACTATACACTATTAAAATATATTTTTCTTAAATAATTATGTTCACAACAAATCTTTGGGATGCAGAAAGTAGGCAGGATTAATTAACTTGTGTAATACTAATTTTTATGATATTTATATAACAATAAATTAAAAAAAAAACTCACCATCTACAAAAAATCCCACCCCTCCCCCAACCAGCCCAAGTCTCAAAGCTAATTTCTTAGGGTAGTGTCAACACTGTGGTAACCACCAAAGACACATTTATAAAAACAGCTATTCAGCTATTTCATATACAAGCAGCTGAAGGCGTAGAATTACCAGTAACAAACCAACTCAAAAACAATTAACATCTTGACACAAACACAAGACAATAATTAACAAAACCAACGCAGGTGTAGGCCTATAGGCGATTGTTTGACCAGTCCATGTAACACATACATATGTACATTATTATACATGCCCATTTCACCTCATATGATCGCTAGGCTCTGTTTTCACATTATGAGATTTGGTGGAGGGGTCAATATATGTGGTAGATCTTTCATATTATGATCATCAGAATACAAAAAAATAAATTAAAACAATAAAAAAATAAAACATTTTGATATGTTGAGATGCAAATTGAGAATCCAACCCTATGAATAAAAAATAGAGGTAAAAAGGAGGGTGTCAGCTTTAGACAAAGTCCCAGATGTTGAAACCACAGGAAGCAAACCCAACTTTAAAAAAAAAATTATTTAGGCGCACCTCATAAGAATGAAAGTACTTGGTCAAATATTAATTGTAAATGATAATAAAAAAAAGCATAACATGTTTGTTCTTGTAAATAAAAACAGTCGAAAAGTCACAATAAGTGATAAAAAGAAATACTTATGTACTTCATAACACCAAGTTGTTACTGTGTCTGCGATTGTTGGCCACTTTGCGTAGCTTGAATCCTCTGCTGTTGCTTGGGGTTTCTGGGGGAGATGACGGCTCAGAAGGAGTCCCAGCGTCTGTTTCATCGGCCCGAAGGATATTGGCCTGTAACTCATCATTTTCAATTAGTTGCTGGCGAGTGATATCTCCTGACTGGACGGACAAGCAACCAGTCTTATCTGTGGGAGCAGAGAGAGAACATGCTGTCACTACACACATTAAAAGAACTAGATTTTATGGTTCTCTCAGAATGTGCAAGATTCATGAACAAATTTGAAAATAGTAAAGACAACAACAATATAGCTATTCAAATTTTCTCTGAGAAATAAAGAAAAAACTTGAACAGTTGGGGAACTTTGGCTAGCATTGAAAAACAAACAAATTACAAATTTTCTTTAGGTGATCAGTTGCGTCTTTGAATAAGTTAAGTAAAAAATTGATACTAAATTTGAAAAAAATTTTTTCAAATAAAAATTATTAAACCTAAGTTAAGTAGTATTATAAGGTAATAGTAAAGACAAAAATTAATTTTAAAAAAGATAACCTTTATTGTTTCTCCTTGGTGGTAGCAGAAACATGATGGATGCAGACACCAAAATGTGCCACATACTGTGGATATATTTATAATTCTCTTGGGTTTCTAAAGCCAGGTTAAAGATGAGGCCACTGCAGGCTAAGACAACTCCAGGCAGAATGAACTTGAGTAGTCTCATCTTGGATGGGAAAATGGATTTCTTCTTGTAGCATTGGACACCCTGCAATGGAAAATAATGGACTACACTAGTACTTTCTTTATCTATATTAGTCATTATAAAAAAACCTGTTAATTATAAAATAGTTTTTAAGTCTATGAAGTTATCTATATATTCTTACCCATGATAGCAGAACAATAAAAACACCCCCCACTATCGGGAGAAGCTGCTCTATCAAACCATGGCGATCATATACTACTCCCAAAGAGATGAAGAGTGCACTGAGCATGTGTAGGAAGGACCGCAGCTCCTGGGGGATGCGGGCCATCACCATTAGGGTAACCCAGAAAGACAGCAAGGAGGCAAAGAAGTCAGCAAAACTAAGGGCGTTGTATGGCATTATGCATAGCTGGTAGACCTCACTTGAATCACAGGCATGGTAGAACTAGAGAATTTAAAAAAATATATATTTTAAACAAGTTTACTATATGAATGAAATACAATTTTTAATTCATCGTACTTATAATAGTGCTGGTAGGGTTTATCAAAGGAGTTTCATTTCAAGCACCACAACCTTTAACCATAACAGCAATATTATTAGAATATTGTATAGCCCAGATGACCAATCCATGCACAAGATGAGATTTTAAAAATGTTACAGCAGGATTACATTTGTGGGTAGAAGATGAAGCACATTAATAAAGACTGTGTTCATACTAAATGTGAAAGTGAAAACTAAAAGTGAAAACAGTAAAGACTTACAGTTGAAAAAAACATGTTGTAGGTATAGACCAAAGCTTCTATATAAAATCTACGGTAGACTGCTAGAGCTATCCCAGGTATAAAACCTAGGTTAGACAACGTTAGTAAATAAACAGCAGCTTTCTCTGTGGAAGCTGTCTCAGCTCTACTGCCATCATTACAGCCATAACCTCGCCATCCTAAACAAAAAGTAACAAGTCACGATAGTTCATAAATTGGTCCTGGCAGTTTTGGGGTAGTTAGAAGTTGTTATCTTGATTTAAGCTAACAAGCCCAAACTATGAGCATAAAACCTAAAATTATATAAAATTAACATTAACTAAGGAACAGTAAACAACCCAACTAACCTGAATAACAGTTGCAAGCTGAGTATAGAATATCAGCTTGTATAAAATTAATATAAACTAATGAACGCTAAACCTAACTAACCTGAATAACAGTTGCAAGCTGAGTATAGAATATCAGCACCAAAGTAAAGTTTGCAGGATCCATATGACCCACAGCCTCCGTCTATACAGGGGGACAAATGCACAGTCAGGTTGACAATGGGGTATTGTTTACATGGTAGAGTTATCTCCTCGCTGAAACAGTTTCCAATAAAAGCATTAATTATAACAGCAATGATAGCAGTACCAATTTAAAAAAGAAATTAATTAAAAATTAATTTTCTGAAAATGATTACATGTATAAAATAAAACTTTGAATACGACTAATTTAGTACAATACTATATATAAAACAGCAATGGTATACCTTGTATTTTTGTCCACTTCAAAGCACTGACTTTGCATTGATATAAACCAGATTCCATTTTGAGGGTAAGGTACCATCACATACTGTTTGTTTTCATCTTTTTTGGTGGTGATGTTGAGAGCACCTCCCGTACAGTTGATTGCACTAGATAACCTATGGGGGCTGAGGCACATGTGTATGTGGGCCATTTGAGAAATCTGTAACGTAAATTAATAGTTTTAGGCTCATTCTTAATTGGTTAATCAAACAGAACTTTTTAAAATTTATATAAGAAGTTAGCCTTATCTTATATATTAAGCGATAGTATAGAAACACAAGATGATTTGTTTTGATATAGCTGAAATGTTTAAGAATAATTATCTTTTCTAAATACCAATTTAAAAAAAAATTTACATTCTCATTATTTTTTGTTTGTTCGTATAATGACAACTAGAAACTCATTAATATTTAAGCATATGCTGAGGAACAAACTAATATAATAATAAATATTAACGTAGTTAACGAAAAACTTTGCAATTGCATGTTTACCTTTTCCACTGGGATATGGAAATAAACTTTAAGTGTTGTTCCAGTATCAGAGGTCCGCAATTTGAATCTAGACGTCACCATAACAGTGTCAAGTACCCTTACGTTGACCACAGAGCGGGGTGAAAAATTGTCATCCCAAGCAGCAAAGTGGTCGTAGAAGTTGGAACCTTCCTCTGCTGATGCTGGGGTTTCTCTGCCCAGATCACCAGCCAGTATAGAAATCTGTTTGGTGTCATGGAGAGGCAGCACTGTCAGATCATTAATGCTGTGATCCATATCAAAGTCTGTTTTCAAGAGAAAAAAAAATATTTTAAAATTAATTCTCAAAAATAAGAAATGATTAATATATTATGTAGAACTGAAAATGTAGAAAAATACAAGTTCTGAGATCAACCCAGATTAAACTGAAATTACGTGGGGTGTATTTTTAACAGTTACATAACAACATATCTCAAGACTAATTAACTCACTGGCAAAATATCTCAGAGACTAAACATGTCCGACAATGAGATATATTGCCCAGGGATATTTTGTCCAGTCAACTTTGTACAGTTTAAGAGCAATAATCATGAAAACAAATCAGAATTATGGTTCATGTTTTGGATGGGGGCTTTAGTTGAGTGACATTGTTATGTAGGGGAGGGCAGTTAGGCTGTTCTGTTATGAAACATGACAGAAGGGATACATGTTAAAAATCAATCAAAACTGTAATGATATGTATGAATAGCCCAAAGGTGAAATTGGAAATATCTTACATGTGGCTTTAACTTGCAATGAAATGTTTACTTGAATCTTCTCTTCAAGAACAAACAACAGATAATTGAAGGAGTTGACAACTGGGTACATCACCTAAGCAGATAAGAGACATGAACATTAGTCACAATATCTTTGCAAAAAATGTTAAGTTCCCTTTTGAACCTGTTGGTCCATGGGGCAAGTGAAGTCAAGTTCACTTGTTTCTGTGACCTCTGTATTTGAAGAGGTAGTGTGGTCAGCACTATGCCTAGGCACCTTTACTTTCCCTAATTGAGTCAGGGAACCATCAGACCTGGGTGGACCCAGGGACATTCTACAGACTGATAAAAGATTGTATTTTCTAAATAAATTCTATTGCGTTCGGGGAGGGGCTTAGAATTTTTAAGGGGGGGGGGGGGGGGCTTTGCGCCTCCCCGAAGATATGTCTGAAAAAAACTCTGCAAGCAAACCACTTAGGCAGTAATGTCAGTGTCATTATTATTGTGTATTTTTTCACCACTGGCTTTTAAATTTTATGTTTACTCTAGAATCAATGATGTCATTTTATTGTATGTACTTTTCCGGCTTTAGAACTGTACATATTTTGTTTCGTTTAGTGTATTTCCTATATGTTCCATGTGATATCACAATAATGGAAATTATTGTTTTCCGTTTGACTGTGAAAGTTTTTATTTTGCTTGTGTTTTCTCTAGAGCATTTCTGAGACGCAGAGTGACAGAAAAGTGTAAATATTATTATGATTAGAAACAGATCCAAGGCAGGATGATCAGATGGTTTCATATGGTAGCAAGTTTAACATGTGAAGACACATGAAACACAAAATTACCTACATCTATTGCACAAGACCCATTTATCCACACACAACTTTGCTTCTGTTTTTCTGGAATATCAAAGGTCAAGGCTTCCAACAGAAACACACTGACAGAACAGGAACTTGTATTGCATCCATTGAAATAAACAGAGTACTTTATAGCATCCACTGGGACTTTAAAGCTGTCATTGTAAAAAAAAACAATTTTTATCTTAAAAAATACCTCAATATTGTCTAATAAATAAAAGTTCCTTCATTATACATTTATATTAGTAAATATTAGAAAATATAAATATAGTTGTAAACATAAACAAAAATTTGTAATTCAAATAGTAGTATTTCTGATAGATTACTCTAATTTTAACCGTTTAAAATAAAACAGTGAATTACAGTAACATTTTTATACATATATTTTTTTATCAAGATTACCTAACAATGCTTTTCACTTTCCCACTTAAATTGATCATAGATGATGAATTTAACTGTAATTGTTGGATATCTTCATCCTGATAAAACAAAATTTTAGCCTTCACTGACATAAAGTAGTCACAGTCTGCTCCAAGACCCTGTGGGAAAAGAATAGAGAAAAATAAAACTACAGAACAGATCCAACTTGATGAGACGAAAAGTAAATAAAAATGTAGAAATAAATAAATTTAACTACAAAGAAACCCAAAAGTAAATAAATAAAAATGTAGAAATAAATAAATGTAACCACAAAGAAACCCAAAAGTAAATAAATAAAAATGAGCCGACCCGCTGCATATCATACGCCACTATTTAGTTGTTGTTTTTTCTACTTTTCAGTTATTCATAATTTGTGAATTCAACACTACCAACGCTGCCACTGAAAGTATTTCTTTAAAACAGTATAAGTAGCTCGTTAAGGACGATAACCCCCCTCCTCCCCCCCCCCCTCCTCCGTTAAAGTAAACTTAGTTTAAAATCGTTTCAAACTAAATTATCTGCCCCTAATAGTCGTCACTAAACCCGGCTCTGTTTGTAAACATTTAGAGTGAACCATAGCTCACCAGACCATGTAGGGGTGGGGGTGGTAGGGAGCGCGTTTACAGCTTGTTTTCTAGCGTCTCCCAGAAGAGAATTATATATATATAGATGTAGAAATAAATACATTAAATTACAAAGAAACCCAAAAGTAAATAAATAAAAATGTAGAAATAAATAAATGTAACTACAAAGAAACCCACTTGCTGTTTGATTCTTGAATCTGGAGGTGGCATCACAGCCATGAGGAACAGCTCCCCTTCACGCAGGTTGTCCAGCACCCAGCTTACTGTATCATTGTTGCTTAGCGCTGATGTGTTGTATAAGTGGGAGCTAGGTATAAACATGTTGGTGGGGAATGCCTCATTATCTCGGCTTACCATAGGCAACCCAAACTGGTTTATAAAGCTAGAATTAAACAAGAAACAGTTTTGCTGTAACAGATAACATACACATTTACTTTTAAACAGATATATAAATAAAATAGTAAAGCAATTAATTAGAGGAAAAACAAAACTTAAAGATCTAATCTACTTTTTTTTTTAAACTACATTAATTTTTTATTTTTTTTCTTACAAGGTTTAATAATTACTAGCCATCGGTACCCGTTTCACGTGAATTATAGGCCTATATATTTTTAATGTTATACATATTTGGAAATAATAAATTATAAAATAGTTATTGATCAAAATGCAACACTACACGTTGAGATATTAGTGACAAAACAAAGAAATAACTAAATAGCTACAAATCGGCACATTTAAAATAACATAGACTACCAATACGTATTCGAAAAATGTGTATATTTAAACCCTAGAAATGTTACACTTATTTAATTTCTATTTTGATACTAATGACTCATTCATTAATGGTTGATTCCCCCCTCCCCCTTAGGTTATAACATAAAATAAGACTCACATTTTTGAAACTTTTACATCACAACTGTCACTACTTCTCTGCACATTTATTGAAATATTTAGAGAAACTGTGTGTGGTGGGACACAAATTCTTTCTAACGTAACTGCGCCATATGTTCTGTAGTCGTATAAATTGCGATGAAGCTTCCACTCTAATGTTTCCTTTACTTGCGGCAAATCTGCACTAGCTGAAAAAAGTTAAATTACTCTGTGATGCAGCAAATTTTTAACTATTTTATTCATTACAATTTTATTCGAATGTTTGTCATAAATATTTTTTCAACTATAAATGTTGAATTACTTTTATAAAATATAAATATACTAAACAGCCTACTTACTTGGAGCATTGTAGTTGCTTATGATGATTAAAATAATAATAAACTTGAGCACTGATAAACTGCTGTTTATTTTAAGGCTGTATTTAGTGCCATTCATTTTGAGTTTTAGGGTAGGTATGTTAATTATTATGTATCATATAATATATATTATTCATGATGCTGGTGAAAACTGAAAAAAAGATAAAAACAAAAAATGAAAAATGCAGTGAATCATGCTTTAGACTTCACATCTTTTATTAAATTGAACTATTCTTATGAAACAAGTTGTCTAAATTAAATCACTGTAAAAGTATGATTGCAGCCACTCCCCTCCAAGCAATCGACACTTCTTCTTTGTTCTTATTTGTAATGTTGGGAGGCATTTTCTCCAAAACAATTAAGTATCACGTGTCAACTAGTTCTACGCCATATTGGTCCCTGTCTCCGGTGTCAGCCTGCTGTTCTGTCTGGTTTTGCTTCCATAGTCTTTGTCCAACCAAGAACAAGCTACAAGGATACAATTATTTGATTTTGGAGTTTTCTCTCCTAGATGAGTTGCTGTCCTCAGCTAGAGCCTTATCTGCTTGGGGGTTCAAACACAGGACTTTTCGGTTTAGCAGCCAGTCAGCTTGGAATAGCCCCAATGTAGCTATTCCCGACTGACTAGGAAAAGAAGCCTTGGCTGCCTAATCTGCATAAATCATGATCTAGATTATTCTACCTATAAAACCAATTAGAAATCTATTAAATTACTAATTTTAAATCTAGCATAGTAGGAATCTTTGTACTTTAGTTTGTCTAATGAACTATTAACTAGCCACCAGCTAGAGTAGTTAAACAATGTCTAGACTTCAGCTAGAATAACTAATAATTATCTTGATTCCATGCTAGATTCATTAAATTTTACTTTTTCTAGATCTAGATAATAAGAGACGCGAAACAGCAAGGCGGTTAAATGCAAGAAGGGTGCCCAATTAGCCTGTCATGTGACATTTTTAATCTCACATTTTGGATGCGTCTATTCAGACCCGGGTCCCAATAGCGGCTGACGCTATTGGGACCTGGGTCCGTATAGTCTCGGGCGCTATTGAGACCCGGTATAATTATAATTTTTTGGCCTACTAGTTACACATAAACTATATTCAAATGTATGTATGGTGGGCTGAAGATACCAATGATTTAAGAAAAATTCAACTGCAACTTTGAGGCGGGGGGGGGGGGGGGGGGGGGGTAAGGCTGAGTTGTGATGACATTTTAGGGGGGGGGGGGTCTGGCTTTTTGTGACAGTGTGTGACGCAGAGGAGGAGGTAAAAATCATCCAAAAACATGTGACATCATTTATGGATGACTCCTTAGGCATTTAGTTGAGGTTAGGGATAGGATTGATTGTTTATTTTAGTTAACTAGCAGTAATCTAGCACTCCCTTTTAACAAAATTTATATTATCGGTCAGTAACATAAAAAAAAATCCCCCTTTGAAAATGTCAAAATATGGATCTAAAATCAGAGGCAATTGATAATTAGAGTTAAAAGGTGGTTTTTTTTTTTATACTAAGAAGACCTTTTCTCTATATTAATTGATACTAAAAGATAGTTACATTTTGTGTACACAATAAAAGAATCTGTCAATTTGTAAGTAGTAAGTTGGTTTTCAGGGTAATACAAAACCAAAAAAAAATAGTCATGTAGATAGGTTCCGATCCCAGCATGGTTTCATGAGAAGTCAGCTTGCTATCGACTTAGCCACTGTGCCTTCGATATTTTTTCACATTTTTATAATTATACTTGTATTTAAAATTCGCTCAACATAAAAGATACGTAAATAAAAAAAAGTTTGAAAAAAATTAAGACAAAAAAATCTGATTTTACACACAGTTACAGGTTATGAAAATTTGTAACTAATAATAACTATAAATGTAACTAATTGTACCGGGTCCGAATAGCCACTTCCTCACATTTTACCCCAACCGATTAGTAGGCTTGGTGTGGGTAACTGCGCTGATATCTGCACAAATTTTGATGCACCAGAGTACCAACGTGCCGATGATTTACATGAACTCTGTTGCAAGAAAGCAGGAGATCATAGGAAAAAACGATGTAGAAATCTAGGCCTTTTTAAATTTTTTTTAACTTAATGCAACTGCAACGATTCCGCCGGTTGGTTGAGGCCAGGCCAGAGGAACGTTCTGACAGGGATTCAAAGGGACGAATCAAAATATCGTCCCAAAGCCTTCTTGTATGATCATGTCATAATGTCATAATGATCTCTAGATCTACTAAAGTACTAACCGATTCTAACCTATTCAATCAAAAACTTTGAAAAACTAAACAACCAAAAATCGTTAAAGTTAAACAAAAAAGAGTCTCATAGAATTTAGTAGCCTCTGATGATAGTAATCATAGTGATTCATAGATCTAGTTCTTTAGACTCTAGCTAGACTAATGGCTAATCCTGATTGATTTACCTGACACAGCTGTGCACTAACTTTTCTTTCACGAGTGACATTCAGTAGACTTGAGTAGACTCTGTAGAGTCAGTGTAAGACGTAAGAGTGTAAGACAGTGTGGAGTGTAAGTGTTCGCTGAGTGTATGGCAGAATCTAGATTTCTAGTTCTAGATCTAGATCTATTATATAGATCTAGATCTAGATCTTTCTAATTTAGTTAGATAGACGCACTGTTGTTCCATCTAGATGTAATGGTACCATCGATTAACTAACATTAGGACTAACAGTACACTGATCCAACTACACTACTGTGATGCCTGTGTGTAGAACCAGAAATAATGTAAACATTATCCCCTCAGCCTCATATAGTCTATTTAAAATATGCCAGGTAGCTTCTCTATGAGAGTGCTAAATATAAATTATTGCTCACGTGACAAAGAAATTTGTGTCATATGATCCCCCCCCCCCCTCCTTCCCCTTATCCCAGTTAGCGACTAATATTAAGGCTAAACATTTTCAACGAGGCTACACATTTTATTTATTTAAAAATTCCGTTGCGCTTATAAAATAAAAATTATTGATCAATATTTTCAATACTGTTTTTTTTTCTCCCTAAATTCATGATAATGCCATGGTCAATATTACAGAAGTCATTAAATTTTTGTTTATTTTTAAATTGCTCATTATTTTATTTATTATAATAACTTTTATTCTTAATTAAATATATAGCCTAATATATAGTTATAATAACATGATTATATTTAGGGGTCATCCATAAATGACGTCACGCTTTTTAAAACGATTGTTACCTCCCCCCTCCCCTCTATCATACATCGTCACAAAAAGCCAGACCCCCCCCCCCCTAAAATGACGTCACACGACCTCAGCCTACACCCCCTCCCCCCTCCTCAAATTGCAGATGAATTTTTCTTAAAATATTGATATTTTTCCAAAATCTTGTCTGAACTCTGTCAACATAAAGTATTTTAATAAATTTCTATTACAATTTATTAAAAGTTTTCAAAAGCGCGAAATAACGGCTAAAATTGTTTTCTAACATTACTTTTTCTATAATGCAAAAGTGTGAAGTCACACCATCTGAACCCCTCCCCCCCACCCACACAAAATTACGGACCCCCTTCCCCCCTACAAGTGTGACGTCATTTATGGACGACCCTTAAATGCTGATGTAAAGTGAAGTTACTTTAAAAGGAATCTACAACTACAGTATTTGTAGGCCCAGTTGTTTAATAAGTTTTTAAATGAGGATTTGTTCCATTTGAAAGTCAATTAGCACGATGTCTGCCTATGTAGAATTGACCTAAAATACGAATAATAAATATTTTTAAAGGGGTCAATGGGTGTGTGTGTGTGGGGGGGGGGGGGGGGGGGGGGAATTGGAGTTAATTATTTACAGGGATGATTTTTATATTAAAATATATTTCCTTATAGTTATAGATATTTAAAACAGAATAAGGTCCCAGTACAAATAAAAGAAAACCAAAACTAAATTTAAAAAAAAAAAACTTTTTTATTATATGCCAATGCCTAACATTTTGTGGAAAATTAAAATATACAGATATGTAAAAAAAGGACTAGAATTAAATATAATTACCACATAATGCTTGATGTAATTTCACACATAAGTGATTTTTTTAAAACTCTGTATTGCTTTATTTCTATTAAGTACACATTTTTCTTAACAAAATAAAATATAAATTATTGTTGTAATATCCTGCACAAAAATACAAATGTAGCCTACAGTTAAAATTAAAACTGGGCTGTCGATGTACATTAACTACATACTGACTTTAAACTGTCAGCAGTAAATATTTTCAGTAATTGAAATTATCAAAATGATAAAAAGGGTACAAATAACTAAGATTGTTAGTCTTTTTAAATGATTATTTACAAAACCAAACACTGCAAGTAAAGATGACTAAAAACAAATATTAGATAACATTTGTAAGTTATTTTAACAAAAAAGTTATTATTTTACCAATAGAAATGCTAACATTACAAACAAAAAGTATTATTGTCATCTAACAAGATAACATTGTTAGCTTAAAAACATTAACTGTTGGACAAAAATAGAAGAATTATTTTAAAAGTGCTTAAATTGCAGAACTGTGGAGAAAAAAAGGATTTCACATAAAATAATTCAATCCCCACTAAGTCAAAAGACTTTACTGAAGCATTAAACTTATGTTTTTTTAAAAATAAATTCAAATTCACCACTGGCATACCTTGTTGTAGGTACAAAGCATCCATCCATTTTTATAAAATATGAAATGCATCATAAAATATTGCTCAATTTATGTTATTCGACTAGTTACATTGCTAATAACTAGAACACAACTAAAATTCATCTTTTTCATTGTCTTCTCTTTGCTTAGAGTTAGTTTGTTCTTGAGGAATGTTATTAATAGCATCCTTGATATGACTGTGCAGCTGCTGTGGATTTACTGAAGGACCCCAGGCATTGAGAACATGTCCGTTATGGTCAACAAGGTATTTCCAAAAATTCCAGGTTGGTGTTTTGCTTGAGTATTCTAGAAGAAAAAATGAAAAATAACATTTTGAATAAGAAAGAAGTAAAATAGTATATTTATGTAAGTATCTTCTATGTAAAGTTTCACTATTCTGTCATACTGCCTATCAAGTACACTTTTATGTGACATAAAAAAGGGTCACTTGATACACCAAGAAAGTGATGTCATTGATATAAGCCTAAGTGTAAACACAACTTAAATTATTATTAGTTAAGTATTTAAAAAGAAAATCAAAGTTCAAAGATAAATGTATTTGTGTAACATTAAAAATGTATGTATATATTAAAAAATAAAGCATATATGACTAACATATGCAAAAAAGCACAAAAAGCTGCTAATTGATGTCGAAGCCAAGGTGATGCCATTGTTGGTGATAAGCATGTTTGCCCTACCAAATGCTCTAGGGAAAACGGCTGCTGACCGTTTTCTAGAGTGATTTATATTAAATGATGATGATCATAACTCAAAATATTTTTATTGTGCAGACCTCCAGTCTTTATACACCAATGAATTGATTATTAATACAGCCAAGTGTTGTCAACTTCTGCATGTAGCAAATTGTTAACATACATATGTGAGATAAGGTGACAAAAGTGTGATTTACTTATGAGATAGCTCCAAGCATCAGGCACTTTAGGACCAACTACATCAACTTTTGCAAACAAGGGAAAGGTTGCACCCATTGTGGTAGTTGCAAAATGGAGAATTTCTTCATGGGTCTGTCAGAAAACAAGAACACTATGAAAGCTATTTAAACTTCACAGAATTAGTTAAACTTTTGAAAGTTCTGATTTTAATATTTTGAAATTAATTTGAAAAAATGTTAGTGTACTCACCCCTGGCTCCTGCTCCCCAAACTGGTTGCAAGGAAATGCTAGCACACTGAACTTCTGTGTTGTAGCGTATGTATTCTGCAGCTGTTCAAGACCCCTGTAATGGCCTTCTGTGTACCCACACTCGCTTGCCACATTGACAACAAGTGTCACCTGAAATTAAAGTAACAAAGGTAATTGATTATGAAAACACATCTAGAGAGGGAGGAAGGTTTCAGACCTTTGAAAATGTGCTTGAGAGATAAATAGGATTTTAGAAATGAGAGGAATGTTTTTTTTTGTGCTAATGGGTAATAAATGATGTGAACATACTTTTGTTAGAATTACACTCAATTTAGGGGTCAGATTAGGCTCCGAGAAGTGACGGGGTGAGTAGTGATGTTAAAATGCCAAACTTGAATAAAGCCATATTAATAGATGGCCCTAATGTCACAGGACAGTTTGACCTCACAATTGATAAAAATCCTTTCATGCGACATGATCACATAGCATAATACTTTTTGGTTCTAAAACACATAATTGGCAACATAACATCACAAGTTCAGTTCCTGAGCTCAAGTATAGAGCTTCCTTAACTATGATTAAAAGCCAGCTCATATGCAGAGGTACATGGGAGATCCCTTACCTCATCTTCCCTATGGATCACTTCTGATCTATTGATAATATATTTGATGTTTTACAATATACTAATGCCCATTGTCAGGATGCGTAACAGACTTATGTTAGGGAAACAAAGGTAGCTGGGTATAGTGCTGACCACACTATCCCATTGTGTGCAGAGGTCACTGAAGAAGATGGACTCTACTTCATCTGCCCCATATGTCTTGGGCACAACTGGGAAAAGACTATGGTGAATGCATATTGACCATTTTCAATAAGCATTGACTAAAGCAACACAGAATTTTTAAAAGGTAGCTACAAATCAGTTGATCATTGAAATGTCACATATTAATTTGTTTGTTGTAGCCACAAGCTGCTGAGTACCTGGATTTTCAGTTAGCAATAAAATTTTTTAAAAAAATCTTAATTCAAAAGACTAAATCTCAAACTCAGTGTATCTCATTAATGTAACAAGGTTTGATAAAATATTGAGAGAATACCTGCCCTCTGTATTTCTCCAGTGATACTATATTGTTATTAATGTCTTGAACATTGAAAGAATAAAAATCAACACCTTCTGGCACAGCTTGCTTCAAGTCTTGTTGCTCTTCTCCACAAACAAATGGGAGTTGTGTTAACAAAAGATGGATGCAAACCAAGATAGAAAAAAACTGGTTGAAAGACTGCAACTGCAGTAGTTTTGTTGAATTTGCCATTATGTAAATCTGAGGAGGGAAAAAAAAAAATCAGTTTTGTCATGAAAAATATTTTAATTCCCATTTCCCCCCACCACCCAAATATTTTTAAAGTTTCAAGGGGCCTCAGAGATAAATGTCTGAAAGGAATACTCACACTGGTGTGTTGTACTAAAAATTCAAAGTTAGTATGGCGGAATCTAGTCTAGATCTAAGATGACTAGGGTATTAATAATATTTTTTATATTATAGGCTATTTAGAAATTACTACCTAGCTATGGGCCTAAATATTAATACTTGCACTACTAAACTACAGATCTACTCTTTAGATTTCCATCTCAGAGTATCTGCATACCAGGGGCGGAACTACAGTGCCGCCAGTCTCCACAATGTGGGGGGGGGGGGGGGGGGGGGGGGTGGTGGTGGTGGAAGGGGGCCACAGCTGACCATAATAAAAAATTTTATAGTTAAAAAGAATCTTATTTTCTTGCATTTTTTACTAGATGGTTGTTTTGTAAAAAATATTACTGTTGCTGCAGTTGGATTATCTTTATTCTATAGACACCATCCCACGATCTTGTATATTCTTTTTCCCTTTGTTTTTAAACCACCGTGAAAGTCGAGTCCTCGTTCTCCTACAATCAAACACATGCTGTTGTCAGCAAAATGATTTTGAAAAAAAAAAGTCCATTGCGCGAGAGGCCGCTAGATATTAAGACAACTTTAGCTTCTTTATAGTGTTGGAAATTTGAATTCTCTCCCTTGAATGTTTTACAATAATTCTTTAAGAAAAGTAGTTTTAAGACCATCCCAACTTCGGTACTGATGGATAGAAGCACATCATCGCTTTGTTATCCCTTTTAAGTTCCTTTCTCTGACCCGCCCCCTCCCTTAGCCTTACAAGTAGCGAACTTCCTAGCTGTACATTCACCACTTCTCGCTTTTTATCAGACACTAGTCAGCGGATACTAATTTAATAGCATATTATTAATTAGTTTGATGAATCTTATTCAAAAAACAAGGAAGGTAAGACTATTTTTTAATATTATTAGTACATGAATTAATTGAAGATTTATAGGCTAATCAATTAATAAATGTCGTCATTTAGGGCGTGAGGGTCTGGTCTTTTGGATGTCCCTTAAATTAAAAGGTTCCTCAGCATGAATTGGGCACATACAGCTGTACACATGAACACAGTGTCACTGTGTGTCTGTCTTTTATACATTACTACACAACATTACACATTCTCAATCATTCATGCTATCACAATGAAAAGTTGGGAAGTTTTTGAGTACACTAGTACACCCCTGCAAAGGTTTCTGTCATACTGTCATAGTCATCATCATAGGCCTAACATTAACTTTTCTCTTTTAGACTTGCTGTTTTGCCCTTTAGAGTTTAGAGTCTAACTACTCTAACTCTGTCTAATAATAACTAATAGATCTAGTAATAGTAGGGCCTATAGTTAGTATAGTATAACTATATATAGATCTCTAGTACTAGAGTCTATAATAGTCTATATACTATTTTTTTTTTTTTTTTTTTTTTTTTTTTTCTTTTTTTTTTTTTCTTTTTTTTTTTTTTTTTTTTTTTTTTTTTTTTTTTTTTTTTTTTTTTTTTTGTGCCGTTAGGCGTTTAATATTGTTCCTTCCACAAGTGGATAGGTTGCATGTTAAAAAATTACAATGTGATACATAGTATAACATTAAAAAGATTTACAATGTCTTAATATTCCTTCTGATTTCTTTGTTCCATGTTTCTTTGTTCCGATTTCTTGGTTCCATTTGTTTCTTTCTTGATTTTGTTTCTGGTTTGCTATGACATAAAGTACAGGACAGTACAAACATGATCGCTTCTCTGTTTTTTGGCCTTTCTTCTTGTGCTTGATACGCTCTTGGTTTGATAATGGTTTATTCTTTGTTGGTAGTTGTACTTGGTGAGAGTGAGTTTGGCGTCTTGACGTTGATGGTGGAGTTGGTCGAGTGGTGTAGAACTTGGAGAGGGTGGTTGAGGTAGTGTTCTTGCGTTGAGATGAGGTATGATGCGCATGGTAGTAGGGTTGTTCGATGCATTGAAGCTTGGGGAGATGAGTTGGGTAGGGTCTATATATACTATAGTATATCTAATATATAAAGCTCAGTTCTGTATGTAATGCATTTGTATGTCGTTGGAATTGTATGAATTTAAGTGTTAGAAAATTATCGTGCGCATTTGTCTAAATTTATGAGCTAACAAATTACTATTGAAAGTGTTGGGAAATCATTTTCATTTTTCAAATTACAGTAATAATTGTCGGCATGTTCATTCAACACAAGTTTTAAAAAAATATCATCTTTTACAAAAATTCTAATTATGTCTTTATTTAGTCCTATAGCACTTACTTCCCTTTGATAAATTAGGAAAACAAAATTACTTCCCTTTATAAAACCATTGCATTAGTCGAAAATAATTTACTTTTTAATTACTTTGTTTTGGTGTTGGGAAAAAAAATAATTACATAATTAGCGGGGATTGATCAAGTGCAAATGTTGTAGGTATTTTACGGATAAGCTTGGAGTATTAAAATTGTTCATCAAATTGAAACAGGCGCGTTCGTTTAAGTGAGTGCAAAAGACTATGAATAAGTTGGGGTACTATAGTCGTTCATTAAGCTAAAACAGGTGATTCCGCCCCGGGCGTTTATGTTCGCGTTAGTGTTTTCTTTGTGTTTAGGTGGGTTTGCGTTAGTGGTTGCGTTTTGATTTGGTTCGTTTTTGTTCTTTCTTTTTTCGTTTTTGTTTGTGTTTTTTTGTTTGGGTTTGTATTTGTGTTTTTGGTTGGTTTTGCGTTTGGATTTGGTTTGTTTTCGTTTGCTTTTTCGTTGTTTTTTTTTTTTGGTATTGGTGTTTGTGGTTGGGTTTGTTGTTAGGTTTTTGTTTTCGTTTGCTTTTTTGTTTGTTTTTTCTTTGTGTTTGTATTGGTGTTTGTGGTTGTGGTTGGGTTTGTTGTTAGGTTTTTGTTTTCGTTTGTATTTGTAATTGTGTTATCGTTATGTTTGCGTTTTGTTGTTTTGGTTGGTTGTGGTTTGGGTGGGCAATGCCGGGTTTATGATGATTACTAAACACACAGGTAATGGTCTTTAACAGAAAGGTTTTTCACAGAAGCCAGAGCAGGGCCTGGCCGGGACGGCTAGTAGTATATATTATAGTCTAGCTAGTTTATAGCCGGATGTCATAGCAGTTTTACTTGAACATGGGAGGGGAGTTTTGTCTTTGTTAAAAGTTGTGTTAACAATAAATAAATTATAAATACTCGGAGATCTATCAACAAACAATAATATTTTAATACTTAGATCTCGATCTAGCTAGATCTAGATTTAAGTGAAATCATTCTAATTTGATTCAAGACTCACAATACTCACATCTAAAAACGCAGTATGGATTTCGGATTAAAAACATCGAATAAAAAAAGACTAGAGAAACGAAAGTGCCGCTTGTGGCCAGATCAGTTTTGACAAAATGGTCAAATTTACTTAAGAAAGAAATAAAAATTACAGTTAAATATTTAGTAGGCTATAGTCTATCATACATACACAAGCACATAGTATCTTCCAGGCATCTCTTCGGGTAAACTTTGCCTTTTCTATTATAGATCTAGATAGATCTGTATTATTTTTAGTGTAGCCTTTTAAAAACAAGTTATTATAAATATTTTATTTTTTACTTGTTTTATTAAATAAATTATTTTCTACATTTTAGTAACTAGTTACTTAGAAAAATTAAATAGTAATTCAATGTTTAAGTTTTTAAAAGAGGACCATTTTATTTTATTTGTATTTAGTTAAGTTGACATCCCACACAACAAAAAACAGAGATGCTTTATAAAACTTTATCAGAACCTTTTGATCTTAACTCTAAGCAATTATATATACCCCTTTCTTATTAACATCTATGGTCAGTGTACAGATGTTAAAACATCCATATCTCACCTCAGTCACATATGGATGGTCAAATGATTGCTAGTCCTTATGGCTTTTATTGTCTTTTGGTACCAGTAATAGCCATCTTTCATTTAATATTTTAATAATATAGTAGATCCTTATGTAATTTATCTTTAAATGAATTTACCTAGATAGTTGGTAAGAAATTGCTGTATTAAAAGTGGGTCAAAATTTAATGATTTAATCATACACTCATCAAAACATTACTTTTTTGTGGTCAGTTACACACATCTCATAAGTAAACATTTAATCCTATTCACTAATTAATCTTTACTTAATTAATTCATGAGACAATGACCAACACAGCATCATTTAAGTCCAATTCAATCTTCATAAAATCTCTCTCAAATTAACAACTGCAGTCACTACCATATTATAAATTACTTTTCTTATATTACCTTCTTTAAATAGTTTTTTTTTTTACCACTATTCACTTTTATTTTCATTCTTCATTTTTATTTTATTTTTATAATCAGTTTTTCTAACTCAAAATAAAAACAAAAAAGTCAAAATGCAATTGAGAAAAATATTTATTGAATGGTCAAAAGAAAAGAAAAACATCATGGGAAAGTGGGGATGGGCACAATGGAGGAAAAATATGAATCAGTTTGCATACTGTATGTGAAACAGAATCAACTGCCTGTATTTACAATCAGCAACATTTCTACAACCCCAGCCTTATGTACAACAACAAAGATGTGTATAGTTTTATTTATATAACAACATATTACAGTCACACACAACCCCAAAAATAAAATGGAAAAAATGTTACCTCAGAAGCCTACACCAATTTTAAAGTAATTAGGTTACCTTTACATAAAAAATATACTCTATTACATTAAAAATTGTATTTAATTCAGATGTGATTCAACTAACTGCACTCTTTATACTTAGCAGGTTAAAACTAAAGTGTTTCATAAGGAGAATTGTGAATTTGCAAGAATCTTTTTCAGTCCATCCAGCATAAAACAAATACAAAATGTAAAAACTGTCACAGATCTTGCAAAGTGAACAAATAGAATGAGGGCTTTTTTGTCAAGTAAATTAGAATGAACTGTGAAATAATTTCTTTTAATTAAAACTTCAAAAAAAACTTTTTTTGCATAAAATGTTGCACATAGGAATCAAGATAGATTATAAAGTTTTGTTAGTATGAGTTGATTCATGCTCACTATATTCTCAAAAATCAATTTAAACTAAAAATAATACTCATTGATATTAAACTTCCTAATGGACTGAGTACTCTAAGCATACTTTTTAGGCAAAAAATAATTTTTAGGCATAAAATAAAACTCACTAAAGCTTTTTAAAAAACAAATTTGACACAAATTATCCTTTAAATTACAACATAGCCGATTAAAACCTGCTTTGGTAAAATGAAAAATTAAAATCATCAGCTATATTAATATCGGTTATCCAACCAATTGGTATATATAAAAAATAATTGCGTCTCTGAAGCAAGCAAAACAGTAATAATTAATAAATGATTTTTTCTGTAGCCAATAGTTTAATTCAATCAGAAAATAGTTACATTAAAAAATACATAGATAATTGCACTGTCTCAACAAAGTCACTGTTCATGCATGTATATATTTACATTAAAATGTAATAATATATAAAATATATTTTTGAAAAAATAAAACTCTTTAAAAAGTCGTATTTCTAAACAATGCTCCTAGTTGTTGAAATCTAAAGAATTAAAGTAAGAAAGAAAATGACAACTTTACATTAACCTATATATTTTAAATAAATATTGTCTTAAAAATGAAGCACATCTTATACCCAACAGAAACTCTTCAAAAGAATCAAGCCAATTGCTCAAATATGTGTCATAACAATATTATCCTTTTTAAACCTGATTATAAAAACAGTAACAACGGTTAAATTTCAGCATTGGTGTCACCTGTGTGTTTATACTTTTCTTTCATATAGTAGCAGTTGAAACTCTATAAAAAAAAAAACAGATTTTGCAACAGAATTAATAAAACAAAAACCCAAGTAAAACTGAGCAATATCATTTCTAGGTGTTAAACTTAATTATTTTTAAATGTTGAAACAATGACAAATCTACTGATCTTATCTCAAACTCATTCAAGCAATGGATATGAACACAAATCTTTTTAATGTTTCTATTTTCACAATATATTAAATTGTCGTGATGTATGTCACATAAATACACTATTATTGAGTTTAAAAAGAAATTAGTTGCTAAAAAGTTGATTTCAATAGCTAAACAATAGCATTTACAAAAAATATATATGCACAAATCACAATATAAATCAATATTCTAATTTTTTTTAAAGTATTTTTTTTTAAAATTAACATATTTTTATATAAGCCACCAATGTATGTAAACCTAAGTTTTGTTTTTGAAATTATTTAATACACAAAAAGTATTGAATTGATTGTAACTTAATGTCATAACATGATCCAAGAAGGTAAACATTGAAACAATTTCTAATATATAAAAATCAGAGTTTGTAATGAAACATTTTAACTCTTCCAAGCATTGTGTTGTTGGGAATTTGAATAATTTTGAGATGTGATTCAGACAAGTCTGTTTTAAACAAAAAATAATTCATTTCAAAATCAAATCTTATTTTGTAAGTTGTAAATTAGACTTTTCATACTTAATTTTTAAAGAGTATAAAAAACATCCCACAAGCAAGTAAACAAAAAATTTCCTTTCATTTTCATTGTATTTTCATCGTAAATTTATGTGAATATCCAAACTATTGATTACACACTTGATCCTAGTCAATTCAAACAAAATGAACAGTGATTTTGAAACGTTTTCAATCTGTTGTTTGGGTAACAGCTGCTATTGACATAATTCAATTTGATTATGGTTAAAAATGCCATAAAAAATACTTCTATTTCTTAAACATTAATTGTATTTTGATAACAGCTACAAAAACACAAAATAAATACCATGAGACTTGGGGCATAATTTTTTTTTATAAATCACTGGCCAAAAATTTTCTATTAGAAAAATGTAAGCAAATCTTAAGTTGAAAAATTAGTTGCTTCATTCACTCCCAAATCAATTGCTTTAAGTTTTGAAACAATGATATAAAATGGAAAAACTGGTTAACCCTTCAAATGTTTCCCCAAATTATGTGATAAAACTTAGACACAACTGATGGACATATATTTATATGGGGACCACAAGTTAAATACATTATTTTAACAAAATTTTTTTATGTATTCTAGGAAGAGTAGTGATCTTATTTCAAAAAGTATAAAATGATGATGTATAAGAATAATTTCAAAAGGAAAATTGATATATAATGGAATAAAAAAGTTTGTGTTAACCATGCATTTTCAGATGCAGATATATTTTAGAATATGGGACAAAAAAAAATATTCTTTGCTGATGATTTATTTTTGTTAAGTGATTTAATGGCAAAACATAAAAAAGCAAACCTAGAGTCAGAGAGATTAGAATTATAACAAGCATCCACTGTTGACTTTTGCTACACAGTTTACAAAAGACAAGTTAAGCATTTTTTAAATCAATCTAATGCAGAATTTTCTGACGTTATAAAATTCAGTGACATACTTCGTCTACATTGCAGGGATTGTTTTTCTACAGTATTGTTGACAAGACTACAAATGGATATAAATAAATAGCATAATTAAGTCATAAGTCAGGCCAGGTGTTTAACTGTGTAACTATGCAACAGAAAATGTTAACTTTGTCAATCTTAGTTGTAAGTTGCATAGAGAATTCTGATAAACTAACATTATTTATTACAATTAGTGACAGCCACAGTGAATTCCAGTGTCGTTTCTCTACACAGACAGTGAACACGGATGTGTTATTAAGCAAACAGAATAAGTTGAATAAAGCCTATCTGATTAATACAACATAAATCAACCTTAATAAACAGAATTAATAATTAACATAATGCAAGAACCCTGACAAAATCTTAAAAATGTACATATGTACATATTTAAAACACAATTAAAAATAAAACACTCACATTTCCACTAAGTAAAACAAAGAACTGAGTTTTTCTTGTCTTAATTATCAGAATATACATCAAACTAACAACCATAACCAGATGAAATGTAGATTAAAACAATGTCACAATATTGCATATTAATTAGCCCTATGATAGTCATTGTTATTGCTATGAATGCCCAATTATCACAAGTAGTCACCACAATGAGAGAGTGCATCTTACTATGCATACAAATGTTCTTTAGTGCACTCATCAGCCATCTAATGGATTACTGTAATTAATTTTCCAATGACAAAATCATAAATAATTCTTTCCATTTCCATAAATGTTAACATAGCCTTTAAAAATAAAACAAAGCAATAGCATACAAATTTGGAGAAAGATTCAGATGGCAAATTTATTAAAACAGTTAATGATTATGAGGGAGGGGGTGGACTTTGTTGATGTGTGTTGAGAAGAGGGAGAGAAAGTGTGATGTCTCACTTTTACATTTTATAATGGTAACGGTAATGTTTTAAAATGACCTTCAGTAGTTATTTTTATAATTAAAAGACTTGATTAGTAATTGTTAAGAAAAAAAGATATAATCAGCTAATTTTGAACATGCCTGTAACTAAAATTTTAGAACAAATTCTTGTTTCAAAAAAGGAAAATGGTGAGAATTGTATATAACTACAGAGAGCATGGGTCTGACTATTTTGTGAGTAATGTGGGGGGGGGGGGGGGGGGGGGAGGGAAGGGAAATAAGGAAATATTTAACAATCTGGCTGGGAATGGAGTAAAAATCAGCACAAAAACATGTCATATAAGGAAAATCCTAAGGTGAAAAAACAAACACCTGAGATGTAATTGACCATTTCTGATAACACATTATTACAACTGGCTTAACTACATTAATCAATTTTTCTTGGGAACTGATAGTTGTAGGTTATGATTTATGAATGAGGTTATGCTCTTTTATTAATGCCCAAAATCTCATTTTGATTTTTAAATATTTTAGCTTCAATTTCATTTTTAATAGCCACAAAAAGCTGAGATGGTCAAACAAAAGAAATAACTAATTTAAATTTAAATATTAAAAATAACCGATACCATAAAAAAGGTTGGGGAAGCTCTGCAAGCAATTTTAACTAGCTGAGTATTCCTGATCATTCACATACAATTAACTTTAGGTAAAACAAATTATCCTTTAAAAGCTCTGTATTTACTGAAGAACTAAAAGTGTTTTAAAATATACTAGAAATACTTCATTCCCTCTTAGAAAATTACATTAACGTAGGGGGTGTATTTAAGAAAGATGCAACCTTTAATGCATTCAGCCTTTTAAAAATACCATTGGCTAATGGACTTGTATTACAAATAAATTAAATAAATAACATTTACTAATAAATGCAAAACAAGCAGTATTGAATGCTCCTTAATGTTAATACAAAGTTTACCAAAAAAAGTTTTAAAATGACAGCTAGTAAAATGAAAGGAAATTAGGAAGCGCAAAATGAGATTATGTTGTGTGGCCCAGGTGTATATGAAACAATGTTTATGTTGTCAGTCTGTAAAAATTAACTTGAAGTAGTAGTGTAAGGTCAAAGCCACCAATCAAAGCAAGCACACATACACACAGAGCAACACTAAACAAACATTAACATTAAAAAACAAAACCCATTTAGTATTAATAATCTCAGGAAATGGTTCAAATTCATGGAATTCAGTTTAAACCTGTCTTGATCTTCTAAATACTTTTTAAGATTTACATGCATAGCTGATAATTATTTGCAGTACAGTAGTTAGATGGCTTTTCAAACTCCCATTAAATAAACAATATCTTAAAAACTCTGAATGAAAATTAAAAGCTTGTGCTCATGTCAAGTAGTTATCAGACAGGTGACACAAAGCCTAGAGGGACCTATACAGTCATTGTGACAGAAAGCACCACACTTCTTACATACAACCATGGCCTTATGATTACAAGCACAATTGGTTACCCCTGATCCATCATCACTAGGAAGCCCAGAATGGTGTTCACACGATGGCGAGGCCTGCACATTGAGGACAGTCGCTGACCTGATGGGTGTCACCTGTGATAGATTGCTTGCTGGTATAGTTTTAATTGGTTGGATATTGACCACGTTTCCTATTTTAACTGGACTTGAGAGTTGAGTAGCGGAGGGTAAAAGTTTACCCCCTTGTCCAGAAACATGTATAATCCTTGCGGTGCTTAATTTTTTCCCTGCGATACTTGGATTGCTACTGATAATGGGTGCTACAATAGGAGACGGGGAGAACCTAAGGGGAGGGATGGGGTTTGGGATTGTAGGTGTGCCAGCAGAAAGATCCACTTTGTGAACACTGAAGCTTGCAATGTTTGATGGGGATGATGACGGGGGTGCAGGTGAGGGTGTACCTGATGAAGATGTCCTTGAAAACACACGAATCTGGTTGTTAGGAATCAGGATATTATTTGAAGTCTGTAAGGGGTTATTAAAATTTTGTATAGTAATTCCTTGGGGTAAATCACCCAGTGAGACAGTAAATGTTTGGTGTGTTGGAGGTGTTGGTGTCGTGGGGGATGGGGCAGTCGAGGATGGGGACTGGGGCGGCAGCACCCCATTATTCCCTACACTCGCTGATCTCACTATTGCGGCTGTGGTTGGTGTTTCTACTTTTGCATCTGGGTTGTTTGGAGGAGCGCTGGCTGCACGAGGAGGTGCATTCAGAAATGCTCTGAGGGCATCCTGAGTGATGAATCTCCTATGCAGCTGTGTTGAGTTTGCTGAAGTGACTGTAGGTGCAGGAGATATGGCTGAGTTGGTCTGGATACATGGGGTAGAAGATACCTTAACAGTTCCAGTTAAATCCTGAGTGGCACTAGTACTTAAGAAGAAAACAGTATTTGGGGTGTCTTTCACAGGGCTAAGAACATTGGAGACGAAAATAATTTTATTGCCATTATCTATCGTGTGACTGGCTGAAGTTACAGTTGTCCCAGTAGGAAATTTAGAAATGGCGGGGGACACTCTACCCCTGTTAAAGACCAGAGTGGTTGGGGTAACCGACCGTGATGATGGCTTAGCTGGTGACACAGGCTGGATAAAATGATGCTGTGGGGAAGGCGTGTTGGCTATCCTACCGTTACTAGCTTGTCCTGACTGACTGAATAAAATTTTAGAGGCACTAGTTATTTGGGCTGGTGGCGGGGTGGGGGTCTTTGGTGGTGGCACTGTGTTCACAGTAGCACTTGTCGATTTGCTCAGACTCTTCTCCAACTCAGCCTGACAGATCTGTATTGATCTTTTCAAGTTGATGTCTGAGGCTTGTGTTGCCTGGTTGTCTGGTGAAGCCCTGAGCTTGCATGTGGCAGCAGTGGATAAAATGTTGGGGACATGCTGTGGTTTCACAGTCTCTGTTGAGACAGATGCTGAAGACTTGAGGACCTGAGGTTGAATGGGAGCCCGGGACTGGGTCTGAGCTTTGATTTGTGCCAGAGTTCTTGTTTGAGTTGGGGCTTTGTTTAAGGGGCCGCTGGATAACAAACTGCGCATTGTCTGATTGCTCTGAGCAGCGGGGGGCGGTGCTGCAGTGGAGCTTGTAGAACCAGCCCGGGCTGCTTGGGTCTGGGCCTTAATCTGGGCAAGTGTTCTGGTCTGACCCTGAGTTTTGATGATTATACCAGTGGATGTCATCGTGACAGTGCGAGTGATACCCTGGGATGAGCTGGTTGCAGATGGAGAGACGGGTGACGCTGGAAGCTGTGGTTTATGGTTAGGTGAAAGGGCATTCTGGCTTTTAGCTTTGGCAGCTTGAGTCTGAGCCCTGATCTGAGCAAGTGTACGAGCATGAGCCTGGAGTTGTGTTGGTCTGGCAGGAGCCACAGTTGCACCTGATACTCTCCTCTTTTTGGCTGGGGTCACCCCCAAGATTTCTGTTCTATCTTCAGATCTAGAATTTAAGAAACAATTATTTAGGCATGATTAGTATTTTTATACATAAACTGGAGAATTAATCAGTCTACTGCAGGTAAATGGTCTACTGCAGCTAACCAATTTTTTTTTAAAATTCAAAAGCAGACAGATAAGTAATATAATTTAAAATCCAACCACTTTCTTACACAAATTGTTAAATAAATATTTTCAAAAACTTAATATGGCTTATACTACATGCCTCATTGAATTAAAGAAGTTCAAGTTTTTAAGTTTACATAGCAAACTTAACAACCTGCTTTTAAGTTGTATATGTATGTAAGAATCTGACATGTGATGTTAGCAGACTTATAATTAAAAAATTTCTACCAATTACCTTAATTTTTCCACTTGCTTTGCTAGAGCCTCTCTGTTTGCAGCTATAACTGAGTCTAAGGAAGAATTATTACTGGATAAGGAAGAGGTTGAATTAGGCGAGGATTCAGAAGCTGACGAGCTTGAAGTCTGAATGGGTGATGACGCAGAATTATTATCTCCATGAGAATGGTTGGAGGATAAGTCTGTGACACACTCTATAGACTGGGACAGTTTTTTAGTAGCTGGTAATGCACTCTCCACGCTGGCTCTGATTGCACGGGTCAAGGAGCGTTTCTGAATCATCGAAGAAACGCGCATGTTGGATTTATGAACAGGCTTTGTTTTTGGCACAGGAGTATCAGCCGCGGATGTTAATTTATTTGGTGAGGGCCCAGTCGCTTTAGGAACATCGCTCATGATTTTACTGGAAAAAAACATAATTGTTAAAAATTAATAGTGGTTAATAGCTTTTCTCAGTGATTGATATTACTTTAGAATGATCCCTCATTATTTTTCAAGGGAAGAAAATATATATATAAGTATGATTATTGTTAACAAACTATGTTAAAAAGATGTTGAAAATGGGATTTTGTAATAGACTTAAACTTACCAATGACCCCAAACAGGTTCAAAATGTTTTGCCTGTAAAACAAAATTTTAAAAAATATGAGAAAACATACAATGCTAAAATCAAGATAAACCTAACAAGGAAAAATTAGTTTCAAATGAGAGTAAAGTGCTTTTGGGTACCTTCCACTCCTCCATCCTATTCTGCTCCTTCTCCTCATCCACTTTAGATCTCTGATTCTCTGTAGTAAATTCTCCTGCAACAATAGGATAATGTGAGTTACAGATTGTATTGTAGTGACTTCAGCACAACAAAGAAAAATAGTGTTCAATAACTTTGAAAGAAGACTATTTGTTAAGTATATTATACTATTTATTATGATTTGTACAATAAGCAAAGTGCACAATAAAATTTACCTTCAGCAAGTCTATCTTTCCATTCCATACAGGCTTTGGCAAAAAATTCATTATTTAAAGCAGTTGTACTTAACCTGAAATTCAAAAGTACTCAGTTATTATTTTTTATTTAAATGCTCAGATATTCTACACAAAATTTAATAATAAAATGTAAAGAATTTTTTGTGTGCAAATTTGTCAAAATTAGTTTTTACTCTTCTATCTTCAATTAAAAATTCAACTTGTTCCTATTCAATTAGTTTATTTGTATTACTAATACTGGATTTATAGCCATACGATTCAGGTCATCTATTTTTTTTTTTTACAAAAACTAAAATTAACACATATTTCTAAAATATAATAATGACAAAACTGAATTTTTCAGAGGAAAACCAGTCTTGATATTTAATTCAAGCAGAATAAAAATTGATTTAAAGAACTTTAATTCAATGCCAATGACAAAAGTCCTAAGACAAACAACAATAGCATTTTCCTATAAATAATAATAACTTGTGCATCTAGCATGTAATCAACTACTTCCACTTTAGACCTATAACAGAAGTGAGAAAAAAAACTATGTTCTACCTGAGGTCATCAGCCTCAGAGCCTGGGATCTGATCACACTGAGGGAGTAGTGTCACCAGCTTGTACTGGTAGTTGGCCGGCAACTGGCTGAAAGTCTTGTAGTTTATCAAGCCCTGATGACAAATATTAAACAATTAGAAGAACTATTATTTTATGCATTAAGGAGTTAAGTAACACCAAGCCAATCCTCAATTTTTTGAGGATTCTCAAAAATAAATTGATTTGATGAAGATTCATTGAAAAAAAATAACTAAAACTATAACTATAACAAAATGGAGAAGATTATACTACAAACTACATCAAACAGATTGTACCTAGAAATAAATTGTATTACCTTCAAATTAGTTTTACATAAAATTGAATCTGGGGTCATATCAATGCACCCATCTTTAGTTTGCTCTATCTGTGCTGCTACTGATTTGGAACGTTTACTGCTACGTTTACGGGGCTGGAATAAAATGTTTTTTTTTCAAAATAATAGAACAAGCAGGGTATGGTTGATATTTAATAAAAAAGATGTATAACTTAGGGATTGTAGTACAAACAACATAAGTTGTATAATTTTATGTAATTTACAGGAAAAGTAGGTTAAATCTTACCCGCATGCTAAACTTCATCCCTGTTTTTATAAAAACTGGCAGGCATCTTTTACTGCCAGGTTTAGCATTTGTAGTGAGGACTGTCAGTTGATTCAGCCCATTTGTATTTATTGAGTTAGATTTTACAGTTGTAAAATCATTAACTTTGTTTGCAACTGCCTCTTCAGTCTTATTGTTTTCAACTGTAATCTCATTACTCTTGCAATTTGGTGCTGATGTTCCTACTCTAGACTTTGGCTTGAAGTCAGAAGGGTCATATTTGTCTGAGAAAATATAATTTTAAGACTGTTAACCCATACATATGTAAAATAAAACCTTGCTGTAATTTAAATTAGCTACATTAATCAATAATTTAAAAATTGAAACAAGCCATCTTTGTTGTTAAAGTATTAAAATATAAACAGCAACTTACATTTTTTGTTTCTCATTGATTGCCGCACACTTCTGCGACTAGGTACTAATGTAGAAACATTATTTTCTTTAACAACAGGTATCTCCATTTTCTAATCTTTCATCCAAAAATTTAACCTAACAGATCATTCTGATTCCACATCTAAAAAACAGAATCAAAGCTTATATAAAATAATTTTATTTAAAAAAAAAACAGAATATTTAGTATATTATTTTGGAAAGAAATTTTAAGAAACTAATCTAAGAAATATTTTTAAAATTTCACTTATTTCTGGAAAGTATGTACATACTGTGTAAGAAGTTGCACTTACATAAATTCAAACTATTAGGGGAGATAGGGGTTCAGGCTTTAGAATGTTTGTAGAACACATGTTTAATTGTCTTTTTAAATAGCAATGTTAGAAACCGGATTTTCAGCCACTATTTCAAGAACTTTCAAGTTTGTAAATACTTTTTTTTTCTATATATATTGTTAGTTTAATCGATATACTCAGTGTAGAAAAAAAATTCAATATTTAAAAAACAAAACTTGTGAGGGGGTAAACTGAGGTGTGACTTCATTTTGGCTTTTTGTGATGATGTGTGAAAAGGGTGTAGGGGAGGGATTAACATTTAATGGATGACCCAAGACCATTCAATTAAATAATAGAAGAAATGAAGACAGTGACAATGATATAACATATAACATCTATATTCTATAACAAATGCCTAGAGAATTGGCAACTTCTACAATAATACGTTTTTTTTGTTAGTATAATTATGTCCTGAACTACTTGATCAATATGAATATGTCTAAGTCTAATGACTAAGCAACATATAAATAACAAATAACCTTTTATAGTTTTTATAAAATGAAAAATGGTTAAAGCAGGTTTAATTTAATTAATTTTGTCAACACTCTGTTACTTTACTGCATGTCTACATTCTTAATCCTAATATATAAAAGCCCATGCGCACACTTCTCTCTCTCTCTGTCTGCAATATTTTTGGCAACGTCGTCAGCCTTTTCAGCAATATATGGAGAACTTAAAGATACAGACTTTTGTTGAAAATAAAATAGTGGACGGTTTCAGTGTATAAAATAAATTTTATTCAAATAAGGAAAATAAAAATAAAGGCATATTCGAATGTAAATCAGATTTCTAACTAAATCGTTTATTGTCATGACAAGAACGTAAGAAACAATGACGTCACATGAAGGAAAGAACACAAAACTAATGGCGTCATCTTACAATTTTAAATATAAAGAAATTAACTATTTCATTGAAATTTGATTTAGATCTACTTATCATGACATACGCCGATAATGAGTTTCAATACTAAAACATTTCAGGCCTTGATTATTTTATATAAATCTTTGTTTGCCTAGATATGGAATTGGCTAATTTCATTTGAAATAATAGGGCTTATTCACGTAACTTAAGTTTCCTAAATATTGCAATTTATTCATCATCTACGCTAATGTGCCTAAATAGCTGAGATGACAGTGTAATAGTAACCATGCAGGTGATATGGGTTCGAGACACACTAAGTCAATCTTAAATTTTTTTTTCAATTTTTTTTAGATGAGAATGATAAAGTTGCCTATTGGGACTTGGTGGGACATGAGGCAGGTGAAGTAGAGTTCACCTGTTTCTGTCTTCTCAGCATATGAAGCAATTATTTGGTCAGACCCATGCTAAGCTGAAATAGGTGTTTTTAAAAGACAAAAGAAACATAACTCTCTTAATTTTAAGTTTCTATTTTTAGCTATTTAGTTTTTTCTTTGCTTTGCCACTAATATCGTTCAACGTGTAGTAAAGCACATTGCATTTTGACCAATAAATTTTTTATAAAAAAAATTTATAAAATATAGCCTATTTCTCAAATAAGTGTAACATTTTTATAATTGACGGTTACCGGTGAAGAAATGAACTATTTAATTTAAATATAGATCTAAACATAAATATAGATAAACCAGTATCCGCTAACCCCCCCCCCCCCCTACACCAGAAAGTTTTAAGTGCCGCTCCAAGGAGATAAATATTTAAAAGAAAAACTGGGCAGCCTATATGTATGTAAGGAGTAGTGAGCTAAAATTCATCAGAATAGCCAGTGTAACGGGTACCGATGGCTAGTTAATTAATTGTAATGTTGGACGGGATTTCAACACAATTAGCCTATTAGGCATAAGTAATTAAGTATTACATATCCACCTGTTAAGTGCCATTTCTTTATTGAATTTGACTAAACAATCACTTGATCTAGACTACTAGCAATACCACCCTCATACCAGCTAACAGAGCTTACACATTTCCTTAGTCAACTCACTACTCAAGAACAGCTGCAAGTTTTGTTATTGTTTAGCTAAAGCAAAAAGATTATCACTTAAGGAACAGACGTAAAAAAGCTGTACACTACAAAGATATATTTAAGTTTTAAAATATAAGGAACACTAATATTACTTAATATTACGACAAGAATTTCTAGAACCGAGAGTCTAGATTCTAGATCTAGTCTATTCGACTAGAATAATTTTCGGCTTTTCAAGTCTGATTTCCCAGTGGAAAAAATTTCGTTTGTGGGCAAATATTTATCCGACGGTTCGGGTATTTAAAACATACAAATATAATAAAATACTCCTAATATGTTAATATTACCAGTGGTTGCGCTGTTTAAATGCTATCATGTCTTTTCAAGACGCCACATTTTTTTGAAAGAAATAAAAACACACTATTGTTTCTCAAACGCCAAACAAACTGGCGGTCGCCATCTTGTTTGATTCAATCGGAAAGCTTTTCTCGATTCAATCGGCTCTCTTCGAATATTTCCGTGCGTAGAAACATAAAGGCGTCAAAATGGCGTCGTTTTTGCAAATTCCAAAATAAACTTTAACGATTAAGTGAAAATGAATTAGGCCAAGCTTTATTCAGTTGATGATATGGATTAATAGTAAATAAGCTCGAAATTTTGAATCCATATAGATCTAGAATTTTTATTGATCTGCAACAGTTAATTAAAACTAACGAAAGTAAAAGTATGTTAAATTTAATGTACGTCATTGTACGTGTACTCAGTATTGACGTCATGACGTGACAGTATTCAGTATTGTAGACGTAGTGAGTGTTCACTGTAGTCATGTAGTGTAGTAGTGTAGAGTATATGACAATTGTCTATATATATATATATATATATATATATATATATATATATATTATATATATATGAGCCTAGTAATAAGTATGAGGTAATTCTTACTCTTAGCTTAGGGTGGGCTTAGTCTCTTAACTTACTGTTATTATATTAATAATTTAAGACAGTGTAATAAATAGTAAATAGTGTAAGACTTAAGTGTAGTCTACTAACTAGTTAAGTAACTAGTACTAGTACTACCTTAGGATTAGAGTAGAGCTAGTCAGTAGCCAGTAAAGTCTTTACCCTTTTTAAAGACATAGAATCCACATTTGAAACTATGTTTTTTATTTATTACGAGCTGACCCGCGACGTAGCATACACTGCTATCTAGTTGTTTTATTTTCTACTTATTAACAATTCAAAATTTGTGAATTCAACACTACCCCCCCCCCCTGCCATCCCCTCCCACCCCACCCCACCCTGTGAAAGCAGCTGTTCACAGATGACAATGAAAATATCAAGCAGAACTTATTATCTTCCCTTAGTTTCCAATCGTTTAAATACTAAGTTATGTGCCCCTAATAGCCGTCACTTATTCAAATCGGCTCAACTATTGTAAACATTCGGGGTGAACCACAGCTCACCTGACAGGTGGGGGATGAGGGTAGTGGCTAAGCTGCGTGGTGTTTTCCATGGTCCCCATGAAGAGAATTATATATATAGATTATGTTTAACTCATTGACATTTAACTATACTTAAATTGTATAACTACTGTAACTTCTACAGAATGTCTAAATGGTGATTAGCCCAATCAGCCCTAATTATTATAATTATTTTACTCAACAAGCAAAGTTTTTAAATTTAAGATTTTTAGACAACCTTCCCCCTCCCCCATACTTAATCACACTGGTTCAAACTATTTTAACTTTTGCCTGCTTTACCATTATTTATTAGTTTAATACTTATTATTAATCCTATATCTCTTGTGTGTTATAAGAATGGAATTAGGAATTAATAAATGTTAAAAAGCACTTTTATAAGTAAAGTATATGTTTATAGGAAGCAATAATATCTCATTATAACCTTTTTTTGTACTTTGTTAGCTTCTAAAATGTACAAAAGAATCTCAAAGATTTGAAGCCACGAAATTTCAAAAAAAAAATTAATTTACTTTAAAAAACTTCTTATTACAATTTAGGTAACTGAAAATGGTATAACCAAATATTTTTTCAATAAACATCTAGCACAAGAGCTGGTCAAAAAACTAAAAGAAAGTTTACAATGGCTTTGGCCAAAGTTGTGAAACTAGAAGAAGTGGAGAGACAGCAGATAGAGCAAGCACCAGATACAAGTGTTCTCACCCCAATATTTGAAAATGCATCTTCTAGTGAAGAGGAGTTAAAAAAATCACCAAGTGATGTTTTGCAACTGCAGACCCCACAAAGTAAGGAATAACGAGAGGTTTTCTCTTTTGAATTCAATCATAATGCTTTAACTAAGTGTGTCGAGTTGAAATACTTAAGCTATTAACATGGAATCAAATTTTAATGTTGATTATAACCTAAAAAATATTAAACAGAAACTGATGAAGATTCTGAGAGCCAAATAGCACTCCTGCTAGAAAAAGAGGAAACAGTTGGTAAGTTATGTTTAATTTAATAGGTTTAGAATAGTGATATGCATTTTACAAAAGGAAGCTTTGGTATCTTACTTCAGCTTTTGCTATAAGAAAAAAAAAAGGTTAAAAAAAAATAAAGACATTGATCTGATTTTTTTTTCAAATTTTTACTTTTTGTGGTGGTAGTGATCCCTAATATAAGTAAAAAATGTTTTAATATGTATGTGTGCCTATAACTTTGGTGTTGGTTTAATCTGATAAATCATAATATAGGCTTTAAGTCTACTTATTTTTATGTGGTCTAATGACGCTACTTAGCCAATGTATAAAAATACTCACTTTAATTATGGTATAACAAATAGTCAATCATACTATGAGAAGTCCGAAATATTAGGCCAATGTATGTATAATACTTATTATACTAGTATAATATTATACTATCCAAAATAAGACAAGATACTGGGAAATAAAAAATGTTATGAGATTTTCAAACAATCTCATTTAAAAAAATTATGTATGTTTATTATAATTTTTTTGTGCTGTATCTAATAATGAACAGAAATAATTGACTTTTTGACATTTTTAGACAAGGTTTATCCTCTACCGGAAAACTGGCCAAAAATATCACAGCTTAGTAAAAGGCCTAGAAGTTGTGTGCTTTCAAATATTTCAACACCATGTGTGAAAAAAGCGGTCTCGTACATAGAACTCTTTCAAAATGCCATTGATGAGTGGATGAAAAAAATAACAGAAGAATCTCGTCCAAGTAGCTTTATTAGCAACGGTGAGACAATCAAATTTTCAATGATCTTTTGATTTGTTTTTTTCATTAGTTAATAAGTAAATTTGAAACAAAATTATTTTATAATATTGCTTGTCTTTTTTAGAGACCAAAAAGCAGTTGAGATTTTCAGCAGTTCCAGAAGGCCATGATTTTCAAGAGATGTCTACATTCAAGCACATTTCCAATGGCAGGTTGTCAACTCGCATGTCCTCAGCAACCACTGACTTAACAGTCAGAGGCAAAGGAGCTCAATTGAGAGATGGTAAACTATATCAACTGCAAATTGGTGATTGTTACTTTATTTCCTATGGAATGGCATGACCTAGCTGTTGAGCGCTAGACTGCTAACCCAAAAGTGTCAATTTAGAATCTGGGTTCAAGTCAGTAGAACCTCCCTGAGTCCACTCTACTCTGACTAGTATCTAACTCATGTTAGGGAAAGTAAAGGAGGCTGGGCATAGTGCTGACCACACTATCATTTCATATGCTAAGGTCAAGAAACATATGAACTCTACTTCATCTGACTAATAGATAGCTAGGTCTAAAGAGAAATCTTCTTTACTTTACTATAGTTGCTAGAAAAAGGATATATTTTTAGAGTGTTTATGCATTAAAATAATTAAATTATAATGTCTGTACGGTTGATGCAGATGAAACTACCCTAAATCATTTTTTTTACTAAATTACACTGTAACTAAAGTTAGTTAAGGGGAACAACAGAAGAAATACCTAACATAGACAAAAAAAGAAGAGTGAAACAAGGATCGGGAAACAAATAATATTTTTTCAATTTTAACATTTTTGTTGGTTTTTTTTTTTAATTTTCTGTTAGTTTCATGTAAAACAAAACAGAAGTCTAAAACACCTGGAGTTCAAACCTTTTGCTTGAATACCACACTGTAAATAAAACACAATAAAAAGAGAATAATATTTGATATGAAGAACATTGAAAAAAGTGTGTATTATCTCTACAGAAGAGGAACTTGGTAGTAATGACATTCCTTACCTTGGGGCTCAAGATGTGATTGATGAGGTCATTGTCTTGTTAGCAAGATTAGAAAACGATAGGCAAGAAACACAAGAAACGTACATTAAAGAAGTCCTGAGAACAAATATGCTGCGAAAGAAAATAGACGATCTTAGATATAGAAGACTAACAGAGCTTCCTGCTCTTGTGCAAAGAGGTAAATTTGGGGATATATATACATAATACATCCGTATATATATATATATATATAATATAGGCCTATAATATATAATATATAGAGCTATATATATATATATTCAAATATGATATATATTAAATTTAAAATTGTTATAAAAATTAGGCTAATATTTTACAATTTTAATTTTAGAGCATGAAACCTGTATTATGGATCTTAGTGAGCTCCATTGGCATGTATCATACACATCACGCATTGAAGAAAAAGCAGCGCTGAGATACAAGACAGCGGAGAAAATAAATCATCATTTGAAGGAGGATATTTCATTTGTGAAGCAACATGTGTAAGTCAGATATGAAATAGTTGTTATCCTTTATACTTCAAAACCAGTTTACATTAGTTAAAGAGTAACACCATCATTTTAATATAACTTGATTCTTTTTTTACTATTTGAGTTATTTACAATTGTTTCAAAGGCCACTTGTACAGGAAAAACTCATACTTGAAGTTGAGGCTATGGATAAAATTAGGAAAGCTCAAGGGGATGTGAGTAGTTCAGCATAAGATACTTTATAAAACATATAAATTTGATTTTATTTAGTTAATCATTATAATACTTATGTTAATGCATCTCTTTTATCATTAAAATGATTATTAGTTTAGAAGTAAGTTTTATTTCAGTAATCATTGTCTTTAACAAATGATTTAAATAAATAAAATACATAAAAAATAATTTTTTTAGTCGAGCAAAGATGTACCAGTCATAACCTGAAACACAATATAAAACATGATACTAATATCAGTTACATACATTTTGAAAAATATTTTGTATTAGAATTCTAGAGTTTTCACACATGTATATTTTTTTTACAGACTGATCAAGAGTTAGTGATGACCAAGCAAAGACTAGCAAAAACTGAGATGAAGTCTACTGAGGCACACACAAAGGCTGAAACAGAGAGAGGGTATATTAAACAAGAGCTGGATAGAGTGAGGGAGGATCTAGCCAACATAAGGTGAATATTACTGTAGTGATAGTTTTAAGACATGTACATAGGCCTATCGGCATAGTGCTGACCACACTATCTCTTCATATGCCGAGGTCACAGAAACAAGTGAACTCTACTTCACTTGCCCCATAGACCGTCAGGTTTGAAAGGGAAACTTACTACTACATAGGCCTATCAGTAAAATAAAGGAGGATTTTAAATTTGGTTTAGAAAACAGGAAATGTAACCTACCTACATGACTTTTTTTGTACTGCTGAAAATAAGATCTTTTAGAGCTGGAATTGTTTCTTTTTGAATAGTTACAAATCTAGGCACAGGAATCAAAATACGCTATATTATTATTGTAATAATATATGTCATCATATTGTTATGTTAATAATATAGGGTATATATAATTTATTATATTAAATGTCAGTTTTGTATTTTGTTCATTTAAATTTTATTTTCCCTTCAAATGTTTTCCATGTTAGGCATTGTCTCCCTTATGGTAATTAATTAGTTTTTAATTTAAAAAGCCTGATAACACCTGGCAAGTATTAGAAAATGTAATTTTTTTGAGTTGTTGCAACATTCTAAATCATTCAAACAAATAACTTGGAATATGAAGTTGGATTGAATTTTTTAAAATATTGTATTTTGAAAAAAAAATGACTGATGCTTGATTATTTCAAACAACTAGTGAGGACTTAGCTGAAGCCAAGATGACATTTAATGCTTATGTCCACCAAGTAAATGACATCAACCAACAGCTGATTGAAAATGATCAGGAGCTAAAAATCTTGAAGGTCAAAAATGAAAATGCAAAAATTGCTGAAGAGATGCAAGCTACTAAAGTAGGTTAAAATTTAAGTTTTTAACTCTTTCTATACCAGAGGCGTTTCCACATCCTGACCTCATTATTTCCATTACCCAATTTTTTTACACAGCCCTCACCTACTTAAACAATTATAGCTCCTATGTTTTTCTAACCAGATTTATGTATTATACATCAAAATGAACAGAAATGAAATTTCGATAGTAGTAAATGAAGATAATTGTAGTTATGTTAAAGAATGTAGGTTTTTTCACATGTTAAATGACTTGTTAAAGAAACAAACACTAGCTGTGTTGAGCCGTACCTTGCGGCTCACGGGCCTACTGTGAAGCTGTTCCAAGCCACATCTCGCGGCTCATGGGACGGATTGAGTTAAGTTAAAAAATTAAAGGGAAGTAAAATCAATGTTGGCAAATCATGGTTTTGTGTTAAAACAAAATAGGTAAATAAAAAAAACACTAATAAATATTGTGAACAATTACTTCATACATTTTTTTTTAAAATTTTTAATTTAGAAGTAACACTGTCAATAAAAATCTGCTCTGAAAACCAGGTTAGTAACTTACAATCAAAGATCACTCAGGCTGAGTTTGAAAACAGAAGACTGGAGAATGAAAATGAACAACTTGAACAGGAACTGCAAACAAATGTAACTTGATTAAATGTCTATATTAAGCACCTCTGTTTGTTAAAAAAATTTTTTTGTTAAAATTGAATAGGTTTGTAAGCCAACTTGTATTTATTAATTTTTCACTGCTATTTGAAATTTTTTAATTTAATAATGTATTCATTTTAAAAGCAATTTCTACTATATAATACTGTTATTGAAAAATAAATAAACTAATATTGTGCTGTATAAATTGATAGTTAAAATTGTTTAAAATAGATTTAAAATTAAAAGGTTTGAATGTTTGAATGATTATTTTACATAAAATAAGTCAACTATGTATTTCCTAGAAAAATCGCCACAAACATGTTATTGAAGATTTGGAACGTCAGGTCACATCTCTTGAAATCAAGTACAAGACACTGTTTCGTAAGAATGAGGAGATTGCCTTGGAAATTGAAGATTGTGAAGATAAAATTGCAAAGTGGTACGCAATTTTCCCATTATTTTACAAAATAAACTCTTCATTTATCAAAGTAAAAAATATTTTTCAGAAAAAAGGTGTTAGTTAAGAAAAAGGTATTAGTTGGAACTTATTATTAACTGTAAAACTAGATTTTGTCTAATTAAGATTTATAAAAATAAAAAAATTCTATAAATGTTAGTTGAAAAGATTTTTTTTTTACTTTTGTATTAAAAATGTCTAGAAAGTTTGTTTTTTCTGATTCAAACATTATTTAAATATTTATGCCTTAAATTTCCACATGTGCTAATTAAACTAAAAAACAGATTTCAATTGCAAACATTTTAATATAAACATTGTCTTCTCAGCAATCAGCAGAAAATTGCAGGTGAGAAAAATACCGCCAGAATTCTAAAAGAAATAGAACGTGTAACTGTAATGTTGAACCAAACTTTGGAAGAGCACTATCGAATATCATCTATCAATGAAAACCTCAGTGGGGAACTGAAATTACAAAAAGAAAAAGCATTCAAAACTGAGGAAGCCCTAAAGGTACTTATGTTTGAAACATAATAAAATAGGTAGGCCTACTTGTAAAATAGCTATGCCTAGTAGCCTATATATTTTGCTACGAATACCAATAACAACAGTGAAACACCCATACATAACTTTAACCTAGTCGTTGTCCTAAAACTGTAAAATTTAGTCAAGCTGTAAATCATGCTGTGATTTATCTATCTTAAAAAAGAACAACCAAACAAGATTATTATTTCTTCATTTTATTGTCATAAATGAAGCAGAATTTAAAAAAAATGTGTTCTTGTTTTATGAATTAGGCTTTAGTGCTTTATAATATTGAAGAATGAGTGAGTTATACATTTCAAATACTAACTCAAGACCCCAAAAAGTTATCCAGTGGGATTATAGATTTATGTTTAGCAATCACAATCTAACTGCTTCATGCTTGAGCATATCAAATGGTAAATTCCATTAATTTATAACACTGCACTTCAAAAATTTCATTTTTAATATCAGATTAAATGGGAAGATGTATAATTGGCAAGAACATGTTGCTTGAAATTTTTTTCCTACCTATGAATCACTATTACTCCCCTCATTAAAGTGGATCATCATTTTAAAAAACAAAGTGCTTTTATATAAATAAATAATATTGTCACATTAGAATTTTTAGGCACCCTAACTAACTTCTGTTAATTATTTCCCTAAATATAAACTTCATTTTCCAAACAAATGGTTTCCTTATTTCAATTTTACATGTTTCTCTTAAAGACAAATTTGGAAATGCTGAGAAGGCAAGTAAAAGAGGAAATTCACACTCGCACTGTCCTGCATGCTCGAATAGCTTCGGATGGAAATGAAATTGAGAAGACTAAAATAGAATCTGCTAAAAAGAAAGAAAAAGTATGCCATCTATTTTTAAAAAAAACTTATTTAATTTAAAAAAGTGTTCATACCTGGAATTATTATTATTTAGGGATTTGAAAAACTTGTAATGATTATCTAAATAATGAGAATTTTAAAAATGAAAAAACCATTCATACAACTCGAAATATTTTTTTTCTTGGCCATTAATAAAATAAATTTGAATTGAAGAATGTCTGGGCCTACTATTATTAAAATGAAAACACTCCTACAATCTCCATAATCACCAGGTTCCTGATTATGTGAATGTTAAAAATGTGTTTCAGGCTCAGAGTGTTGCAGATGAGGTTACAAATGCTGTGAAGCTTGTTCTTGATAAAGTTGAAAAACTGCGTTCTGCTAAAGGAGAGAAGCAAACTGTAAGTGGAGATAAATTATTCCTGGTTTTAACAGTTTCACCTTTTCAGTTTTTTTGTCTTTTTACTATTAAAACAACAGAAAATTATCCCATTTAGATTTCTGACAATATAACTTCCTATAGATAAAAACATAAGACTATATAATATTAAATATCATCTTTCAGTAACAATTAGAAAATCATGCAAACTATTGGAAACTGATAAAATAATAATAAAGAACATCATCAAAAAATTAAGCAATAAAAGATCATTAGCTTTTTAGCACTTTCCTAAATGATTCCAGTAAACACATTTAAAAAAAATTAAATATCAGTTTCAATGCCACACTAGCTTTCATCATTTGTGTTGCAAATGGTTAAAACAGATGAAAAATAAAGTATTAGGCAACAAAAGTTTTAACTCCTATCTTTAGTCATCAGGCATATGATTAGAATTTTATGGTCAAAATCCTGCAAACTTTAAATAATGTTTAAATGAAATAACTTAGCTGTAGCAGGATAGGTAATCCCTATTTTAATAAATTTCACTAACTTTTTAACTCCCATTGGTTATTTATTAATTTTAATATTTGAAGACTATAAATTACACTGGGTTTAAAAAATAATCTTAACACAAATAATTAACGCAAAAGCTTAGTCAAGCACAGAAATTCAATGTAACATTAATAAAACAATAACCGTATTTCAGCACAAAGAGTCCTTAAAGACACAAGTTCAGGACTTGGAAATACAGCACAAGAACAGCAGTGAAAGGTTTAGGGAACTCATGTCTAAACTGGAGCCACAGCATCAAACTTGCAAGGTTGTTTAAGTGAAATAATTATAAAAGTCTAAACATATTGGGTTTGAATTTTGAATAATAATAGCCAGAGTGTTTACAGTTCTATCATTGATTACATTCTTCAGCAATGATACAATCATATTTTCCATTATAGAAAATAATTAACATTAAGTAGTTGACATAATTTTAGGATTAATTAAAAACTGATTAATGATTATATAAATATGTAAAACACAAATATAGAAGTTTTACCCATCTTCTACAGGGGCAGTTGAATGATTTAAATGAACAACTGACCACAATCAATAAAAATAAAGAAATGATGAAAAATAAAGTTGAGGAGATGGATGGAGCCCAGAAAATGATGGAGAGATCTGTTAGAACATCAGAAGAAGCTATTACTCTTCTCACGTAAGTAGATTATAATCAGTCAAATCATTTAAGTGGGTTGGTGTGGTCATGAGGTGGAGCGTCTAGATGTTTACCCTCTAGATTCAAGTTTTTTCAGGCTTCATACCATGGGATGTCCTTGAGTAGGTACACTAAGCAAAGGTGCTAACTGCACACTCCTTTTAAATGGTGTGGTCATTGTAGCATTACCCTACTTCATCAGCCCTATAAGACTGTCATCTTAATTTACATGATATACTTTTATATAACTTGAAAAAAAGTAAAATATATAAAATATGAATTGCCATTAAGTCCAGTTTTTAAAAAAATCCCTAAAAATTTATAACAGTATCTCACCTTCTGAATAAGTTCCACTTTTAAAGTGCATGTTAGTTATATTTAAGTTTAATGACTTAAAAATTAATTAGAAATTTGAGTGTTTTCTATTATGTTGCGATTACTCACCTTATACAGAGCTGTGTATTGTGTTACATCTGTACATAATTTTGTTAGTGTTAAGCATCATTTTCATTTGATCATCAATCTCAAGCCAATAAAGATTAAATACAATTGTTTAACAGGTCAGAGCTAGAAGAACTGAAGATTCAGGTTGAGGCAGGTAAAAAGATTGAGGAAAATCTTCGCAGACAGCATAATGAAGTTTTAGGTGATTTTTGTTTTCAACAAGATCTTTTTATAATATACTGATGTTTAGAATTACAAGTTAATTTATTTTAAATTAATATTGTCATATAATTTTTTGTTGAAATCATTCTCTATTATAGATAATTATAGATTGTGTGCACTTAAAAATGAAATCAACATTCCTTTTTATTATTGAGTTGTTGCTTCAGTTTAAATTAAGTGCAATTTTAACTCATTTGTTGGACAGTCTATTCTAGTTTTAATATTGAGTATTTGTGACAACTTTTTTTAAAGTTAATTTTTTTTTTAAAATTACAGCTTTTAATTGTAATTTAAATCTCCCCTAAACCCTACTTTGAAGTATTAAAATAAGCAACATTCAACTATGCACTGTGTTATGGCAAAAAATAAGCAACATTCAACTATGCACTGTGTTATGGCATGGTCGAACGATAGAAAATACCACTGCTAACACTAAAGTCTTGAGTTTGAATCAGGATTCAAGTCTGTAAGTTTCCCTTATGTCCGCCCAGAGGGTATCTGACTCCCATTAGGGAAAGTAAAGGTGACTGGGCTTAATACTGACCACACTATCCCTTCATTTAACTAGGTCACAGAAACAGGTGAACTCTACCTCCCTTGCCCAGCAGACCGTCAGAATTTAAATTTAATTTACAACTAAGCACTGATAATTGTTACTTAATATAAATAATTGTTATCTTAGATCGACTGAGAATTGATGAGAACAAGCACAGTTTACTTAAAAAAGAAAGAGAAGCTGTTTTAAAGAAACATCAGGTTTATGATATTCATTTTTAAAAATGTTAAATTTTATTTATGGCATCTCGACATTCTTACAGTCTTGCTCGGATATGATTATTTATAAACTAGATTTTACTTGGTCTTTATAAAATTTTATTGCATTTTATTAAATTAACATATATTTCAAATTAAAAAAAACAACAAAAAAAACCAAAAGATAATTAAAATTTAAAATTAATTTTTTGGATTTAAAAAGAAAAATATGGCAACCATTTAATAGACAACCATAGTTCAACTTAAAATCTTCAAAATGTCAACTTTCTACATAATAATGTAGCAACAATCATTTGAGGCATAATCAATTTGGTTTGCTAAAATTCACTGGTTACAAATTTCAGACAGACAAGGACAAATTTATTGAGAGCAACAAAAACCTGGCTTCTAGATACAGGCAACTTCAAAATGAATTCCTGATCTCAAAAGAGAAAATGTTGAAGAGCTATGAGGAAAGAGTTAAGGTGGAAGCTGCTATCACTGATGTCAAACAGGTATATTCATTTTGTTTATATTTTTATCTATGATGTGATTTAATCAGACTTTGATTCAAGTAAAAATTTTATTTGCTTCCATATGGAAGCAATGAGAGCCAACCAGCATGTTGCTTGTAGGATATTTTAAAAGAATTTCTTCATAATTCACATTAACTAATTTCTGTTTTTTTAAATGCATTTGATGTCAATCATGCCTATTTTATAGCACAAACAAATAAAAAATCATATCCTTCTAACTAGACTTTAAAAAAACACTAATAGAATTTAAACAATTGATCAACATTAACAATGTACTAAAATTTTGTCAAGATCATATAATAACAACATTACCTCTCTACTTGTAGAAATATAAAAATTCATTATTTTTCATCTAAGTGCAATCTATCCAGTCCATCCTAAATGAATTAAATGTGAAAATATTTTTCAGCTGAAATCCATCCAGTCCAAGCTGCATGGGGCACTTACAGAGTACTTTAAACTCAGTGGCCTCTACAACCAATCAGAACTGGCCAAACTGGAGCAAGAATCAGCCAACAATGGTGTGCGTGTCTCTGAACTACAGGTCAACATGGAGCAAGCTTTAGAAGAGATCACCCAGTTCTTGAGTTCCCAGATGGATGGTAAGGTCGCCAAGCAGATAGCCATGGATGCAGTGAAAAAAACATCTGTTGTCACCATGGAAGTTCCTAATGTTTCCAGTACAAATTTTTCTCATACAAAGTCAGCATTAGATTCAGTTCAAATACCACAAATGGCATTGATTCAGTAAGGCCCATGAATAAATAAAGGAGTTCCCTGATATCATTTACACAATGACACAGTAAGCAACAATATATTTATACAGTTCTGTCATTGATTACATTTTTCAGCAATGATACATATTTTCCATTATAGAAAATAATCAATATTAAGTAGTTTGAGTACAATGGCTAAGCACCCAAGTTTCAGGTATTGAGAAATGTTAACCACTAGTTGGTCAGTTATATCTTTGATGTTCTTATGTTTATGTGTGATGCTGTAACATTATTACAATAAAATAAAGGTGTAAAAATTGAGAACCAAACTTGCTATGTGTACTACAGAAGTTTCAATAGCTTGCCAGATATTTTTGTTTCTACAGAATACTTTTTCCTGTTTGTACGTGTTTGTGCTAACTAAAGTGTTACTAAAATAATGTGTAAAAAATCATTTCTATGAGCTATTTTCCCACCACTTTGATTTTGTATCTAATGAAGGATTACTTACAGCACTAAAATTCTATTATGGAAATAAATTAGTTTTAAGTTAATAAGCAATTAGCTATTAAGAAATATTGTAGTTTGTCGCAATTCAGTTGTCTCCCCTGCAGAAATTCCAGCATGTTCTCTTGCTTGTGAAAGAAGTGTCAGTGTACTGTTCTTTTGTGTTCATGTTTAAATACAATCATTAAAGATCGATTGTGAAAAAATTGTGATGGATATAATATTGTGAGGTTTTTAAAAATTATCTATATATATAATTCTCTTCTGGGATCAGTTAGAAAACAAGCTGCAAGCGAGACGGGTTTGGTGACGGCTATTAGGGGCAGATAATTTAGTTTGAAACGATTTTAAACTTAGAGGAGGTAACTAAGAGGAGGCTGCTTTCACGTGGGGGGGGGGGGGGGGGGGGGGGGGGGTAGTGTTTTTAAGCAAATATTTTCAATGGCAGCATTGGTACTGTCGAATTCACAAATTATAAATTACTGAAAAGTAGAAAAAAAACAACTAAATAGCGGCGTATGATACGCAGCGGGTCGGCTCGTACCAAATAAATTCTTTTTACATACTTGTTTCTGTAAAACTATTAAACAGTATGACAATGAATGTTCCCATACTTTCTTTTATTAATGTGACTTGTGCTTTGTCTAATTTTAAACATTATTTATATAAGTTATCACCTACAAATAAGGTGCAATGCTAGTACAAAAGATAGAAAAAAAGATTAAAAATTATAAAGGTTTTATTTAAGGAAATTACATACCAGCATGAAACAAACACGGAGATCAAAAAGTGATTATGACTTAAATTAAATAACATTAAGTAGATTTTTTTTTAAATGACTGAAAATAATATTTTTGTGATTATTCAATTAAATTTTTCAGTAGTGATTACAAAAAAATTAAAAAAGCTATTAAAGTTTAACCACCTGATCATTTTATAGGTGTATGATTGCCATTTATCAAGGTGATTTTGTAGTAAAATAATCTCATAAACTTGAGTAATTTAAAGTGAACTTATGAGCTTATTTGCTCAAAAACTATCACAAGATTTTAAAACCTATTCAAAGCATACTTGAGTTGTAATATGTGAAATATCTGTACTTTATCTTGATAAACCAAAATATTTTTACATCATATAAATTATCCAATTCTATACATTGCTAAATAAACATAGTTATTTATTAAATTAAAAAAAAAAAGATAAAATATATTAAATGTTACATGATTTCAACATCAAATAAATTAACCAATTCTATACATTGCTAAATAAACATAGTTATTTTTAAATTTAAAAAAAAAAGAGGATAAAATAAATAAAATATTACATGATTTGCAAGGAATCTGAATGAAAAGCAAATTTAAAAAATTGAAAATGAGAGTTTTTGTAAGAAAATGTTAAAGCGCATCTTATACATTTTTTTTTAACATACAAAAACATTTTTTGATTTAGATTATATTTATTTACTTCAAAAATGTTTTATAATACTGGCACACTCCCAAATGATGCTAGCAAAGTGTTAAATTTTTTACACAAAAGTTTGAATTAATATTTGCTAAAATGATCATAAACAATTTGAAGTTTCATCATTTAACTGAACCAGTTTCTAAAAATAAAAGCCTAATTTGTTTAATTAATAGAAGAGCACTTTATTAACAGTACAATTTTAAGATTATTTTAGGAAGCGAAGAATGTTATCCTCAAACCAAATATCTGTAAACTGGAGATGATCAGTAGGAGATAAAAGTAGGGTAAGACGACCACTTTCATTAAGTTCTTTCAGTCCAATCAAATCCTAGAATAAATGTAGAAAGGTGAAAAGAAATTATTTTAGCTTCTCTTTAATTGCAATTTTTAAATTAAAATCATCTATTAATTTTTTTTTCTTTTGAATATATTCTCCTTCTTTAAAACACAAGAAAACAATAACTTAAAAAAAAGTATTCAAATAGAGGTAACTTGCCTGCTGGTACAATTTGCTTTGTGTCATGTTGTAGAGTGTTTTACCTTGACCTTCAACATAGAAGCCAAACCACTGAAATAGATGTATTAAATATTTACACTCTTCTTTTCTGCAATGTTATGTTTTGACTTTTTAAAATTTGTTGCCCATTGTTGGCTTTTCAGAAGAAAAAAAATCTTAAAATTTAATAAAAAGACAGTAATTAAAAAAAAAAAAACCATGATCAATTAAAAAATAATTTTAAAAAAAACACACTTTTTAATAGCTTTTGAAAAAGAAATGGTTGAATCACAATTTTTAACAGATATTTAAGTTAAATCTTACATAAAAAATCAAATAAATAAAAGAGAAATAATAAACGCAAGAGATAGAAATATGATTACCTCACTTTCCTTTGGGTCCACCATTGTATCCTCACCAAACATGACAAGAACTAAGTTCTTGAGCTTCAGGAGGTTTGTCTTGTAAGTAGCATTAAATTTCTGTATTTAAAGCAAGTTATCAAATTAAACTTTTTTAGCCTGAGCTTGTATTCATCTAAATCAATCAAACATGCAACTATATACCTGAAGGATTCATTTAATATTTAGATATGTGAGGGGGAGGAGTTGATTTTCAAAACAAAAACTGACTTTAAAAAAACTATTTAACTGATTATTTCAGTAGGTAATTTTAAAAGAAGTTTAAAACTGTTGTTTTAATAATAGAATTGTATTAGTTATTACAAATGAAAATTGTCTTACTCGTTCTTGGTTAATATCTGCCAAAAATACACTCTTGTTTCTGTACTCTGCCTCATTCAATGGGTCATGCCAATATTCTGCTTGCACAAGGCTGAAAGATAAACACATTGTTTTTTATTAAACACAATTTTTTAAAAGTGATGAAAAGAATCGTAAAATGGCTAAACGTTTAAAAAGCTATCAATGTAAAAGATATTTTACTTACAAATTTTGAATCCATCTGAAAGTAAACAAGAAAGTATCCATGTTATTAATTCATAAAATAATTCATGTAAATCTAAAGATAACAATAAGCATGGAGTCTCAATAGGCCAAATGACAGATGCAATTTTGTCAAGATCCAGTAAATTGATTTAGAAATAAGATCTATCTTTAACCTCTGTTGTAGAAGCAATTGAAATGTACAAACAAATGTCTTGTCTGTTTAATAACATTTTAATGTTGAAAGTTTAATTCAAATATTTCTGAAGCATCTCTACAGTAAGTTTAGATGCAGATATTCAACAAGATAAAACAAAACTTACGGAATGTATGCACCTCTGTTTAAAAGCTTCCGGACAAAGTCACAAAGTGTCTGGTTCTCTCCAGGACAATGAGGGAATCCATATACACCTACAGTCATTTAAATCATATTTTCTTTACTATTTTTACAAATAATGTAACACTGTGTTGAGAAATTCGTTATTAACAGTAAAATGTTTTACTAAACTTTGCAAAAAAGAAAAAATCATGCAAAAAAAATACTATGTGACTGTAATGTAAAAAAACACATTTGAAAACATTTTACAGCAAGAAAAAGTGTATTTATGTAAAAACAGTACCTTGATGCTGTCCTCCAAATGAAACTAAATTAAACATTGGTGGAGTGGGACACTTTTGTGCGATAGCTCGTCTAACGCATAGGAAAAAAATATTGATAATGAATCTTTACATTGGGGATGATACCTAAACACTTTCATAGTTTAGGGCTTGAATTATTAATGCATTATTTACAAATATATTAACAGCATAAAAAACACTAGTTAACAATATAAAGTGGATTTTATCCATTTAGGAAACCTACAGAAACTGGCCTCCTTGTGAAAAACCAAGTGCATTATAACCTTGCTGTAGTTTTGGATCTTTTTTTAACTGATCACAGACAATATCAATTTGTCGATTAACATTCATTAGAAACCCATTTTCTGTATCCTGAAAAAAAACAATTACAAAAGCAATTTTATTTTTAAAATGTATATGAATATTGATTCTTGTCTACCTAGTTTATAATAACATGTTCAGTTGTTCTGAATAAGCTTTACCTCAACTATATTGTTGCCAATTTCCAATGACTTTACATAAATTCCTCCACCAACTTTCTGCTCAATGAGTTTCTTAATTGACCCCATGCTGAGAGGATTGCAGCATGAATCCCCTGTAATTATCAAAATATAAACATTGAAGATTATTACGAACCTAATATCGAATTTAAATTTAATTTTTTTTTTTGGTAATCTCAAATGTAATGCTTAGAGCAACTAACATTAAAAACATTTTGATTCAATGTATTTATCAACATTGAAAACAAGAAAATAACCCAGATAACTCTAATCCAAAAACTTAGAGTAATAATAACAAAGGGAAAAAATTTCATTCTGCAAAAAACAAAAACTAGTTGTTTCTGTCAGGCAACTAGCGTAACAATGACGTAACGTTACTAAAAATAGCAGATAGAAATGTCAGCGTGGGTACCTCATCTTCAGGCAAGATTTTGGAAAAATGAATCAATAAAACTGTAAATATACACGGTAAATATATCAATTATATATTAATCTAGACTTAGTCGGCCGTTTTCCCCATTAGACGGTTGTTTTTGGCGGCGGTTAAGTTTTTACGGAGAGTGCTCCACTGGAAATCCTCTCATTATTTACAACCACAAATCTTGCATATTTTTTGTGGCAGTCTAGCTAAGGCATATTATCCATTTCATTTAGCATCTTGCATTAAAATAATGATGAGAATTAGCGAGATAAACTGTTTTTTCATTTGTTGTGGATAGGACCCTAAAATTAAACGTTAAAACCACAGAAAATGATGCCTGATGTTTCAGGGTCAGAGGTCAATCCTGCCATCTCAGCAACGAGCCGGACTATTATTATTCAAATTATTGTTAGTAATGTTAGGCCTGGTTATTAAAAAATAAAAGAGTAAAGTAAAAAACAAACATAAGTAAAAGTAAAGAAACTAAACTAGCGACTTAAGACTAGTGATTGATACTGATAAGATTAGTGAATCATTCATTACCATTAGCATGTATTAGTATTAGTCACTGATTAGTTGATTAAATGATTAGTGAACTAGGCGGCATATTTTTAAACTAAACTATTTTAAAAATAATAAAAATATTTTCAAAATAATTTATTTTTAATTATTTTTTTAGTTTTAGTATTTTTTAATAAACATTTAATCATTTAATGGATCGCTAGACCTAGAGATTAGATTAATTAACATTAAGCTGAAACGTCTGAATACCCATTCCATGCCATATAACAACTGGAACGGGATCAGCATAGCACAATTTAAAGGTTAAGCTTATGCAGCTAACAAAAAGGAGAAACAGCAAAGAAGACATGTTTGTGCTGCTATCCACCATTTTGTTTAAGTTTCTAGTCACATGACAAAGATATTATTTGTACTCCATTATCAGAAATAAATATCTAATATATTATCAAAATCAGGCATGCAACAAAAATCATACTGTTATATATTGAAAGTAAAATCTGATTCATCAAAAAGAATTATATATAATTATATTTAGAGCTTTTTGTTCATTTTAATTAAAAAAATACAATAACTACTCCATTGAAGCTGTGCGCATGTTCAACATTCTTGTTGCTGATCAACAGTAAACAACCTAACGAATAAGTGCAGTAAAATCTGTCTAAAACTCTAAAAGTTTAAAGTACCATTGCATTCTTTCAAAATGTTTGACGTTGCTTTATCTTCGGCTGGAGCACATATAGCTCTAGCAACTTCTAGTGATGACAAGCATCCACCAGAAAATATTATTGACGGGTTAGTTAGGCCCCTATTTAATTTATTTTATATTTTGCTAGATCTACTCTCTAAAATTTGTAAAAATAGTGTAGGCCTAAAGTAAGTTTAGTTAATACTAGTTATTAGTAGTTAATAGTTAAGTTTTAAGACTTAAGTTAAAGTTACAGTACGACAACCGTAGTCACACGTACAAGAGTTTACAAGACGCACAAGACTACAAGGCAGTACTAGTTGTTCAAGTCAACTAAACTTCTATTCTAAATTTTAAGTCACCTCAGTGAAAAGTACAGTTACTCAGCGTAGTTTGAGTTGGTAGTCAGTAGTGTTTAGAATTTATTTATTTAGTATTAGGCCTAAGTATTTATTTATGAGTAGGCTTGTCCTCGAGTAGAGCCAGCATTGAAATTATTTCTTAAAATTAAACATTTTAGTGTGTGTGTGTGAGTTGTTAAACTGCTATTGTATCAGCCTAATAATTAAAATTTTGTAGGCTGTTGTTAAAGTTTTATATTAAGTTAGGCACTTAGGCATATATGGTAGGTAGAGTGTACTACTGCTAACCAGAAAGTCTTGAGTTTGGATCATGAGCTTCAGTCTGTAAGGTACACCTATACCTAAACCCACCCAACTCTGATGTGTACTTACCACACTATCCCCTCATATTCTGAGTTCACAGAAACAGATGAACTCTATTTAATCTGGCCCATTATTTATAAAGTATTATAATTATTATTATGGTGTCGATAATGTAACAAGTTGGACTCTAAATCATGGGGTGATTAAAAATAAATAAATAAATATTTTCAAAATTGTGTGCTGTCAGCTGTGTTATTAAATTATGTGATCATAAAAACTTAATTATGTGTAATTAGCATAACTTTCCTTATACTTTTTTTTTTATACATTTGATGTTTTATTAGCAGGTAACAATTATTTTTTAAAAAACCTTAATAATTAACTTTTGTTGCATAACCACATTGTAATTAATGTATTTTAAATTGTCTTTTTTTCAGAAATTCTGAAACCTTCTGGTCTACAACTGGCATGTTTCCACAAGAAGTTGTTATACGCTTTCAGACGTTAATGAAAATTACAAATATTCATGTTCTTTCTTACAATAGTAAGTTCCCACATGAGCAGCAGCATAATTAATATTAATTACATTAGTAAGTTTTAGGTATTTAATGTGTAGATATTTTGTGAAGGTAATTTTTTGGTATTAGTGGCCTACTAATAGTAATTTACGATGCATCTATGCCCCTAATTATTCCTGATGGACAGCATGGTCGGATGGCAGCGTAGACAACTGCTAGCGTAAAAGTCTTTGATTGGATCCCAGACATGAGCCTTTAGGATGTCCCTGAGTCCATCTAGGTCTGATGGGTACCTAACATACACTTGGGAAAGTAAAGGCAGCTAGGAATTATAACCTAGCTGTAATGGTACTCAAGTTATCGTGTTCACAGACACACACACACAGACATACAGACAAGATTGCAAAACTATGTTTTTCCGACTCATGGAGGTGTAAAACGTCGAGATTTGCAAAAATCTCGATTTTTTTGTGTGTGCACGATTACAATACTTTCTCTATACTCTGTATACGAGAAAGTAAAAAAATAGATGTCAGGTTATCTGTGGTGTTTAATATTTTTTCTTAAGATAAACATCTAAACCTTATTAGGTAGGTATTGATTTTTTTTGTGTCCATTATACCCTAAGTAAACTTTTTTTTTCCGTAACTCCAACTCTGCAGTTAAAAAACTTCGACTTGAAGCATCTGAAAATGAAGACTACAGTAAATATGACACCATAGCTGAAAAAAGTAAGTATAAATACTTTTTTTTTCCTACAGAATTTAATTTTTTTTTCAGAATCTTTATTTGAAATGCTGAGGAATTGTATCATACAAATCTGTTATGTCATAAAAATTCAAACGTACTAATGGGTCTCTTGACGCTGCTACATTTCCGGTGTATAATATATGGTTTATTTCTTTCCCATAGAATTTGATGCTATGTTTTCTTACTTTCTCCTAGAATTTGATGTTTTGTTTCTACCTTCTAGAATTTGATGTTTTGTTTTGTTTCTGCCTTCTAGAAGTTGTTTTGTTTTCTTTCTTTCTCCTAGAATTAGATGTTTTGTTTTCATTCTTTCTCTTAGAATTTCATGTTTTGTTTCTACCTTCTAGAATTTGATGTTTTGTTTTCTTTCTTTCTCCTAGAATTTGATATTTTGTTTTGTTTCTATCTTCTAGAAGTTAATGTTTTCTTTCTTTCTCCTAGAATTTAATGTTTTGTTTTGTTTCTACCTTCTAGAATTTAATGTTTTGTTTCTACCTTCTAGAATTTAATGTTTTGTTTTCTTTGTTTCTCTTAGAATTTCATGTTTTGTTTTGATTCTCCCTTCTAGAATTTGATGTTTTGTTTTGTTTCTACCTTCTAGAATTTGATGTTTTGTTTTCTTTCTTTCTCCTAGAATTTGATGTTTTGTTTTCTTTCTTTCTCCTAGAATTTGATGTTTTGTTTTGTTTCTACCTTCTAGAATTTGATGTTTTGTTTTCTTTCTTTCTCCTAGAATTTGATGTTTTGTTTTCTTTCTTTCTCCTAGAATTTGATGAAACAGATTCGCAGTTACAACAGGAAGAGATCCAGATAGGTGAAAAAACAGCCATGTGCCTCAGGCTTGTCGTTGAGTCAGGCTATGATCATTTTATCTGTATCAACAAAGTTGTGGTCAGTGGACAAGCTGTTCATTGAAAGACTTGACCTTTTTTCCTTTCATTCCTCATACATTTTGCTTGTACATAACTCCTGCTGTATTGTTATTTATGTTCCACTTTGGCACTGTAGATATTAAAACGTGATACATGACATTGCCACTTCTCTATATTTTTTTTTATAAAATGTGTCTTGTTTATTTCATGTCATGTAGCAGTATTAACAATCATCACAGATTGAATTCATTAGGTCCACCAAATTGAACAAGTAAAGTGATTCCCAGTGGGTCACCTGGTGTTTTAAAGCATCCCCCCCCCACCATTGACAAAATAGTATAAATTATTATATAGGTCTATAGAAAAGACGTAACTATAAATTGTGTTAACAAATGCTTAAAAAGCCTATATCAATAAGTGTGTAAGTGTAATTAATTGTTTTTTTTTACCCCCTATAGGCTACTGAATATTTTTAAAAATTGAGGGGACGCTTTTGGGTTTGAAGTGCCAGTAGAACAACTGCAAAAATTTAGGCACACAGTTCTAAGTCTACAGCGTGTAGTTAATTAACAGATATATCCAGCTTAGAGGCAACTAAAATTCTTCACGTTAATTCAGAATACGCATTAAAACATTGACCGAAAATGGGAAAAAAATTAAGAGGAAAAAAGCATTCTAGTGGGTAAATATAGTCTTGGTTCAAAAACCTACCGCTAGAATTACTAAGGAAGGGATAAGGAAAATGCCCTTTCAGATCAGGCCGGTGCTAATTTTCTAGTTGAATTATACAAAAATCTATTCCCATGCCGGGAATCGAACCCGGGCCGCCTGGGTGAAAGCCAGGAATCCTAACCACTAGACCACATGGGACTATAGAGTCACGTATTAAGTCTAACATATGATGACGTCCGTGGGCAGTGTTTTATTTTTCAAGCATCCTAACTGTCGAAATGGTAAAAAAACGACGTTTTAAGAAAAATTCAACTGCGTGACGTCATTTATGGATGACCCCTGTAGAAAATGCATACTTTAGCCAGTGTTCGCCCCCTCCAAATGTTTTAAGTGCTCCTCCCACCCCCTCGGAAGTTTCTGGACACCCCCCCCCACTCGGAGTAACACGTCTGAAAGAAACTCTGTCCATGGAGAAGACGAAGTAGTTCATCCTTCTATTCTGTCGTTGACAGTGAAGTCTAGAATCTACATGTAAAATAAAGAAGTTGTGGTAGGTCTTTCACTTTCAAACAGTCTACGTGTTTAATGTTCGTTGCTTCTTTCACCTTTTTCTCTGGGGGAGGGGCACTTGAAACTTTCGGGGGATGGGGGGAGGGACACTATTTGAAGAATATATTTGTATTAAATTCTATTCCTTTCTCCTTCACCCCCCCCCCCACCCCCCCCCCCCCCCCCCCCCGTCCTCCCCCATGAACAAAGTAGAATGACATTTCGAGAACAGAAAACAGCCAACAAGAGATTTTAATTTATCCTATCAAAGTTACAAGTTGCAAATCCATATGCACCCGATAAATGTGCTTGCAATGGATGGCACTTAATTAGATAGCCAGTGATTCTGATTAAGCGAGTTCACTCAATCAATTAAACGAGTGAATATATCATGAGACTTGATTAATTTCGACGGGAACCTTTTGCCGCAGGACAATTTGTCACTCTACAAACGTTTTCCCCCAAATACAGACACGTATATCATCATAGAGCTATGTGCTGTCAGTTTTAAAGTGGCTACATAAACTGATGTTCTACGGCGACCCCAGAACATCAAAAATTGTGTATCAATTTTTTATCATTAATAAAAACTCAAATAGTAAAAATGTATGGTGCTTTAAAATTTTGGAACTTTAATATCGTAGAAACACTTAGTTACAATGTAACCCAGAGGCGCAGCGACCCTTCCCGACGCCCGGGGACAAACTTTCAATTTGGCGACCCCTCGGGAGCAACCTTGCAATTTTCGATTTTAACCCCCCCCCCCCCCCCTCAAACTTTCGATTTGCACCCTTGCACCCCTTCCCATCAAATGTACGATTTGCACCCCCCCCCCCAAACTTTCAATTTGCAACTAAAATGAGATTTTAATCTGGTTTTCCAACCCATTTTGGCGCCCCCTAAGGTCGGCGCCCCTTAAGGTCGGCGCCCGGGGACATATGTACCCCCCCCCCCCTACGCCTTTGATATAACTACGCTTACACTCGTTATGTGTGGGTTTTCTAGTAGTTTCTCAAGACCGTCAAATAGTAAGTTCCCTCGTTTATTTAGGCAACATCAAGGAAAATTTACAATAAGGCATACACAGTGTAATCAGCGTTTAAACAACATTTCCATATAATAAAAAGAAGTACGTTCGTCCATAGTCCTTTAGGTCCTAGAAACCGTGCATATCATATATCCATCGTCCAGGTAACACCAATATAAAAATCATACAGATGAAGAGCCATTCAGGTCCTTCCGGCGTCTCATTCATATATAGACATCCAGCTGCCAGATATATAGACATCCAGGGAGAGGTTCGTGTAAAATCATTGATATCTCACATTGGCAGTCGGACTTTCTGATTTTTATACCGAGTAGGTGCAATGCAAGTAAACAAATTGTTTACTGTCCGTTACACTTTCTTTTGTTATTTATCCCAACCTAGGTATTGACAGAACACTAATATTCTAATATTATAGCACATGAAAGAAATACGAACATTTACATTGAGTGGTGTAATTAATCAAACATTATAGCTTATGAAAATATAAACGCGTTTATAAATATTGACATAATTAAAGAAATACAAATGGGAAAGTTAACATGTTAAAACTGTAACCAACAGTGGCGTAGCCAGGATCGTCTCAAGCGGGGGGGGGGGGGGGGGGGTGGTTCCAATTATTACCCGGGGACAAACTTTCGATTTTGCACCCCCCTTCAAACTTTCGATTTGCACCCCCCCCCTCATACTTTATATACATATATACCGAGGGGTCAATGGGGGGGGGGGGGGGGGTTATGACTCCCCACCTGCCTACGCCACTGGTAACCAAGAGCAATCAGTCAAATGTTCATGCTTTCTATCTGTGTTAAAAACACTTTCAACCAAAATGTATCTAACTCGCCTTATCAGCTAACAACTCTAGAAATTGCTTACATAGTCGCCAGGTTCCATATCAGTCTGAAACAGTACTCAAGTTGGTATATTAAATATATGAATATAAGCATAATTACTTTCGAGATGCTGATGCCGTTACAATATATAAAATGAAAATGGGCATACTTACTATATGGATGCCTTTAAAATGTACTTTAAAGCAAAGTGGGCATATTACTGGATGCCCTTAAATATAATATAATGAATATACAAATAATTTAAGATGCCCCTACAGCATATAAAAATAAACATAGATATAACTACTTACGAATGTCTTTGAAAATTAGTATAACGAATATGGGAATAATTACTTTAAAGATGCCCCTATGGTGCATGGGCAAAATTACTCTAAAATATGCCCCTACACTATACTAAATAAATATATCACACTAAATATAAAGATAGTGTTTATTATAGGAATATCAATGGCTACCATGGGACTACCCTTCACTGATCATTGATGCCCGCTTTTTTCTATGTAATTTTTGCGATACGGACAGTATAATGTCAAAACGAGGGAGAGACGATTGAGTATTTGCTTTGGGTGAGATTGGCGCATTGATAAATCAATCAGCAACAATAAAAAAAAAAAACACCTCAGAGTGGATGCCCGGGCACCATCCCCCCCCCCCCCATCTGCACGCCACTGTTGGTAGTAGAGAAATGAGAATGTAGATCAGGGGTCTCCAAACTACGGCCCGCGGGCCGGATGCGGCCCGCAAGGTCCTCTCATCCGGCCCGCGAAGATCTTTTTGTCCACGGAAAAAAATGTCTGTTAGAGGTGGCTGAGGAGCTTTGCACAGAAAATTTAAAACAATCTGAAAATGTAGCTTTGGGAGCAAATACCTTTGCCCACCGTGTTTGCAGACATTGGTGAAAACATCGTGACTCAAATAGCGAAAAAGGCAAGCACGTTTCACTATTTACTTTCTCGTATATACGAAGTATAGAGAAAGTATTGTAATCGTGCAAAAAAAAAATCGAGATTTTTACAAATCTCGACGTTTTACACCTCACTGATACGGAAAAAAACATAAATTTGCAATATTGTCCGTATGTCTGTGTGTGTGTGTGTGTGTGTGTGTCTGTGTGTAAACACGATTACTTGAGTACCGTTACAGCTAAGTTGATGAAATTTCATATATAAGTATTTTATCAAAATCGTAGATCCGCATCAACTTTTGAGCGATTTCCGATAACCGGAAGTGGTACTTTTTCTACTTTGAATATTTCAAAAGCCTATAACTTGAGTACTATTTCAGATAGTGTTTCTTGCAGACTTTTTTCTCCGGGGAGGCACTTGAAATTTTCGGGGGGGGGGGGGGGGGGCGGTAAACTTTCTTCGGGGGGGGGGGGGGGGCGGACACTGTTAAAAGTATATATTTTCTATATAAATTATATAAATTTCATTTCGTTCGGGGGTGGGGGGGGGGGGCGGTAAAAAATTTCGGGGGAGCAAAGCCCCCCCCCCCCCCCCCGAAGAAATGCCTGGAAGAAACTCTGATTTCAGATAGATAAATGACATTTCCCATGTAAGTAAAAGATCTAATTTTCTACCTTCTGTTAAACAAACCGGGAGTGATCTCCCCTAAACTTTCTCGAATATTCTAATATAACACTACGTGGGATGTCAACTCGGAATATAGACATGATTTTTGTTTACTTAAACTTTTAAAAATAGAATAAAATCTAGTAGAAAAAAAAATTGCGCACCAAGCGAGCACCAAAACCAAATGTGCGTTATATTGCGCAATATTATAAGTACTTTATAAATTTACATGCGTTTTTTGAGAAATCGGAAATAGCGTAAATTAGTACTTCCGGTCAACGGAAATTACTCAAAATTTGATAGAAGGTAGAGAATTAGATCTTTTACTTACATGTGAAATTTCATTTATCTATTTGAATTAGTACTCAAGTTATAGGCTTTTGAAAAATTCAAAGTAGAAAAAGTACATTTTCCGGTTATCGGAAATAGCTCAAAAGTTGATACGGATCTACGATTTTGATATAATACTTAT